GCGTTGAAACGGTCGAAAATCTGGGCGATGGATTTTTGATCGGTGTAAATCGTAAAGAAACGGCCTTCCAAAAAGAAGCGGAACTTACGGCAAGCATAGGCGACGGCCCAAAATTCCTTGACGTGAAGACTAGGTACTAACGGATTCTAGCTAAATATATAGACCGAATTGATCCTCAGCTATCCTCCGAGTTCGGGAACGTACCAGCCAACGACAGGGCTACACGATGGTTACGAGGGTTACGAACTTCGAGTAGCCTCTGACGTCACTGGGTGTTTCCCTAGGAGGCTATCTGGTGCGGGATCCTAGTGTCAAGTACCTAACACCAGGATTGTGCATTTTTTTCCAAAATCAAGGGATTTCACAATATTATTAAGATTGAACAATTAATGAGATTGTGATGATCAAGAAATGCATTTTCGTTGCTACTTTGATGGTGAATCAGGTTCAATTCTGCCTACGGTGGACGATCTTCTTTTCGTGTGATTAAATGCTATGGTTTATGATACAATCAGGCCTTGATGAACTCAGCGTTGGCGTCTTCGTATGCGGTTTGCTGGGCCTTCACGTCAGCGTCATCTGGCAAGACACCAGCCTCATTGGCGGTCTCGTCGGTCTTGACTTTGTAGAAGTAGTCGGTCTTCTCGGATCCCGAGCCCAAGTCTTTAGCCAAACCGTTGTATGGGAACGATCTAGGCATAGCAGGCTTCTCTGGGTTGAGCTCAAGGAAGTAAATACCAGCAGCAATGGCAAGGATGGTGGAAAAGAAAATGGCGTTGTGCTTCAAAGCAGTCTTGTCAGACACAAACTGGAAGTAGTCTGGAGACCAGATATCGTACATGTCGTCGTTGATGTTCATTTTGTCACCAAAGTTTCTTCTTAACTGTGGGAAGTCATACTTGGCATATGGGTCCTTGTTCTGTGCGAGCTCTGGCTTTGGGTTTGGGTAGTCAGCCAATTCGGGGTGTGCTGGGTCGGTTAACTTGATAACCTTACCAGTGGCATGGTCTGTAATGGTTGTTTCTGTAGTCAAGCATCTAACACCACCAAGAGAGACACGTGGGAGCCTAGCGGCAGTTCTGAGACCCAATCTAGACAACATTGTGGTTCTAAAGGGTCGCTTGTACTTGGTGTAGGTGAATGTATGAGGGTGTTTTTCTGCCCAATTAGAAGATGGTGAAAAACAATTGTTGCGCGCACGCCCAGTCTATACTGATAGAGATAGAGATCTAAGACAGAAGTTTGAATAGATTGGTAATTAATTATGAGAGTTTTCGTAATTCGTTGCCATGAGCTATGTTTGCTCATCAGCCCTCTCATTGGTATGGCAATTACAGATGGTTTAGGCGTCGTTATATTGACATGCTAAGTACTGTTCAGTATAAATTATGCATTGTGGGTGTCTCCTCTTTCCTCTAGTGTTCTTCATCTCTACTTTCTCAATTGTGGTTCGCCAAACTTGATGTCCTTGATTGGAGACTTCTCGGACTCGGCGAAATCTAACAAACCTTCGAAACCAGGAAGGTTGGAGCCAGTGTACTTACCCAAGTAGCCAAAGCCAATGAAGATAGGGGCAAAAGCAAAAAGAATGAAAGAATTCTTTGCGTTCCAGTACAGGTGGATTGGTGGAGGGTTGGTGTTGAAGTTGTACTTATTGTTGAAAGGAGCGGCCGTGACCGATTCAGAGGCATGGCTGGCATGCGACTGGAATCTCTTGGAAACACGAGCAGCAGCACGAAGACCGGCTGATCTGGAGAACATTGTGTAGTTTGTTTAGATGAAGCCTAGGTGGATTGAGTAATACGATTTTTGAGTTTTTTATTGGTGCACCAGATGTTGTGGTCAATATGCAGGCGCTTCACTATAGTGCATTTCCACGTCTGAAGAATATCACTTTGGAGGGGCAAAATTGGGACAGAAATAGAAGAAAATAAGTTATTTGAATATGCGTTGTTGTTTGCGGCAAGAAATATATGTCTTCAACCTTCGAATCGATGGGAAGGTCGCATCAGAGGTCAATTCCTATACCTGAGGAAACCTCTTTTATTTGCATCCTGATTCTTCCAATTCATATGATGTGAGTAAGTGGATAGCCGTGAAATGATGAAGTGGTAAAGTTTTCGCCTACTCAGTTCCCAGATGTGTACGCAACTCCTCTATGGCAATGGCTGCGAAATCAAGGCAGATCCAAGAAACTCAAACACCGATGGTTAGAAAATCCCAACTTTGACTATCAAAAACGAACAAATTTTCAGCCTTTTGAGCCTATTTGACAGCGTTTGATGAATCCAAGAAAATTGGGTTTGCGATGAAGTAAGTGCAACTAACTCACTATACTCATACCTCAGCACCTCAGTACCGAGAGATACATCGACTCAGCACGATACATCACCATCAAAATTCGAAAGTTAACATAATCCACAGATGATAAGACTGAACATCTTCAGTTCCATACTCAAAGCTTGTTCAGCGTAGTAATTCTCGATAATCTGTATTCTTCATATAGACCTGCGTGGGAACCTACTACAGACGCATCAAGTTCCATCGTTGCATCACTAATGTCCTACTATCCAGGCGGCAGACACGGTGCCGATCTGTACAGACCTCAGGATTCTCGTGGATATAACCAGAATGGTGGCGGAAACAATTCTTCAAGAGGCCGCTTCCAACAGCACGAGAATCGTGGATCTCACTATAGACCCAACCAGGGAAGGGGAGGCTATCTGAGCTACCAAGGAGGTCAAGGCCGTCAAGGTCGTTATCAACAGCCTCGACAGGGAGGAAGTCATCTGGTATACTCACAAGGTCAGCCTGATACGCAATTGTGGATGGGAGATTTAGATCCTTCGTGGACTGAAGATGCCATTATATCGTTGTGGAATCAGGTAGGCGAGTCCCCAACGAATGTCAAGATCATGAGAGATAAAACCGGCAAGCCACTGTACTGCTTCGTGACCTTTGCAAGCCCAAAGGAAGTAGCTAGTGCTATCTTGAAGAATATGACGCTGGTACCGGGAACTAACCGTCACTTCAAGCTCAATTACGCATCTGGAGGGGGACGTTCTGACCAGTACGGTTCACAGCAGCGTTCTGGGCCAGGACAAAGACACAATGTTTACGCTCAAAACGAGTGGTCCTTATTTGTGGGTGATTTGGCGAATGAGGTGACTGACCCAATGCTTTTCAACCACTTTAACAAGGAATTCCCCGGAGCTGTGCACCAGGTGAAGGTCATTACAGATTTTCAGACCAAAGCTAGTAAAGGATTTGGCTTTGTGAGGTTCAACAACGAAGAGAGCCAACAGAAGGCATTACAGTCGATGAATGGGTCAATGTTGGCTGGCAGAGCTCTACGAGTAGGACAGGCCTCTAAAAACGATACTAGCGACTACAAAAAGACAGCTCAAGAGACTGGCGTGCCCGACGCTGTCAAGTTGAATCAATACCACCCACCTTTGGGACCATCAACAGACCCGAACAATACGGTCATCAAGATCAAGGGCATTACAACTGCAATTACAAGAGATGAGCTACTCGGCCATTTTCTACCTTTTGGTAGTATAATATTCTGCAAGGTTAATTACAGGGAAGGCGTTGCACACATCAAGTACTTGAACAGGCGGGAAGCCGAAATGGCAATGCTATACATGTACGGCTTCATCATCAATAATTGCCGAGTAGCCCTCCGATGGGGTCGTGAAGAGAGGGCTGAGACAGGGAAACTTAATTTCAAGCCAGGCGAAAAGACCGAGAAGTACACTGCTGCTAAAAAGACTCCCATGTATACTGGCGATTTTGATAAGAATGTGGTGTTCGAGGATTTGAGCAAAAAGGAGCTCGAGGGCTTGCAGTTGCATTCACTGTCCCAATATCCATCACAGACCGAACTAGACGAAAGAGAAGCCCAGCGGAAGAAGGAGCGTGACGAGTATTTGAGCCAGGCCTTTTAATTATAACGAGTGAGCTTCTTCATCGGGTCCTGGACAATTCGCAGCCATATCCTCAGAATCTGAGAACTGAATCAGACAATATATGCAATAGAGGAAGTTCTTCCGTGAAAAGTCAATGAGCTGAGCGAGCTGTTCTACCGGTTGCTTCGCTTCGAAGGAGGTCAATTCCTCGTCTGGCTCTTCATCAGGTTGACTGGTCTCCTGATCGATCAAAACACGTCTCCTCGGCAAGTCAGAGATAGACTTGCGAGCTACAGAACGCCACAAGATGTTGACTTTGGCAGCGTCCTCCTTATTAAAAACCAATTCGTCATCTCCCGAGGCAGTGAAGCAAAATCGTTGAAGTTTCAACACCGTATTAGCAGCATTTTGTTGGTGTAGCTGTTGCTTACGCTGACTGACTAATTGATCAACGTCTTGCTTTTCCTCAGCCTCCGATTTTCTAATAATTGAAGTGGCTCCGATTCCCAACCGATTCTTCTTTTGGACTGCTTGTATGGGTTCTTTGATGCCCGTATCTGAGCCACCTAAACTGTCGCCGACTTTGAAGCCCATCTTTTGCATCATCGCAAGCCCCACAGACTTTGTCTCAAACAAGGAAGTATCTTGTGTTTGTGCTTTTGAAGAAGGAGGTTTGACATCGTCCTCTTCCACGGTGAAGCTCATATAGTCTTCGACAGGTTCGGTTTGCTCCATTTTCGGTGTGCTTTTCAACTTCAACTTCTTCACAGGCCTCTTAGGAATATCATGATCGCTCTCGTCATCGTCATCACTTGAACCAAACACATTCTTCATCTCAGCTCATTGTTGGGCCTGTGGTTCATCTGATAGTACTTAGTGCGAACCGCACTCGCAGCGACAAAGTTAACTACTCACTGTAGTTATCAACAAACCTATACGCTCATTTATGCTACCTCATAAAAACAATCAGCCCACGAGTTCCTTACCGGTCTCACGTGTTGGACTGTCTGTTAAACTAAATCATCTCGCCGTGCCGGGTCTGAACAGTCGACCAACTTCGAGACCGAATACTCCCAGTGCATATGTCACCTCGTCATTGAACCCAACGAAGAACATACCGGTGACATCAACATCGGTGAACTCAAAGATAAAAAACCTGGATGAGGCACGGCAATTCGAAGAACTCGCCATCATCAGCAGCATAAGAGAGTTTGAAAGTGAGCTTGTGGAACTCTCACTGAGCATATCCTCATTTAGAGAGGAAAACATCCCCGAACATGTCAAAAGCCTAATTCAACTAGATAAAAAGATTTCGGCCGAGCAACAAAATCTTCGCCGGCATCAGGAATATGGTGCTGAGATCCAGACTCTCCAAAAGGAAAATGATGAATTGAGCCAGGAGAGCAGTAGACTTCTCAAAGAATTAATATCTTGCCGAGCTGAATTAAAGAAGCTTCCTAGACTACCGGCGGCAAGTTCTTCTACAAGAGAGTCGAGACTCAAGGAGATTGGAGTGCAAGAATTGCTTGACTACTCCATGACCCTAGCGAAGTTTTCTAAAGCCCCAACCACTGCCAATGGTCAATTGCCCCATCCCAACAATTTCATCTGGCCTGCCGAAGATGCCTTGAGAAGGGGCTTACTTGCATTAACATCGCTCAAGCCTGACGAGGTCATCAAGGCAGAGCTTGGTGAGACGGAACCAGCAGAGGAAGAAAAGGTGGAGGAAGACGATGTTGAGATGGAGGATGTGGCCGACATGGACGCACCATCAACTAATGTCAAGAAGGGGCCCTCGGCACCAGCAAGAAAAGCAGAACCGGCAAAGGCGCCAGAGGCCCTCAACTTGGACCTCTTTGATGGTGATGACTCGGATGATTCAGATTAAATATATACATAACTCATTTACGGACAGTTCAGTGGGAACTAAACAACTCACTAGGGTGCTCAAAAGTGTCTGTAGTGTACTTTTTGCTCAACAACCAATCCAATTCAAGCTGGTTGGAGTATGGACGACCGGACTCGATATGCTCTTTGACCAAGTCAGCCAAGCCAGAGATAAACTCCTCGTCGTCGTTGAAGGAAGAGGCACGTTTGATGATTTTAGGGTTTTTGGCGTCCTCCATAAGCTCAATGTCTAGTTCGTGCAAAGTCTCAATGTGGTCCGAGGTGAATGCAATAGGGACCAAAATGAGACCCTTGACGTCATCCTGGAGCTCCAACTTCTCCACAATGCTAGTAGTTTGGGCACCCAACCAAGGCTTGGGGCCAACCTTGGACTGCCAGACCAATCTGTAGGGATTCTTAAACTTCAATCTCTCCATAATGGCGTAGACAGAGGCAGCAACTTCAGCAGGGTACGAGTCACCACGGTTGACAATCTCCATAGGCAAAGAATGAGCAGAGAACAAAATCACAACCTTGTCTCTGTCCTCAGCTGGAAACTCCAGAAGCTTATCGTTGATGAATCTGGCGAATGGGCTCACCAAACATTCCGCCTTGGGCCATCTATCAATGAACGACCACTTGACGGTCTTCTCTGGATCGTAGATTTTTCTCTGACGGAACAACTCATGCATGGAAGAGGCTGACGTCGAGCTGGACCACTGTGGGTACTGCGAGAAGGCAACGGCTCTAGTAACACCGTCCTCCTTCATCTTAGCCAACATATCTTCAGTCAATGGTTTTGCGTACCTGAAAGCAACATAAGGTTTATGAGGAGCCAGTTGTGGCAGGATCTCGTCTAACCTCTTGCATACTCTTTCACATTGATACTCTGACCAATGTCTAATAGGAGATCCTCCGCCAATCTCGTTGTACTTCTCTTCAATGCTCTTGGTTCTCAACCTAGCAATGACTCTGCCCATGATCCCTTGCAATGGTCCAAGCGGAATCAAATCCTTGTCCGAGAACAAACGCATTAGAAAGTCATTTGTTTCACTGGCCTTGTTGGGTCCTCCCATATTCATGAATACCACTCCAGTGGCGGTGGAGGCTGGGGAAGCAGAGGAAGTAGAATTCCATCTGAGGCGACCGATGGGTAATCTTGCAATTGATCTGAACATGTCAACCTTTAATGTGGCGAGCCTCGGGGAATAAGGTTTTTAAGTATTCTGGCAGAAATCAGCTTCTAAAAGAGAACATCACAAGATGGCGCCGTTTGCTCTTTAAGCGCGAGGTTGCGGGCCTGCACGGCCCAGACTATTGCGTATTACACATGAGAAAGTTTGCAACCAGTGGGTGCGAGATTGTCAGCATTGAATGTCATCCTAATGACACGGAATTATTCCGCCTTCTCCGTCTTCTCCTTCTTCGTCTCTAATGCCCGCTTCTGTTCCTCGATGATCTCTTCGATCTCGTTGGTAAAATTTCTGTAGGCCTCTCTCAAGTCTCTGATGTCGTTCTCGTATCCTTTGCGGTCTTTAAACGACTCCCATGCTAGTTGAATTTCACGAACATCTTCTTCGAGTTCCTCTCTTGTAAGTGATTCGAGCTCGTCAATCGAAGGAAGACCAAGCAAAGGCATCTCATGAGAGGTCTCTCTTTGGAGAACCTTTCCAACCGTCTGGTGAACCTTTTCGGTCTCCTCGGGAGAGAGTTTGTGCTCCTCTTTCTTCTTCTCAGCCAAGACATGGCTAGCCTGGTATGATTGAAGGAATTTGACAACTGGGACCTTGAAAGGACCTTTGAAGATGAAGAGCGTTAAGGCTGTAATAACGATGACGTAAAAGTACACCGTGCTCCAGCAATAAAGCGAGAGCGGGAAGTCCAAGATGACAAATGGCTGCACAATGAAGCCAAACGCAAGTTGTGTCACAAAGTAAGAAACAATGTCATAGTAGATTTTTGTACTCTTTGGCGTCTTAGCATCGGCTTCCAAGAAGATTGGACGAATGTTCTTGCGGTAAATCTTGCCCAAAGTCTGCAACAAGGCGCCCATGACAAATGTGAGGTAGTACCCGGGTCTAGTGCCGTGCCATGCAGCACTGGTGGCAAAGGTGCAAAGAGTGCTCTTGAAACCGGGTTTCTTGCCAGGTCTTGCCAATCTGACATAGACATAGTGTTTCAACCATTTGTTTGTGTTCATGTTCCAGGCTTCTAGACAAGCATGCACGTTCTGGCCCGTTTCAAAGGCCAATGGGTCGATGTTCTGAACCCTGTCCCATCTAAACAGATCAGTCTCAGGATCGTAACCGTTGTAGCCGATTCCACACAAAATACACGCACCCTCTGCAATCAGCCAGATCGTATAGTACTTGAGTCTGTAGGTGAGTCCAAGAACCCACAAGTAGAAAATTCTGAAAATAAACGACTTGTCAGTAACGAAGCTCTTGTCAAGCGCATAGTCCAAAGAAACAAACTTAGGCATAGTGACAAAAAGCGCAGCCCAGAACAAACCCTGGAGGACCTTTGAAAGAGCCTGCTTACCGGACTTTGGAATTCTCCTTCTTCTGCGCTTACCTGGACGCTTCTCCTCTGGGACATCGTCAAACAAAGTAGAGTGAATGAACCTGTCATAGTCGATGTAGTCAAAAGCAGGACCCGTCATAAGAGAGGGGTAGAAGAACACATATCCCAAGTATGGCAAAAGATTGGGGTGCTTCTTGATCACTCTTTCTCTGGTGTACAGAGTCAATTGCTCCTTAGGCACTGTGGCATCGTGCACATTCCAACCAAAGGCCGAGAGCTTCATCACCATGACCATCTGAGCACCAGTGATGTCAATCACGGTGGCATCGTAATCCTGGAAGAATTGCAAAAGGACATGTGTCGAGAGCAAGTGTCCCATCAAGAATAGGAAGTTGATCCATGGCATATAGCTTGTCCTCAAGTACCTGGTGATGAAGTATGTGCCCATTGAAGAAATCAACAATGACCGTAAACCGGAACCAAGCTCACAAATCACAAACACATAGAAGGAAGAAACGGCAATGATATACCAGTTCTTTGCTGAGTAGTTTTGATCGGGAAGTCTCTTGAAGATAATGCTGAATGGGAATGACAATGCTGTACAAACAAGAATCTTTACGTTTGCCTCATCGAGCCCACTCAGCTCCAGTAGAAAAGTAATGCCCTGGCGTACTAAGTTAATCAGCATTGTACGTTGAAATGGGCTATGTTGCGGTGTTGATCTCACGAAGTGACTACTGAAGGATGATGTGGTAGCGCATACAGAGCAAAGGTGCGCGGTGCGGCTAACCTTCGGGTTATTACATAATGACAGCTTCTTGCCTGATTTATACCTCTCTGGCTGACGCCATTTTGTACCCCGCTTCTAACGCCTGTGTGATGTTGTCGTTCTTGTAAGGGATTGTGGTGAGAACGAAGGCGATATCGTTCCACTGCTTCTCGGTCTCGGACTTCATCAAACGCACCAAGAGCTTCTCCGAGAGTTGCTTCTGGTGTTTCTCCTTGTCAATGTACAACACAAGGAACTTGATGATTCGTTTCATAGCGTCCTTGGACAATGTGTCATCGTTGGAGAGACCACTGAAGATATCAATGAAAGCGTTGTAGATAGCATTGTCCTTTGTAGCCAACTCAGTAAAGAATAAGCGGCACATATCACTGATGCCTTGATCCGGGTTTTCAAGACATTTGGCCATTGATGAGAGTTGACCCTTGACCTTCACTTGGCCTGCCAAAATTAAGAAGGTAACAGTCATAAGACAAGTCCTCTGGACCATAAGATGGTCATCCGTGAGACGGCGATAGAGGAAGTCGGTATTCTCATCCACCAAATTGTTGAAGCATACTGCCATGTCACCAAGACCAAGTACACAGTTAGAACGGATCACCGGATCTTCAGACTTCTCCATGATTGTGATGAACAACGGCAAGTTTGCTTCACAGAACTTGGACGAAACGCACATCAACTTTGATAGACAAAGCACCGCTGATCTTTGAAGTATTCCATTGTTGTAGGCTCTTCTGTTCAGACAGATTTCAGTTACCAACGAGCCAAACTTCGCCAACAACGACTTCTCCCCAAAAAGGATCTCAGTCTCTCTGATGAAAACGACAACGTCTGCAAAGTCGTCTTCAGACGTACCACCAATCATTTCAAGCTCGTTTTCAGCAGCATCCTCCTTCCTTTGATTACTCTTTTCCGCTTCTAAATCATGCTTCATTTTCTTGAACTGAGCCTCAAGCTTCTCAAGGTGCTCTATAGTCTTGATTGCAACATGGCCGACAATGAAGAGAAGCTGAGCGAGTGACGATGTTTTTGATTCTTCCTCTGCTTCAGTCACAAAAACGTCTCTGGTCTTCGACTTTATGATATCATCACAGAGCACGATAGGGTTTGTGATAATACGGAAGATGGCATCAATCGCTTGTTCAGCCACGGGGAACCATTCCCTTTGGGGAGTGTAACATAACAAGATGGCCTTCAACCTGTCTGCAGCTTCACTATCCTCTGCAAACATTCTCTCAGTCGTTCGCTTTTTCAGAGGTTGCACAATTTTTAATAAGGTTGCACACGAGTGCTTGCAGAGAACCAAATCCAGTCTACCAATTGAGCCCAAACCAATCTCGAGCAAAGACTTCAAACCACATTGGACGATAGCTGGATTCGCCGAGGACACCATACCTAGAACAATTATAGCACCATGGATCTGAGCTTGCGAGTAGCGCGAGTCACTAGATCCAGCCTTGCTGTAGATGTACCACAACAGCTCGATCATAGCCCAGTCTATTAATTTTCCTTCGTAGATCATGCACATGAGTTTTTCCAAGGACGCTAAATCTGCAACTGTGGCATTGATGGTGATCTTGATCAAATTACGTGCTTTCATCTCGGCAGCCTGTTGAGCGGTGATGTCTGAGGGAGTGGTAAGAAATAGGAGTTTGTAGCACTCGACTAATTGAGTAGCGATGGATTTACCCTCATCTGAAGATCCCTTCATCCAAACAAGATGGAGCATTTTCCTGATACCCTGACTTGCATTCTCAACTCCGTAGGCGTCTGCGCAGACCAAAAAGTCCATGGCCTCTAGCACCTCGTTTCTATTCTTGGAAAACAAGAGAGAAGATGTGATCGCAACACCTCTTTCAAGCTTTTTGATGAGCGCCAAAGCACAGTTGTGGTATTCCCAGAGCTTCATCAAACTCTTGACCTTGTCAAAGTCTGCATCATTCTCAACTCCAGCATTTTCCTCTTCTAGGATATTTTCCCCTGTTTCTTTCTCCCTCTCGTTGTTTTCCTCGTCGACATCCATTGGGTCCCCTTCATTTTGCTCCGCGGGCGATTGCGGTGTCTCCTCCTCTGACTTATCATTGTCGTTCTGATTCATAAACTTTTGGAAGTAGCGTTCAGGTACAACATGCTGACTGGCAGCCTTAAGGTCATCAAGTTTTCTCTCCCAACGACTGTACAGCATACGAAATGCTTCTTGAGACGTGAAAGGATGCTCAATTAAGATCTTCGATAAGAGCTTGATTGCGTTTCTACGCACCAAAGTACTTCTGTCGTAGAGTCCAGTTACAGCCACGTCCATGACTTCTTGATACCATTCGTTGGCGGGTCCAATGTCAAGATCTTTCGAATCGGGGGTCTCCAAAGCCGCCACAACGTAGTCCTTCACAGGAGCATTGTTAAAAACCTTAACCATAGCCTGAAGGGCCTTCGTTCTCGCAAATGGGTTCTGATCAAGTGTTCTTTGCTTAAGCAACGAGAACAACTTACCGATCAGCTTCATACTGATCTCGGCACGTTCATCTTCTGAAGAGTTTGTACTGCTGTGAAGGGTTTTGAATGCATCAACAACAATGTTGCCGCATGTTTCAATAACCGAGCATCTGAGTGATTGGTTTGTGTTATCTAAAATTTGGCTGATGGAGGCCATTTGCCTCATGATTAATCTAGGACTGACCTCTGACACTTTGACCAAGAATTCAGACACCGCCTTCGGTCCGTTCGTATCGTTTGCATTGAATTCGAGTTGACTTATCTCTAGAAGAATATCTTCTGAGAGCTTGATATGGTCGAATGACTTCTCTAATGTATGTAGTAACTCGGCCATATACTGTGGTAAATGTGGGTAGTATGTCAAGGATTGGATGACGGAGTTTTGAACTGTTTCCTCGCTACCATGGCGAGTTACTGCAAAGGAAATGATACGAAACATATAGATCCGGATGGTGTTGACCTTCATCCTCTCAGGGAGCTCCATGAGATGAAAAACAGGTCGAAGAAACAAATCTAGGAATTGATTTTTTTCGGGAGTAGTGACAAAGATCTTGGAGAGATCCAATTGCAAGCAGTTCAGCACGGACGATAAGGCATCATCTACCTGCTGACAATTATTCTTCCACAGCACGGAGGTTTGCTTTTGTCTTGCGGAAGTACTGGTGGGGAAATCTTCTCGTGATAGATAATTAAGGAGTACAAACATAAGGTAGCCGTACTTCTCCAAGCACAGTTTGAGCACGTCTAGCATATCTACATAATCGCCTTCCTCTATCATAAGTGTGCATTGACGCGATGCATTAGTGAGCGATGATGATATTAGATAATTGACTTGCTTCTTGTGTTTGGGATCGAGCTGTTGAAACCCGTGAGCCATGTCTATGAGTTCTTCTAGAAGCTCGCTGTTGTGGTGGATGGCTTCCCAGCTATGTGCCAAAGCATGGGTTGCATGGGAAAGCTTATCATCGATATTGGAGTTATCAACCTCATAGTCTTTTTGAACGTCAAAGCCACTGTAAAAGGTGGATAGGCTGAACTCCATGATGGACGCTTTGTTTTGGTTTGATCTGATGAGCGCACTCCGCTAACGTCTAAAGTCGCACCCAGTGTTTTGTCACGTGAGCGAAGTCAGATGCAGAGAGCGCGTAATGGTTGCAAATCGCTCAGTCCTTCAACCTAGCGTAACCCTTGATAACAGCTTTCGATGTTCCCACTCTTTCGTCCTCTAAAACACCAAGCAAGTCTTTCGTAGTCACCATATTACCCGTACGAATCTCCCTGTAACGCAAACCATTGTCGCCACGGGAAGAGAGGATTGAGCTTTGCTTCGCTCCTCCATCCTTAGCAGCACCCTGTTTGCTATCATCTCCAGCACCAGCTCCAGCACCGGCCTTCATCCAGGAGTATTTTTTCCTTGAAGAGCTGCCTGTCATCATCGCAGCTGTAGCATTTGCAGCTCTATGAAGAGTTTCCTCAGCGCCTGCTTTATTAGAGGTCTCTGGCGCGACCTCGTCCTTATTCTCGATCCCAAGCACAAGACGTTTCTGAACTCTGGCTTCTTCCTGCTCTTTGTGACGCAAAGCAATGTTTCGTAACTCTTTGGAAACATCGGATCTTTGATTAGGCGAGATCTTCAGCTTTTGACTGCCACGAGCCTGTGTTAAGGCAGGGATACCACGGCGCCGGTGTCTCGCTAATAGAATCGTTTTCGTGACAATGTTCGAAAGCCATTCCTTGCATGAGGCAGAGACAAACTCGAGCATCTCTGGGTCAGCCATGAAGTTTTGGTAGACGCCGTTCTCTCTTGCTGCACGATTCATATAGAGACCAACATGATATGGTTGGAGAAAGGCGTTGACCAGCCCGTATAGTTGCCTCTGGCGATTTGCGAGTTGTTGTTGTTGAATGCTAAGTGGCCCTCTGTTGTAATTGGCCGAAAGTAGCTCCTCTTCTCGCAGGATATCAACTCCAGCTGCGTGGATGGCGTCCTTGTATTGATCAGGATCCTCTTTGCTCTGTTGTGATGCTGGTGCGGCTGTTGTGTTATACGACCCAGGAACACTACTGGTAGAGTAGGATGCACCCATGCCTGTGGGTGCTGGATACGTCCTTCTGGGGTCGAAGCGGGGTGCCTGTTTGTAGGTACTCTGTCCGGGAGACAGGCGGTATTGGTTTGGATATTGTGTAGCAGCACCCTTGCCGTAGGTCAGGTAAGGGTACTGGGATTGTGATTGGTACATTGGGGTTGCTGAAGGCGGGAGTGAAGAGCTGCCCAGGGATGGACCAGCCCCAGTTTCGGTAGTCTGGTCAGTTGCCTGTGGTGTTTGTAGAGTGCTGGATGGACCCTTGTTCAACAGCTCTGAAGCTCTTGTTGGCCCGACTGAGCTGGGTCTTTGAGGCTCGGGCAGATTCAGGCCACGATTACTATGAGCAGCTGTGACTGGTGCAGTATAAGCTTGTGCAACCGGACTAGCTGAAGCAGGTGCCGAATTCCTGGGAACCGTTTGCTCGCCAGCATTCTCGGTCTTTCCTTCCTGAAGAAAGTCGGGTAGTTCAATATCATCAACAGCTCCGCCCACGTCGCCTGTGGGGCCTTCGCTGCCGTTTTGGTTGAAGATTGGGTCGTCGAAAAGATCGTTGAATTGGTCGTCATTTTGAGGAATTGGGTCTGCTGGTTCTGTTTTCACTCTTTTATTGTCACCGTCATCTGAAGATCCTGTTTCCAACGGCCTTTTTGATGATTGGGTCAAATCGTCCTCGTTTGGTGCAGACATGGCCGTGGTTTGTTATGCTGTATAACTAAGTAGCTCGCTTGACCTTGAGAAACAGGTAGTGCGGTGCTCATAAATGTCGCCGCTGCACCAGGACCGTGGTAGGCCAATGTTAGAAGTGAAAATGGGTATATTTTGCCAAATTTGATAGAAACCCATATTTGAATGTATGAATCTTCTTCTTGAACAAGCACTTGCTCGATTTAGCGTAATCACCATATTTCGTGCTTCTCAGATGAGACCTACCTCGATGCTCATCGCACTGGAAAAATAGACCAACTACTCCTAGACTATCAACTACCCTTAATAACATGGCTGGAGTTGTTGTTTTCGAAGGAGCCAGACATTTCCGTCTCCGCCTTGTCCTTTCGGTTTTGGCCGGCCAGCAAATCAAAATAACGAAAATCCGTTCAGATGACATGAACCCCGGTTTGAGAGACCATGAGGTATCCTTCCTCAGACTTCTAGAGGCTGTCACCAATGGATCCAATATCGAGATCTCATACACCGGTACGACAGTCTCCTTCAAGCCAGGCATGATCATCGGTGGCCAACTCACACACAACTGCACTGGAAAGAAACCTATCGGCTACTTCTTGGAACCGATGCTCTACCTTGCCCCATTTTCAAAGAAGAAGTTCTCCATAATATTCAAGGGGCTCACAAGCTCAGATACAACGCAAGATGCCGGCTTAGAGGCCATCAAATGGGGTCTCATTCCTGTCATGGAGAAGTTCGGTGTCAGGGAAGTCGAACTCCATATTCTCAAAAGAGGGTCCCCTCCATTGGGTGGAGGAGAAGTCCATCTTCTTTGCAACTCCCTCATATTACAACCCTTGACAGTGCATGCTTTAGAAACTCCAAAGATGTCTGCCATTAGAGGTGTCGCCTACTGCACCAGAGTTTCTCCATCTGTGGTGAACAGAATCATTGAAGCTGCCAGAAAGGTTTTGAAACCAACTGGTGTGGAGGTCAACATCACCGCTGATGTCTGGAGAGGAGAAAATTCGGGTAAATCTCCAGGTTTCGGTGTCACGTTGGTGGCTGAATCTAAGAGAGGCTGGAGAATATTTGCTGAAGGAACTGGTGTGGCTGGCTCTCTACCAGAAGACTTGGGTGAAAAAGTTGCTTACGAGCTTCTTGAAGAACTCACGAAAAGTGCTGTTTTGGGTAGAAACCAGCTTAAGTTGGCTTTGGCATTGATGGTGATTGGAAAGGAAGATGTGGGTCGGTTGAAGATCCATAAGGCTCAGATTGACGAGCTGTTTGTGTGGTTCTTGAGAGATATCAAAAACATATTTGGCACCGAAGCTTTCTTGAAGGACGGCGCCGAAGAAGGAGAGGACAATTACATGACTGTTGCCATCAAGGGTAATGGCTTTACGAGTGCCTCCAAGAAGAGGGCCTAAACTTCCTATTCTTTGCATTATTATTTTCGTAGCATCAATACATCACCAGAACGAACACCAACCAATGTAATGTTGACACAAGTTCTCGACGCTTGTAGCCTGTTGAATTAATTTGTCGACCTGGGTGGGGATGTCCAATCCCTTCAATCTCTTGATATCATTACCAGTCAACTTGTCTGTGATTCTCTTCAACACAAGAGCAGCTCTGGCATTCCTGATTTCAAGAGCGTTTTGCTTGTTCAAACGAGTAGCTTCCTGGTCGTCAATCTCGCCCTTCTTCAACATTTCAGCTGTATTATATTGCTGCACCTTGATTCCCGTGGCTTCAGCAAGCGCCTTTGTTGGGAAGTCGAAACCCCAATTGATCAATGGATCGTATGCGAATGCTTCCAAGATGGCCATAAGGGATTCCTTGTTGTCACGCAAGACTCTCATAACGTGCTCGCATGTTATTCTAAATGAACCCTCGATACCACTTACTTCCATAGCATAGTTAAGCATTCTAGTAAGTCTGAATGGTACCTTTTCTGGGTACTTTTCACGCAAAATAGCAGCCTCGAAACAGTCACCAAAGTCAATGTGAATCACCTTACCAGTGATCCTGTCAAGCATCAAGTTCGAAGGATGTCTGTCTCCCAATCCCAAGATGTAACCCACCATGGACATCACGGCTAAAGATCTCGTGTATGTGGTTCTTCTATCAAGCCAAGCTTCAGAAGACTTAGATTTAAGCCACAACACCTTGTACAAATCTTGGCCTCTAGTATTGTCAAGAGCTCCTGTGAAGACCTCCACTTTCTGCAATAACGTCAAGCTGTCAAAATCAGGGGCCATCTGCAACATGATACGGTGCTCGATGTTCAACAAAATCTTGCGTGATTCACGGTACTCCCTGATAAGAACATGGAAAGTATCACTGTTGGGCACCCAGCCTAACAAACCGACCTTAGGGGACAAAGGAATGGCTGGGTATTGCTGGATGTCCAAATGCCTCTTGAAACACTCAGTGTCGTTGACCAAAAGAGTATTAACCAAGCCGAACAACTGCATAACCAAGTTATCCTGTCTAATATCTTCATGACCCTTAAGGACGTACTGGTAGTCCTTACCATCACTTCCCTTGCAAACAAGTTTTCTTGGTCTCTGTTTGGATGAGATCACAGTGAAGGTTGGATCAAATCTGACAATGAGGACGATTGGTTTTCCAGCCTCATAAGTTCCAGGCAAAGCCAATTCGAGGTTCTGAGCTTCCTCAAGCTTAGGCGAAACAAACAGCAATTCGAGACTCTGTAATTGTGGTAATTGTCTGCTTATACGACGGAAGACATTGTAGTAAACATCCCAAGCCTGATTCAAATTCGTGATATCCTTTGTACGGCGGTAGTTGAGAACCCATTCGTAAGCATCGGCCAATTCTCTTCCAAATGCGTTGTTGAATGACGCTTCTCTCATAGTCTCAGGGCCCTTCTGAAGCATCTTGTGTAATGGCTCAAGGACTTCGAACATCTTCTCTGTGTTATGCTCGCCGAAGAACAACCTCGAGGCATCCTCCAAACCTTCATACCATTGCTCAAGCCACAAAACAGCGACTCTAATCAACTCGTGACTGACCAACTCGGATTGTTCAACCAAAGTTGGAGAATGGATTCTCATTTTATCAATGATCGACAAAGCGGCCTTCTTTCTGTTAACGGAGTCAGATGTCACAGCAACAGCCAATGGATACACCAAGGCTTGTGGATGAGCCTTACCAAGGTCGGTGAGAAGACCCAAGAGCGATCTGCTGACAATTTGGTTTGGTTGATGAATTCTCGAAATCAATTGAGGAATCACCTCCAACCAGTTATCGATCTTCACCATGTTAAATCCATCTGTCATAGCTCTGGCAGTTTCGGGGATTCCTCCAAACTTGAACCACAACGTGAGCAATCTCAATGTATCCTGAAGAGAACTCGAGTTCGACAAAGAGATAGAGTGGAAGAAACCCTTAATGGATGGAATGACATGTCTCTGTACAACCTCCATCGATATCATTTGCAGCTGTTGGGCCTGTTTTTCAACCGTATCGTTCTGCTCCATCACATTTGTCGTGAGGTTACCTCTGTTGTTCTGAGTGTAAAGTGAGATAACTTCAAAATTGGCGAGAGCCCAGTTGTGCCATGCCTTGTACCACTTATCATCGAAGTGAGTGGCCAAAAGATAAGCACCCAAAATAATCTCAGATGTTTCAGTTCTCCAGTTATTATTGAGAACAATCTGCCATTCACCTTGCTTCAAGAAACATCTTGCTAAAAGTCTGGTGTACTCCTCGACGTGCTTTGGGATACCAGGGCCATCAGAAGGAATTGGCTGAGTGATCAAATCGTTTGGATTTAAACCAAGATCCTGGGACATACGAGTGGTGAAATCCACCAAGTGACGCAATGCCTCCCTTCTTTGACCCTTCGCCCACATATACTTCAATTGCGCGTAAACAACTTGAGGTGGCGCTCTTGAAGGGTTCTCACTGGAGCCTCCTTCCAAAAGATTGTTCAATGACTGCTCTGCAAGATTGAAACGGCCCGACTTACGACAAAGGTTAGCGAATTTGATCCACATATCCATGTCTTGCTTTGGCTTGATGACAAGCGCTCTGACTTTAAGCATTCTCTGCCAGATATCAACATTTCTTTGGCAGCCCAAGAGACGAGTGTTCCAAGTTTTTCTGATGAGAGCACGCTTTTCGGATCCCTGAGGCAAGCACTTGTACCTGATAATCTCTTCGAGTTCGGCCAACATCTGAACTCTGACAACAACACCATATGCTCTATTGTAACTCTCACTCACCAATGCGGTGATCTCGGTAACCAATAAATTACGGGCATTGAGGATATGGTTGGATGCCTCCTCAAAGTTATTGCGATGAAGACTCAAAATAGCGCTGAAGAAAGCCTTATCCGGTGATTCGTACTTCATGACCTTGATATAAGCATCCATTCTGTCCCATTGACCCAAGCCCCAAGCTGCTGCAGCGGCTAATGGTGCAACGTTTCTCTTGATGTCGCCTGTGGAAGAGTTCCACTTCGAACGCGCCAATTCGGAGAGCTGATCCCATTCTCCCAATGCATGCAAACATCTCATCTTACCCATAACAATCTCCATGTTGTCTGGTTCAAGTTTCTCTCTCTCATTGTAAGCTCTTAATGCGTCATCCCAGCGTTGCAACTTCTCGTGCCAAGTCTCCTTCAACTGAAGGTCGTGGTGCATTTGTGCATGTTTCAAAATACCAACAGCAGCATCTGATTGTTGGAGCTGATTGTTGATCGAGATCAATGCCTCGATAGTTGGTGTAGTTGGCTCTTCATAAAACTCGAGCTCCTTGTAATGCAAAGCCTTGGCGTATGCGTGACATCTTTGGGCGTACTGGCCGAGAGCGGTAATGGCGATAGGTAAAGATTTGTCATCGTGCTCCATGAACTCTGCCAAATTAAGAAGGATCTGATGAATTTCTGGGGGGTTGTTAGGAGAAGACAAAGCAATGCAGAACGACTCAATGAGCTCTTCCTGATGCTGGGAATAAAGTTCACTCCAGCATGATGCAAAACTAGAATTGAATAAGTCTTTGGCCAATGGATGATAATCAGATGCTAAACCAGCGCATGCACGGATGGCATGAGAGGGACTTTGCTTAAGTAATTCCTTACTCAATCTTCCAATCCATTCCTGCCAATCTTCCTTGGTATTGTTTCGTTGAGATGATTCCCAAGCCGCTTTCAAAGCAGCCTGATTTACAGGAAGCTTTTTGGAGGGCATATCGATATCTGGTAGGTCAAAGTGAGACATGTGCAAGTCGTGGTCCTTGTACACATTGAAATTGGTAGGAAGTGGGTCGCCGTTCAATATCTTTGCCACTAGCTGCTCGAACATTACCGAGTTGATCTTTTTCAGTATCAAGACTTTTTCTATGACGGGGAAAAACACAATGAATTCATTGCCCAAGCTAAGGATTAGACAGCAAAGCGTGTTCATACAAGCCTGAGAAAGCTCCTCATTGCCCTCACCAAGGACTCGCAAAAGCGGATGAACGATTCTTGATGCCATGTCTGAAAGAGTGATGTTCTTGGATAATTTGCCAATTGTCTCGATGGCAGCCTTACGCAAATTCGTAGGACCAACCTCAAACATCTTCACGATCGTTGGAACAACAATGTGAACATGCTCTTCGATATTGCTACCGAAGACAACGAAGCTTCTCAAGACGTGAATCGTGGGCTCTCGCTCAGTAGATTTATCTTCCTCGATCAAGTTCAACATGAGAGGAAGAATGTCTGGGAGATGAATCTTGAACTCTCCCTCCAATGCTTTCGAGATCGATTCGATCAAATGAATGATAATGACTCGAATATTAACATTTGTGATGCTGTTGAAGAACTCCTTGATTACGGCGAAAATATCACCCAAGAATGGTCGAATATGCTGCTTGACAATAAGAATGAGAGCACCCAATTGCTGGAAATAAAACTTGAGCATGCTAGCTTGACATGTATGCATCACCTTGATAACACCAGGAATGATTTGTGGAAGGAATGAAACACACCGCAAACCCAAAGTCTGAAAGATGTACATGATTGCCTGTATCACCTTATTGTGATGTGAACTCAAGGATGGATCTTTCAAGATCTTCATGAGGTTATTGATAGCCACGGTAGGGTAGTATTCATCATGCGATGGAGACATGCCTTGCATTAAAAGAGCGATATCAACAGGCGGGGCGTTCTGTTCAACAGGAATCTTTTGGGAAGTCTGTTCGACCTCTCTATGCTTGTATGGATCTAGCGCACCCAATATACCGAGGAGACGAACCGTTTCTCTCCTGATACGAGGTGACGTCTCCGATTTGAGAATGCTGACAAGGGTTCCCAACAATTGTGGATAGTCTAGTAAAGGTTGAATCACATACCCAGATGAGCTTGCTAATTGACCAAGAGCTTTGAGCGCAGCGTCACGCTTGTATGATGAGCTTTGATCCTGGAAAGTATCCAATATAAGCGGCATGAGCTCGGAGAGGAATGGTTTTATATCTTCTCCAGCTACCACAGAAGCCTCGCCAATGCAACTTATAGCAGCTGCAGCAACAGATGAGCTGGGGTCTTTTGTGCGTGGAAGTAAAGCTTCAACAATTGGTTTGATGTACGGTTTTGTAAGCTCCTTTGAATGAACAATCAACACTGACAAAAGAGTAGCAGCTTCTTCCTTCTTTCGACTCGTATTGGCATAATCCAATCTTGATAAGAGTTGAATCAAGGTTTTTCTGAGGGAGGGAACGATGTAAGCAGGGTTGATGGCCGAGAGCCTTCCCAATATTTTGACCGCAACTTTCCGAACGCTGAAGACTTCATCGTTGAGAGCGACAAAGAGTTGTTTCACGTTGTATGCTTGAGATAACTGGGGATCGAAATTTCCTGCCTTGTCAAGACAAGTCAATCCCTCAATTCTTATTTCAGCTACCGGATCCGTAATGGACACACACAATAACTTTTCGACGATCTCATTCACAGCGTCAAGAGCATTCACACTCATCTGATGACATATTGGATCCTTATTGAAGATCTTGCACGATGTAGAGGTAGCTGTTTGACGAATCTTCGCGCTATCACTATCAAGGTAGGTGATGATGCAATACCTGACGAACTCGTTCAATTGATAATCTTGAAATTCAAAGTGTGAGAGAATCTTCAATGCATGAACAACAAGCTCGCTGTCATGAGCACGGCAAGTCTCAGGGTTGTTGAGAATATTGCTAACGCTCATACCTGTGTCCCTGGATATCATTATCAATCTGAAATCACGAGCCAACGATTCGTTTATCTTGGTGGAGCCGTAAGGCGAGCCTGGTGGTTGGAATGTCTTACCAGAAAGCACCAAACTTAAAAGGTTGAGAAGCTTCTTTTCCACCGTGACTCTAAGCGAAGGAATGTTTGTGATAAGCGTCTGTAAGACATTTTCCATGTGTCCTGATAAAGAACAGTTGCTGAACATCATATCCAAGATGTCACGTTGTAAGTGTTTTGTGAGTGCTGGGCCAACTGCGATTGACAATTTGCCAATACAATCGAAGATAGCGGGTTCGGTGTCTTTCCTGGAGGCCCGATACTTTGCTGATCCTGAAGTTGATGCAGAAACGGATGAGAGCGCTGCTCCGGAGGTTTCACCCTTACTGACAGCTTCTGACAAAATCAGCTGAACGCCAGAGTTTGCAGGATAGGAGAGACCATCTCTAATATTGTCCAAGATAGCATCCAAGTAAGTAGCCATCTGGTTCCCAACCTCCAATGCTAGTAAACCAATGCTTTCCAAAATGGCAGATTTGTCACGGTTGCTAGCCTCATTATGCATATTTTTGTACTTTTTGAGTTGGGTGAGGTAGTAATACAATGTGCGGTGCAAATATTTCTCGACGAATAACTCGGGGTTCACACGGCATAAAATGGGATAAATTTTCGTGAGCTCTTGCCTGATGTAGGATACCTTGTGTCCCTTGTAAAGTGAGACATTCTCGTAGATTGTCCCAAACATAGACTTGATATATGGATCATTATGATATCTGAGTAACTCTCTGTACACAAGCAAGGCTCCATGAATCGTCTCGTTGGATGGTGACAGTGCCGTTGTAATCAAGCTGTAACCCGCTGCAAGTCCATTGCTATCGTGTGAGTTGGATTTCTCCATTGCATCAGAGCGGCCCAAAATAGATGACGCCTGGTCAATTAAAAGATGGACCCAACGTCTTCTAACTTCGACTTCTCTCGAGTAAATGATTGAAATGCATCGTTGGAGTGTAATAGCCGCGTCATTACGTATGATAAGCTTGTGGTCTCGAAGAGGTACCCAAATGTGTTCGAGAACCTGGGTGATGTAGCCCTGGAGTAGTAGTGGGGCATTCTCGGATAATGCTGTGAGAATCAATATAGCAGCATGCCGTCTATTTTCGTGTTGGCGGTTGTCGCTTTGAAGCCATTCGATAGCTCTCTTGGCCTCGAAATCAACAAAGTCTCCTGTCAATGTACCACCCGGAGTCGCCAACTTACCCAACGTTTTTGTGGCCTCCTTCATGATTTTGAGATCATTGGAAAGGATGAACGAACTAAGGTAATTCAGAAAACGAGCAGTCTTGGTAGCGTTTTCTTCACCCACACCGCTATCAAAGTCTATCAACGCATTGAGCGCCGCAATTCCGCCTAGAATTTGAGCAGCGTCTTTGCTTTGTAGTAGGTCGAAAATGGTTTTGTTGATTTCATTGTTGTATCTGTTGAACTGTTCTCCTGTAAGATCTCTGGCTATAGAGGCAAGGAAACTGCGTAGTTCTAGAGCACTTCTCGTGCGTTCTTCTTCTTTGACCAGCTTAAGCCCATTGAATATTTGATTGAGTGCCACGCCGTCCACAACCTGGACCTGTGTGGACGAAGACATGGTTTTTTATACGGGCTAGCTCAACTAAAACAGTAATGTAGCGAGCTTATCTGAATAGGAAGCTGGTAAACATCCGTACACCTTGGGTTGGGACCTAGTCTCCGGTTCATTTTAAGCTTGTCTATTTCATGATCGTATTTATGGCACAGAGAACAAAGAAAAGTTACGGACAATACCTGGTCCGTATTCGTCGTAGTCCTGTTTGGTGTAACAGTAACTCTTGAATTCGGCAGTCTGGGCCAACAAAGAACCACCGAACCACACAGCATTCCGCTGTCTCTTGTGTGAAATCACCTGGACGTCCACACCAGTACTCTTGACGCCGCTCAACTTTTCGCTCAATTCTATTCTCTCATTCACCAACAGCTTGATGTCTCTCTGCAACCTTCTGCCGAAATCCTTGAACATGGTGGAACCTCCACTCAACACAATGTTCTTGTAGAGCTTCTTACGAACATCAATTGGAGATGACTGAACGACTTGGTCCACAACGGTAGGCAATGGCGTCAAGTAGTCGGAAGAGCAGATCTCTGGGTTGAAGAAAATCTCTGGAGCCAAAAATCTTTCGTAACCGACATCAACAGTGCTTTTACGCTGAGCAGTCTCAACAATGTACTGAGCAAACTTCTCCTGTGGGTACTGGTCGAACTTCTTGAACTCCTTGACGATGTCGGGACAGACGTAACAGAATTGCTGCTTGATCTTCTCAGCCGTCTGCAAAGACGTGTCGGCTTCACCTCTGTCTCTCAACAAGGACTGAATGAAAAGAGTGATGTCTCTTCCTGCCAATGGGATGTTCTTGATGGCACCGCCGATAACGTAACCTTCGGCCACAGGAATAACGTGGGTAACACCGTCACCAGAGTCAATGACTGTACCAGTCAAGGAACGGTCGGTGACCTTAGCCGAAGTCCAAGAAGCTGCCAAAGCCAAGACGGCCTGGACGGCAATGTACAAACCAGCACAGTTGAACGATTCAAACATAATTTCAGCAGTGCTCTCTCTGTTCTCTGGAGGGTTTAAAGGAGGCTCGGTCAACAAAAAGTAGTGATCCTCCGGTTCACACCGAAGGTATTTGAAAATGGAGTTCTCCCAGAAGCGCTCCATGTGGTCCCAGTTCTCAATCTGTCCGTGTCTGATAGGATAAGACAAACTGTACTTTGGACCGGAAGCAGCGCTCAAGGCCTCGTCACCAATAAAGAAGTCCAAATCTTCCAAGCCTCTCTTACCACTAAGAGCACTACCACTGGAACCTTTGCTCAGTTTGGCGGCAGAAGTGGCTGTTGAAATGGCAGTTGGAAAGACAAAGGAAGGAGAGTCGTTACCAGCAAAACCCAACTTGGTTAAGCCGGTACCGTTGTCCATGACAACCGCAGGGGTACCCATAGACGCCATGGTGATGAATTGTCAGCTTTCTGGATCTTTTAGGTGTCAATTGGTGGAGACTTTTGGAATCCAAAGTAGCTTAGCTGTACGCTTTTTTGGTGCTCTCACACCTGTAGCTAGCCGAGGTCGGCGGGTGGAGATATGAGTTTCACACTACCATCTCTACAACTTTGACAATTTTGACACAAACTCCGAAAAATAAATAATTTATAAGTGTCTAGATGTTTAAATTCTTTTTCTTTACGGGTGGAGGACTATTTTGGAATATAGTGTACGCTGGCTTTTCGAAGGACTTGCCTATTTATGAGACAAAGATACGCTCAACTCACGTCAGGATTCCTCTGTCCCCATTCTGCTAATTCTACAGATAGAACATCATTCCCGTATATATATGTACTATGTGCTTGTATAACGTGACCTCTTCGGCTCTATCGAACCCCCTAGTACTCGTCCTTCCCGCTGATGATCACATCGTTGATCTTCAAGATCATTCTAGTCAACTGCGTGGCCAACAACAACTGCTGCTTCTTCCCGATCAAGGGGTCGATCACAAAGAGCTCCTTCATATCATTAGTGCCCTTACCCAAACAATCGACACCCAAGTGGGATGACTTCTCGAGGATCTGCTTGGACTTAAGGTTAGACAAGGTCTCAATTGGATCGAGACCGGAGTTTTCTGCAAGTGTAAGAGGGATCTGATCCAATGCAGTGGAGAAGGCTCTGAAAGCGTACTGATCAATGCCCTTTTGCTGGTCAGCAGCTTCGCTGACAGCGATAGAACACGTCAATTCAGCAGCTCCACCACCGTAGATCACTCTGCTCTCTCTGATCAAGTTTCTGACAACACAAATGGAATCATGCAATGCTCTCACACCTTCGGCGGCGATCATCTCGTTGGAGCCTCTGATGAAACATGTGACAGCCTTGGTGTTGGAACAGTCCTCAACAACCAACATGCGGTCTCTAGTAGTACCGAACTCGAGCTCCCTGATAGTGCCTGCATGGCCCAACTTTTCAGCAGCCAAGTGCTCAAATCTGGGCACAATACGGCCGTTGGTGGCAATGGCAAGCAACTCCAATTCGGATCCACCAATCCATCTGATAGCGTTCAATTTGTTAGCCAACAACAAGTGGTTGGCCTCGTCGTCGAAACCCCATTGACATGCAACAACATTAGCACCGGACTCCTTCACTCTGTCGATCATTTCGATAAACTTCTTCTGCTCGTATTCTTGCAAAGCCTTGAACTCCTCCACACTGGAGATGTCCAACTTATGCTTCGTCTTTGGCTTTGGTGGTTCGAATGGGCACGTCAAAATAGCGATCTTACAGTCCTTGATCTCCTTGGCCATTTGTGGGTGGGAGAACTCCTTGTCCAAAAGAACACCTTTGATAAGAGCGGAGTCTTCAATACCACCACCGACTTTGCTCTCCATCTTGATCAACTCAAAGTCCACGTCTCTTCTCTCCATGTCAGCAACCGACAAGACAGCATCCACGGCCATCTGTGCAAAGTGATCATGAGCCTTTGAAACAATCTTGGAGCCCAATGAGGTCTTGGCGGCCTTCAACAAGTTCGAGTCGGTTTTCTCAGCACTGATGCTGATATTGTCTGCTACCTCGTCCAAGTGCTGGCAAGCGATCTTGCATGCCTCGTCGAATCCATTGGCAATCTTGATGGGATGGATACCTTTTTCGATAAGCTCCAAAGCTTGGTCCAAAAGAGCACTAGCCAACACGACAACACCTGTAGTACCATCACCGATCTCGTCATCCTGAGACTTGGCCAACTCCACCAAAAGCTTAGCGATTTCGTTGTCCAAGTCCATCTGGGACAAGATGGTAGCACCATCATTAGTGATTGTGATGTCACCGTCCTGACTGACCAAGATCTTGTCCAAACCACGAGGTCCCAATGAAGTTTTCACGATAGAGGCGACTGATCTGGCAGCCAAAATATGTGACTTGGTAGCCTCAACACCGTGTTTTCTCTGCTTTTTGCCTTGATCTCTGACAATGATGAATGGTCTTCCCATCTCATCCTGTGCCACGATGGCATTGGAGAGGTCCGGGATTCCTGGTTGTGCCATATTTGGTTTGTAGTTAAGACACGAGAATCGACTTTTTTTTCTACAGTGTGTGAAGGATTTTCGAGTAGTAGCTCGGCACCCGTACCTCATACATAACAACAACTAAATTGGAAGGCCAGAGAGGGTATTAAAGGGATGAATGGAAATGTGTTTTTATTAAATAAGCATTCTTTTCCTTGACTAGATTAGACTTTTGAATGATTCGAGATCTTTGTTGGTCGAAAAGGTGCAAATAGACGTTGAGTGGGCTAATCGGTGGACGGAACTGAACAGCTGATTACAAACAAGAAGTCATTATGGGGATTTCTTCTTTTACAATTTTATACTCACTACATAGACTGGAGTGCTTGTCTGTTCTTCGCTTGAAACAGGGTTTTTTGATACTACAAGTTTGGCTGCGAAAAACAGAACACCACATCAGAGCATGGTTTAGACACAATAGATGTAGAAGAATATATGCACAAACCTCTCTTCTCGAAGCTTCGAACATTTCATTTATTTGTGTGTTGAATCTCGTGCTCATTGCCATTTTTCAGCCAGGCAGATCCTTTCTTCAAAACCAAAATGGGCTATTCTGATGCAAACAAGAAACCCCCTAGCCGGTAGGTTAGGAATGGAATGGGCATCCTTACAACCAAGACGTTTATTAAAGCAAATTCTTCATTGAAAGATTTGCCACCATCATAGACCGATATTGCGAGCTCCAAACGCATTTGATCTGTTCGAGAAGGTGAAACTACTCATTGGATCTTACAAAAGCTATCTTCCAGCGTTCTGGTCAGCACCTCATCTCGATCCAGTGTTCCTGAAAGGGTATACCCAATTGCATGCAACAGTGTATTAACGATCCAGATTAACCTTCATGCATACGCAGATAAACGGTTGGAAAGTCAAAATTATAATACACAAGAGGACCAATTTTACGAGGGGACCAAATATGTTAAATTGACATCTCTTCGAAATAGGTTCCAAAATGCTCACTACGTTGCCTTTACCGTTATGTCTAAGCCCCGCATTTCAGTTCATCACCAGCTCATCGCATCTCATCGGAGTAAACGTAAAACTGAGCTGTGATTATGGAACCTTACAAAATTTGTCAACTCCGAATCTAACCCACGAACGGAATGATGGATGTCTTTCAGCCGTCTCCGCTCATAACCTCTCCGTATTGGGTCTAGAGTGCCGCGATCAGATAATAAGAAAAATGCAGCCGCTGAGGTGAAAAAAAATTGAGAGCCTTATAAACGAGCATCGGACATCGAAAAAGTTCACTATCTAAAACATCAGCTTGCAACAAAAATGGCCGACATCGATGTGGACAACGCTTCTTTGGAGCAGTTGAGAGACGTTTTGTGCAACAAGTCTGGAGACGTTGTTCTTGCCAACCGTTTCAGAGCTCTTTTCAACTTGAAGAACATCGGTGCAGACTCTGAGGATAAGGAGACCGTTCACAAGGCTATCGACTACATTGCCGACTGTTTCAATGATGACTCCGAGTTGCTCAAGCACGAGGTCGCTTACGTCTTGGGTCAGATTAGAGACATCTACGCTAACAAGCACTTGAAGGCTGTGTTGGCTGACACCAACCAGCAGGTCATGGTTAGACACGAAGCTGCCGAGGCCATGGGTGCTATCGGTAACGAGGAGGTTTTGGAGATGTTGGAGGACTACTACAAGAACGACCCCTCTGTGGAGATCAGAGAGACTTGTGAACTTGCTATTGACAGAATCAAGTGGGAGAACTCCGAGAAGGCCAAGGCCGAGAACCTTGAGAAGTCCGCCTTCACCTCGATCGACCCTGCTCCTCCTTTGGCCACTGACCAGGAAGCCAAGGTTGAGAAGTTGCAGAAGCTCTTGAACGACCAGGACAAGTCTTTGTTCGAGAGATACAGAGCCATGTTCAGATTGAGAGACTTGGGTACGGATGAAGCTGCTCTTGCCTTGGCTACCGGTTTCGACGACCCATCTGCTTTGTTCAGACACGAGATTGCCTACGTTTTCGGTCAGTTGTGTAACCCTGTCACTGTTCCTTCATTGATCAAGGTGTTGAAGGACCTGAAGGAGGCTGGTATGGTCAGACACGAGGCTGCCGAGGCTCTTGGCTCGATTGCCACTGACGAGTGTTTGCCTGTTCTTAAGTCGTTCCTCAACGACGAGGAGAAGGTTGTCAGAGACAGCGCTATTGTCGCTCTAGACATGTACGAGTATGAGAACTCCAACGAGTTGGAGTACACCACGGTCAAGACGTAACTGGGAAGGAATCAACGTAATGTGTATTAAAAGATAAACTGTTAAATGTATGCCAGAAGTAAATATGCTAGTTGTTGGTCCTGAAACGGTAACCACAGTTGGTACAGGTGTAGAAGACAGTTGCACCCTCATCGGCAGAACGCAACTGAAGCGTGTGGTATTGCATCTCCTCGTGGCCACACTTGACACACTTCTCTTTGATAGTAGCACCTTCGTCGAGCTCTTCGCTGTTCAACGACGTCTTCACCACAGACTTCTTCATTCTGAGTGCGGATGGGAAAGCATCCTCAGACGACTTGGTCACCACCTTAAGGTTTGCAAACTTCTTCGAGGGGTAGGATCTTTTACAGACACCGCAGTCCAAGGTAGGAGCTGCTGACACGGAGTCTAGCAAATTTCCACAGTCCACGCAGAATATAAGAGAGCCAACCACGGACATGGTGATGTATTCTAAATCTCATCGCAGCTTTTTTCAACCTCATCACTCTGCGCACACTGCACATCGAGCATACCTACTGATCCACATTATCTCTAGCGCACAACTACATTAGCTAAAATGAGACAGAAAAGGGCCAAGAGTTACAAGAAGCAGATGAATGTGTATCTTCACACGTTCAAGTTCAGAGAACCTTTCCAGACTATCGTGGATGACGAAATCGTCTTGACCTGCGATAAGGCTTCCTTCAACTTGCCCAAGGGCCTCACCAGAACCATCCAGGCTGAGCTGAAGCCCATGATAACCCAGTGTTGCATGCAAGCGTTATATTTGACAAACAACCAGCCTGCTATTGACTTGGCCAAGTCGTTTGAGAGAAGAAGGTGCAACCACTTTGGTAATCCAAAGCCTCCAGCCGAATGCATCGAGTCGATTGTCAACATCGACGGAGAGAATAAGCACAGATACGTTGTGGCTACGCAGAATACGAAATTGAGAAAAACTCTTCGAGGGGTGCCGGGTGTACCACTTATTTTCATGAACCGTTCGGTGATGGTGATGGAGCCTGCTTCAGATGCCACCATGAGAGCTGCTACACTTAGTGAGAACGCTAAGCTCACAGCAGGTCTTAACGACACCAAGATCGGCTACATCAAGAAGGAAGAGGAAGCTGAGGAGGAGCAGCCACAGAAGAAGAAGAGAAAGGGTCCCAAGGAACCAAATCCACTCAGCATGAAGAAAAAGAAGAGCGGTCCAAAGGAGACAGTGGAACCAGAAAGTGAAAAGCCTAAGAAGAAGAGAGCTAGACGTCATAAAAAGAGCACAGAGGAGTCTAATGGCGATGCCAATGACTCGCCACAGGAAAATGGCAACGATGCCCAATAACCTTGTATATTAACCAAATGCATTTACATCAAATGAGACCCAGGCCGCTTATGTAGTTTGTAGAATCTCGAAGGAATTATCTCCGTTCGATTCCTCAACCTTTGGGGTGGAGTGACCTGGACTGCTAGAGCTGTTGTTCATGACATTGTTGTTGTCTACCTTCAACACCTCTGTGATATCGTCATCAACCAAACACATCTTGCAGTCGAACGCTATGAGCTTCTCACGAAGCATGCTTTTAAAGGTTTTCAGTAACATGTACAAATTGTCTTCCTTCTCCTTGTCCATCTCGCGGAGCGAGGGAGAAAAGAAGACGAAGGTAGATTCTTTCATACACTTGACGTCAAACTCCTCATAACCTTTGTTGGTCAGCAATATTTCACCGACCGCCTTTCTGACAGATGCCTCATTGACACCGAAAAATGTATCTCTGATTAAGAGAGCGTTGCAGAGCTTTTCGTCTAGCTGTGTGAGTTTGAGCTCTTCAAGCTGGATCCTCTTGAGCTCTATTTCATGTTCCTTCTCTATGGTTTGATGGATCGTCATCTTCGGAACCTCTGTTCTCTCTGTAATTACAATGAACACTGCCCTATTGGGTTCCTTATCTTGTGACTCCGTGTAAAGCTTGAACGTAGTTGCGAGCTCTTTGATGAAGTCTCTTTGGGGCTTCATCATTGGTTGGAAGTGGTGAGTATTTTTAGTAGGTGCACCAGCTGCTTTCAAATCTTGATAGTCACTGATGAAATCTCTCATAACAGCCTCCATTTTCAGACACCAGTTCTTCTGTCTTTTGTAGACACTGAGAATCAGCTCAGGGTATGGATTCTCAAAGACTTGTGGCGAAACATTAAAGATTTGGCGTAACTCCTCCTCTCGCTTGGCATGAGCACAACCATCATTGCACTCTAATATGGTACCAATTCTAGTCTCCTTGGCTGATGAGGCTCCACATGGAACTTCCCTAGTTAATCTGCCACACAAGCAGCTGATTTCGACCGGTTGATTACAGACAAAGCTATCACAAGGGGAGGCAAAAGCGTGGTGACACTTGCGAACACAAATATGAGGACATGTCTTTCTAACCTTACGGCAGAAAGATTGGCAAGATGCAACCTCGGCATGATTACCCTCGGTGCAATCTTTTGAACAAGCTCTGTTGCAAGGATGCCCGCATTCCTTCTTGACAGTGCAGATTTTGCCGCATGAGACACCATTGATAGAGCACATCACATTCTTGATCTCTTTGTCGCCACAATTACATTTCTTTGTGACAAGCGTGGTGCACTTTGGACATCTGTCATCATCGGTGTGGCACCAATGCGGCTCTTGTGGATGACCGCATGGCTTCTCACGGATACACTGTTCGTGGCATTCCAATTTCGTTCCACATCTTACTGGAGCAGGGATGACCGTCTTGCCGCAATGACACACCAAATCATCGTTGGAAGATTCGTAGCACACGCCACAAGGACCGCTATGACACAAGGCTTCACAACGATGCTGCCCACATGACTTCAATTGGTTGCATGTTCTTGTACAGATGTGAACTGGTTCCATGGTGAGTACCTGGTCCTCGAAGTTCGTTCTGGTCTTGTTTCTAATCTGCTTCTTCACTTCACGCTCTCTCTTGAGTGCAACTTGCTCAAACGGACAGCACCTCTCTCTGTGAACATGATGACGGCAACTGAGAGGAGCTGAACATTTCCTGAGACAGCGGGGCTTGAAGCCTTGCTGAAGAGCCTTGCAAGGAACAATAAACGAGTTGGCCTCACACTCACACTTCGTCTCTATCAAGTTGAAACACTCACAAGGACCTTCGTGGCACTGAGCAAGACAGGTACATCCACATCTGAGTTTCTTTCCACACACGTTCTCACAAGCAGGCATAGGATCGGTACACTTTGTACGCTTTAAAGAGTCGAATGGAGTCTTGCCACAGTAGCAGCTGTTCACGACATCTGTAGCAAACTTACAGTGTGGCTTCTCCTTGGCCAAAGGCTGGCAGTCGAGCTCCTCAAAATGCTCGTCACAGTCGTAGTATTGAATCGTGACGTTCTTGCATTTCGTTCCACCAATGAACTTCTCGTTATCCTTGAAGCTAATTTCAGGACGGAAGTCCTTGCACTGAATTGACTTCGTGTTCTGTCCACAGTAGCACGATACGTCAATCTTTGTCTTGCAAGGACCACAGAACCCTGAATGACAATTGCCCTTGGAACAAGCATGGCCTAGCATACAAACTTTTGTTTCACAAGCATCTTCACATTGCCATCCCATCTTGTATGGTGTCACCAAGCAAGGAAGCTGCTGCTTATGCTTACCACATTTGCAGTTCATCAAAGGGCCCATGGCACCACACTCAGGATGCTTTCCTGGATGGCACACAGAGGAACAAGAATGGACACAGTGTGGATATTTTTTGTTGCAAGGGTTCCCACAGCTAAAAGGAATCAAGCTGTCTGCTGTGGGATTATTGACTCTTCCACACCAACATGTGAACGAAGACGGAAGCTTCTTCTGTTCAAAGCTGCACGCCGGGCATCTCCAGGTCTTCTGTTCGGTTGTAGACGATCCTCTCTGTGCCCAATCACGGATACAGTCAAGATCGTATACTCTGTAGCAGTTTCGGCAGTTCCAGACTTTCAGATGTCTATCGATCTCACAAGTACAGACCAAGCAGACATAGGTGCCTTCGTCAATTTCCTGGACAATTGTCGAGGCTAACGATTCATCGTGTTGCTCGACTTCGTAATCTTCAGGATCTGACTCTGAATCCTCCTCGAGAGCTTCACTAGCTGAAAATCCATCGCTATCGCTCTGGTCATCGGACGCTTCCCCAGCTTTGAGTTCCAGGGTCGCTATCGACGACAGGGAGGTTCCTTGGCCTAATACACTAGGTAGTGATGTTTCACTATTCGGCTTCTCTTTTTCTCGCTCTTTACTCGAACACATCGTGAAGAGATGGAAGTGGAATCTCGGGCTTTTTCACTGTGCGGAAGCCCGATCTGTGAGTGATAATGAGTAATGGTGAGGGATGCATGTAACCTAAAATAAGAAGATAGGGCAAAGATACATGGCAAAGGATCCATTTGTATTTGCTTCGATATTGTTGAAAATTGACATTATTGGATTAAATATGCTCATTTAGTATTCTTGCTAGTCATCGGTGTTCGCAAAATGGTTGCAAAATCGAGTGCGGTCTCCATATTGTTCTCTTCGCTAAATATCCATTAATATAATAAACAACACCAACGACTTTTTTTTTAATCGAAATTATTTAAAGGTGATTTACTACCTCGCTATTGTCCCCACGTGAGGTTACGCCAAAATTCCACCGCTTAGCAATAGATATGTACGAGTCAGGCAGCCTCGCTAAATGAGACATCAGACTCAAAGGTACCCAGATAAGCAGATGCATAGCGGACTTTTTACACTGACACATTAATTACCAAAAAAGGTGCTTCTTCTACGAAGATACAGCTGCGGTAACATTATCATCAATTAAACATGCAATATAGTAGTAAAGGAGTGTGTTTAGTTGGCACGGATACTCTTCCTCTTGAAGAAGTTCATTACTTTGCGGGCTGCACTGGCTTCCTTGCCTCTAACATAGGTGCCGTTGGCGGGGCCCGATGATGATTTTCTTGAGTGGTTAGACCTTCCTGAAGAACCAGATCCAATTCGCTTCTCTTTGGCGGCACTGGAGTGATTGGCAACGTTAGCGTCGTTTAAAGGCTCTAAAATTTTACGACCGTTGTTCGTTGGTGTGCTCGGCCTATTGTCGACCTGGGTTGAGGACTCATTAAATGAGCTGTAGAAGGATATTAAGCTGAATCTGTTCCTCTTTTTTGTATCTTTCAAAGCGGTATTATCGTTTGTCTCTCCCCTTCTAGGATACCCGCTACTTTCTTTTGCGACGGGAGCATTTTCGTCGTTGGTTACCTCACCAAGTTGGTCCTTCTTATCAATGTCTTCCTGTGTGATAGTGCTTTCTGTACCAGCAGCTTTCTCCGTCTCATCTCCAACAGCAACAGGCGAATCAGTTTGCGTGTCAAATGTTGGCAGCTGATTAATTTGTGGTGTTTGATGCGACGGTTGAAGTTCCGTCTCTAGCTTGGGGATCAGCGAGGACGAGAATTTATGAGCACTATCGGAGAAGTTTGATTTTGTTGGCAGCTCACTGAGTTCAAGTTGTTCCATTTTATCTTCAAGGTAGCTCAAGACCGAATTGCGTTTGTTTTCATGAGAATTCAAATCTTTCGTGAGAACACCGTTGACATTAATAGCCGTGACGACAGAGTCACGCCTACTATTGCGAGGTTTGATGGAATGATTCAGACCAGGACTGCTCTGGAATGATTCAACAGGCTCAGGAGATGGCTTGGGTGGCGAATTTGACAAGAACTGAGGCATTCCCATCTTCATATAGTCAAGCAAGTTACCGGAGATGTTTTGCCCAGACATGATTGAAGAAGACATCAGCCCTGGGTGGTAAGAAGTGGGTCTTGGCTTCTTCTCAGAGTGTGGTAGTCTGTGCACCATCTTAGCATCGTGATGCTTGTCGTTCTTGTGAGGGAATTCATTATTAGTTGGGCTCTCTGCGATTGTGGGTATAGCACCGCTGTAAGTCGAACCTCTTGTTGGTGATGGGAATTCACTGTTGTTACTGATGATGCTCAGATCTGCGTCAAAGGCCAAAGAAGCTCTCTTGGCCTCGCGCTCATTGACCATAGCTTGAAGAGCAAGGCTTGCAGTTGGGTATGTACCAGAGACTGATGCAGATTTTGAATGACCTTTGTGGAATGCAACTTTAGTGGGGGAAGTATCTCTTGTGGTACCGACGCTTCCTGAGCGATTTCTGGTTGTGGAAACTCCACTTGAACCTGAACTTGGATCATTAGGCGGCAATGCAACAATGGTGGCCAAGGACGAAGATGTAGTGGGTGGGGAGTATATGATGTTGGAGTTTGAAGTGTATGATCTTCCCTGGGCAGACTTGGCAGAGCCCAAGATCAAGGAGGAGGAGTTTGTATTCTCCGCGTACATTGTGTAACGCTTGCTTCTTCTTTGGATAGGATCAACGGTAACCTCCTTCTTCTCCGTGCTAAGCTTGTCCCATTCAGGTTGCCTGATGGAAAGTAAGCTTGCATATGGTGCCAACCAGGAATGCCGGCGGATTTCGTCCATGGTGATTCTCTTGTGTGGAGCAGGAACGATGGTTCTGCGGATCAAGTCTCTGGCCAATGGAGTGATGTATTCGGGGAACGTGAGGGGCGTTTTGTAAATGTAGTTGTATAAGCGGGTGATGTCAGTGCCGTCTTCATTTTCAGCATCGTCGTCATAGGGAAGATAGCCTGCAAGCATAGCGTAAAGGATGATTCCCATGGACCAAATGTCTACTTTGCGGCCTTCGTAGGGAGCTTGAGATAAGACCAATTCAGGAGCAGCGTAGCAAGGCGAACCGCAGGAAGTTTTCATGAAGTCGCCACGTCTCGAGCTGAAACAATTGACGAAGCCAAAGTCGGAGATAATGATGTTCTTGTGCTTGTCAAGCAAGAGGTTCTCCAACTTAAGGTCACGATGAACGTAACCTTTCGAATGCATGTAGTCGACGCCACTGACAAGTTGGGCGAAGAGCTTTCTGGCAAAGTCCTCCTTGAGGTGTTTATGCTGCAAGATGTAGTCGAACAACTCGCCGCCAGGAGCGTATTCGAGCACGATACCGATGTATTCGCCTGACTTGACGACTTCGACGAGATTGACGATGTTGGGGTGTGTGAGTTGTCTCAAGGAGTTGATTTCTCTGTATACTTTGATCTCGGATTCGGAACCTTTACGGAGGGAGTCTCTTCGAATGAGTTTCACAGCGACTTGGGAAGGATGCTGTCCATTAGTTCTCCAGCCAAGCTTGACTTTCCCAAACTCGCCTTCGCCCAAAGTGGACCCTAGAACATAGGTACCCAAGCGCATTTCTCTGTAAACCTTCTTGCCTGGAGCAGCCAGCGGGAGGGCAGCCGAGGTTGAGACGGGCCGGACAGAGCTATCGACGGCCGCCATGATGAAGGAAAAAAGTGTTTGGTAGTTTTTGGAACAAGAAGGAGGAGTAGGTGTTGATAAGGCGCAGACGTTCTGGTGTTGTTACAGCGCTATGTTATTGTGTTTAGCTTTAGCCTGAAAATGGAAGGATGTAAACAAACGCTGTGCAGAGCAGCGAACCTGACAGGCGGCTATATTGGGCAACAGACGGGATGGAGATCAACCGATTTTAACGATAATTGAAAACAAATGAAAAAACAACAAGACAGAAAAGTGGTCTTGAATTTTTCTCTTTTGGAATATGGCAAACTAAATTTGGTTTCGAACCGGCGGGGAGGGGTGTGGCAGGTCCCTGGGCGCGAAGATGCTATTCTGGTATGAAACCTATTCAGAACCTGAAAAACACGATGTGAGGTTTCAGCAAGTGGTACCACCAGCAAGCTCCAGACGGGTATTTGTTTCAGAAGAGCAAAGTGGGAGCTTTGGCGAGGCTGCAGAAAAAATGACAAAGCTAAGCGATAAAGAAAGAAGCTATGGCGTGAGTTCTTTTTGATTTTTTCCTAAAGCAGCTCGTCTGTGGAATCTATTGTTAGCCGGTTCTGTGGGGTGGAGACGGTGATTTTTTTTTTGTTTCGCTTTTGGCACTCTACCTCGAGATTTCGCTGGAGGTGTGCTGCGGGAATGTTCGATCGGGTGCGATTTGGCGCCAGGCAGCGTTACGCAAGGAATGTGGAAAAGATCAGAGGGAGAAAACACAAGAGTAGAAAAAACAAAATTTAGAGTCGCCTGTCGCCACGTTTATACCGCTCAGCGCCGCACAACTAAGGAGCTCATTCCCGCCGTTGTCAGGTCGACTCCGCAAGACTAAGAACAGATGACTATTTCGCAGCCATTGAACCAAGGTACCTCGGAGGTGCCGGCTTGGGAAAGTGCACAACAAGAAGACGCACCACACAATGCAACGAGTTGACGGTGAGTTGACGACGGCAGCACCGGGAGGTGAATGAATTTGAATGCTAACGGGTTTATCGATGGATTTTGGGTGGCTCAATTGAAGAGAAGTCACCTCCCTGATCCATTACCTCATAGTCTTATCATTCCAGCGCGGCCGCACGGGGCCCCTAAAAGGGACATTTTCTTGATCCCCTCCGCCCGGTGAGCTAAAATACCGAGTGGGGGGGTGCCATGGATCAATTGTTCGTTAAACCTTATCTGATCGGTTTGGTCAGCCATTTTCATCTTGTCTTTTTGGGAAAGTGGGCCAGCATGCCTTGAGCTTATCGCCACGGCTGAAACGGTGATTGGCTGCTAACGAATAAATGCCGATCAGCACCTGGCTTATCCGGTGGGCTTTGAATCTGGGGAATTAGTTCGGATGTGTGATCCGGGGCGTGCCTGGTAAAAGGTACATCGGGAGCATGCGGTGGGTTTCTTAGGGGGGTGCGGCCCAACAAGACATTCTGCCGCTCTTCAGTGGAAAAATGGGATCTTTAAGCTGAAATCGGGCATTGTTGGTTTTCTTGACCTGGGACTTTTGGTTTCGCAGCCAGTCAGCCTTTCAGTTGAGCTGCACGAGCCAGAATGCAACCAAGCGCAAAAATGTAGCCTATACAATTTGCTCAAATCGATTGTAGTTTCATTGATTACCTGACATGCGCAAATTACATAGAAACTGTTAATGTTTCATTGCAGCCGTTGTGCTTCACCTTTGCCAGTGCTGCACTATGAGTGCCCTACTGCACGTCTAACTACTACGCACTGGCTTCTGTTTACGCGTCGCATCAAGATCTTGTCTCCAGCAACTTCTTACCTAAATGGTCACGAGAAAGTCTAAAACACCAAAGGGTGACATCTGGCTCAACGGCTTGATCCCCACAGTCTCCAAACCCATCCCCACCAAGGAGCTCATCAACCGTCTCCTGGCGTTGGCTGACCACCTTTCAGCTTTGGATCAGGCCTCTGTTAGTCCAGAGAAATATGCTGACATAGCCAAGGATCTAGCCAACAAAAAGCTTTTAAATCACCAGAATGAAGCTGTGAAAGCCCATACGTGCTGCGCTATTGCAGATATCTTACGCATAAACGCTCCTGATGCTCCATACCTGGACGAGGAGCTCTCTAGAATCTTTAGATCGTTCTTTGCTCAGCTAGGCCATGCTTGGGACACAAATAATTCCTTTTATGCTCAACAGTCGTATGTTTTGACCCGCTTGGTCGAGGTCAGATCAATTATCTTGGTGGTGGACTTGCCTGATGCCGCAGAGCTTATCACTCTATTGTTTGATACCATGTACGAACTAGCAGCAAAAGGGTTCCCGCAGAAGCTCGAACAACTCGCTGCAGACATGCTTGCTGGAGTCATTGCAGAAGCAGAAATTATCCCTAAAAACGTCGTCTCCACAGTGTTCAAGAGCTTGACGTTTACGGGCACATCGCTCACAGGAAATGCCTCCAACATCTCCCACCCGGGCTTCACCTTCTCTGTAGCAGTGTGTGAGGGTAACATTGACAAAATGTCGAGACAGGTGGCCAAACTATTTTCCGAGATGCTTGATGAAAGCGCCACTCCTACGGCCACCACTACAACCAGCACGAACGCATCGTTCAAAACGCTAGACAAGATACATAAATGGTCAGTGCAGATTTGGAAGCATGTCCCCGAAATGCTCGGATCAATCATAGGGCTCATTGGTGATGAGCTCACGTCCGACTCTGAAAAGATCCGTGTATTGGCTACCGAAACTATCGGTGAGATATTGGCCGTTTCAGAGAACAACACATCCCACACCAATATCGACAGCAATTTGATCCATTTTTTTACCGCGCACAAAAGTACATGGTCGAGTTGGCTTAAGAAATCTGCAGACGTCTCCGCTTCTGTCCGCTGTGCCTGGGCTACACTGCTCCCTGCGATACTTGATTCACCATCCATAACAACAGAAATGGTTAACGACTTACGAGAAAATATCAAAAAGTGTTTATTGGATTCTAGTGAGAAGGTCAGATTGGCTTCATGTAAGGCAATCGAAAGCTTAGCATTTCCAATATTCACAAGTAAACTTGCAGACGAGGAGCTCCTCCAAACTTTGTTCTCCGTATTGAGAGAACGAGATGAAGAGATCAGAACCTTGGTTATAAGGTGTCTATGCTATGTCTACGATAACTTTATGAAACTGACGATGGAAGATGAAGTTGTCGACTTTGGCAGTCTAAGAGCTTCGGAAGTCAAGCGTGTTGAGCATATGTTGAGAAATGAGTTTCCAAATAAGTTCATTCAACTTAACTACATCAACCTCGTTTCCATCACAACAGTCGTCGATGTTGAGTTATTTGAGAATGTTATCCCCTTCCTGAACAATGCCACAACTCGTTGTGCTCGCCTATGCCATTTCTTTTCCACTCTAGACCAGAAGAGCAGAGAAGCATTTACTGCTGTACTTTCACGACAGAAAAAGTACTCTAGTGCGTTGACCAAATTCATAGAACTTTCCGACGAATATCATTCGAAAGAAGTGGTGGAGGATAACAAGGAGAATGCTAGCGATGGTGACGTGAAGGAAAGCAAGAGAATCACAGATGAGATACTTCGCAAGGCCGATAAGCTCTATCAGTGGTTATCAGTTATGATGCCAGAAAGCTTCAATTCTCGAGCGTGTCTTGAAAAACTTTTTCTTCTGAACAACTCCAGGCACATGAAGCTCATACTGAATTGTATTTCCAGTCATCTGGATTATAAAACTATCAAGAACTCCATAAAAGAGTTGATCGTGAGTTTGAATAATCAGAAGGCCAAGAAATCTCCCAAGGGTTCAGCCACCACAGCAGAAGTGATATCGACATTGAAGTTGCTTCTCTACAGAGCCTCGCCTATCTTTTTTAACAGAACTAACATCTCTGAGATTATGATGATCTCAAAAGATTCCCAGCATGAATTTCACTCTGTGGCTAATGAACTTCTCGAATTGGTGGCAGCATCTAATCCCGAAGTACTTCGAGACCAACTCCTGGTCATGGCGGATTTGCTTGTGACTGATGATATTTATAATCCGAAAAATCCCCTCGATTCGATTTTACGATCAATTCACCATTATCTTAAAACCTCGCCTAAGGATTTTCCGGATAGTTTGATTTTCACTGATAGATTGCTAAGATTGGCTCAAGAAGGATCGCCGGAACAGGCCAAATATTCCGTTAAGATCCTAGGCCATCACCAACAAAAGGAACACTTTCTTTCAGAAATCGTTTCCAACCTGCTTCCACTAGACCCAGAAAGCGCTCATTTCACAACCAAGCTAGCTTCCATCGCTGAAGTCAGTCTTATTGAACCTTTCGCCGTTGAAGACCATGTAGGGGACATCAACAATGTGATTACCGAGCAAGTGCTCAAGCAAAACCGTCGGCCAGAAAGTGATAATCCAGGAGTTGATTGGATCACGGACGATGACTTGAAGTTGGGTCATCAGTCATACGAGCTTCTTAATGAGAAGGTCCTTGCAATTCGCTATATTGTTAACAGGATAAGAGGCTTGTGCCGCTCGGAAACCAACAATTCTGATGCCGCCTTCGTGAAACAGTTCGAAAAGCCTATAAGGCTTCTCTCTCTCATCATCGCAACAAGTGGCGAGATTGTGAGGCAAAACGACAAGCTGAATCCAACACCAAGACTCTATCAAATGCGCTTGCGTTTGGTAGCTGGATTGGGAATACTAAAGCTAGCCAAGATCCCCGCCTTGGATGTTTTGATCGACTGCAATATTCTTAGAAAAACTGGTCGCTTGATGTATGATCTGTCAAAGCAGGTTAGAGAGAAATTCATGAGGACATTGCATAGCTGCTTGTCTAGCTTTGAAATTCCGGAGAGATTTTTATATCTCGTATTCATGATGGGCCATGAGCCGGATCCACAATTGCGTACTCGTGCGGACACATGGGTAAAATCCACGTATCAAAAACTCGATAAGAATAATGATACAACGTTCGAGCGCTCTCTTTCACGATTGATACATGGTGTTGCGCATGATGAAAAGTTTTTGAGCTATTCCGAAGGTGTTGGAGGTGACAGCACTTCCAGAGATTTCCAAGCCCTTGAATACGCTCTGAAATATCTCAACATGTATCTTTTGAACATCGCAAAAGATTCAAACATCTCACTTCTTTACTATATTGCAAGTCGTGTGAAACAATACCGGGATGCCACACTCCCCTCGAAGGAATATGAACTTGCAATGATACCTCCAGCAGCGATGAGGTTGTACAGAGTTTCAGAATTGTGCCAATTGATGATCAAAGAATACGCAGATTTAAAAAACTATACATTGCAGACCTGGCCTGGTAAGATGAAGCTTCCAGCGGATCTTTTTTCACCTATGGAGAATTTCGAGGAGGCACTGAAGGTGCTTGAAAAGCAATACATTGAGGATGACTTACAAATCCAGCTTCGTGGGAAAATGAAGGCAATTCTAGGTCGCTCGACGACTAAAAGGCCCATTGGAGTACATCCTACTCCTGCCAAAAAGCGCAAGCCCAACTCCAAAACACCCAAGCAGACCAAGAAACCCAAACAACCGAAAGAGTCTACTTCAAAGAAGGTGTCACCACCGAGAAGAAGCTCAAGAGCCACAAAGAAGGTGACATACTCTTACGGCTCTGGAAGCGAACTTAGCGAGGAAGAGATGGTCAGTGGAGATGACTACGAAAGTGATTACGATTAGAAGGATGATCATGCAAAGGTTCGTTATTAATGCTATGTATTGTTTATGCCTCCATAGATTTGATGGTGTTGAATTTCCGGCTCCAGCACTCCTCAACAAGTAGTTGAAGTCTAGTAGCAGCAGGAAATGACTTTCGCTTTCCTTCGGCCGCTAATCCTTTCTCGATAACATTAAATAGCTTGACAGCTTGTTTGTAGTATGTTCTGTAGAAGCTTTGGGCTGAGACCTCCCACCAGTTGCTTAGAATGACAAAATGAACGTTAGTTACGACAGACAAATCGGTGTTCAAAATACGGGCGATGGCTCTCCACTCTGCGCTTTGGTCAAAGTCACCCAGGCTCGAGCTATGACTTTCTCTGCAAATAGCAGCCCATAGCGTCATTATTCCTCCAATGCGCTCCTCGTATTTGACCTCATCCTCCCATTTATCGTCTGAACGTTTCCAGCCCATTCTTACACGTCCCTCCTCGGTGTCAATGGAGCAGGAGTATCCAAGGATGAAGCAGCACTTCTTCACGAAACGAGCCGTGAGAAAGTACTTGAATTCTGGATAACGCTTGAGAAACACATTCGTCAAAAGTGCTAAAGGTAAGGCGGCAGTAGGTTTAACGGTCACCTCCGCCTCAGCTTGGGAAATTAAGGCTTTTGAAATGAAGTTCAAAATCCATTTATAGGCCTGAGTGTCGTTTCGTGTCAGCTCGATCACCTCTAGCATCTCATTGCATACAGTTTGACACTGTCTGACGGAATTTGAAAGCTGGCCAAATTTTACATTGACCCTTCTTTTTAGAGTGTTCAATGATTTTTTGGCCTCTTTGTTTTGATTAATAGGAGCAACAACATTTTGCTTGATATTGACGATCTCTGCTCTCCATTTCTCCACTTCTTTTGCAACGGAGGCCCAGTTGGTATTTCCGCTCTTGCGCTTGGCTTCCTCCTCGGCTAGTTTCTGCTTTCGAAGTTTTTCCTCCTGCATTTTCTTTTCTTTGAGTCTCGCTTCCTCTTTCTTTTTCTTTAGTTCCTCCTCACGCTTTAGTTCCTCCTGCCTTGCAAGTTCTCGTCTGCGTTCTTCCTCTTCTTTTCGTTTTTTCTCTTCCTGCTGCCTGCGTTCCTCTTCCTGCTTCCTTCTTAACTCCTCTTGCTTTCGCCTCAATTCTTCGGCTTCTCTGACCTTTCTTTCATACTCAATGATCCTTTCTATCGTGTTGTCTTGGGTCAGTTGAGCTACCTTGAAGCTTGCTTCTAAAGCCAGTAGTAGCAGCTCAGTTTCAAATGCACTTGTTTTATTATTGGTTTCGAAGTCTGCGATTCGGGATTTCCTGTTTTCATCTTCTTTCTGCACTTCACTGTATGCTTCGTGTTCGTCAGATCTGGCGAAGTAGTTGGCATCGTCATTATGAAGATGTTCGACTTTTACCCTTCTGACAACCGGCTGTTGGACGAGCACCTCCTCCGACTCAATGGGTAGCCCGAACCTCATTTAAGCTGGTAGAATTTTCGATGTTGATATTAGTTTTGGATGCGTTAAACTGAGCCAGCCGGTTGTAGCAGCCGTTAGTATGGGGATGCACGGGTGTAATTACATCGAAAGAAGTATTCCCATAAATTTGCCTTGATTTCGGCAGCATAGAAATTAATTTGAAAAATTACAAAATTTCCCATTACTCTCATGCCACAATTCCTTGAATAATCCTCCCTTTGTATTGATGATACTCACTTTAGATGTAGCGTTATAGTTGGGTGCTCGCACTGCAAATAAATTTTTCAACCTGAGCCAGAAACTACCACAAGTGAGTTCCCCAAATGATGAAACTGTCGTGGGTACGTGCTTTCTCTACATCTGGGAGCCTTCTAAAAGCGGGCTACTCACTGGTAGAGCCTGTGCACCACCTTGTGAAAGTCAATAAGGCTGCTTTGAGCCCCAAATACCAGGATGTCTTGATTCCCAAAGACGACGTCAGATCCCTTGGATTTAAGCCTGCTGAATTTGAGCAGGACAGAGTCAAAGAACACTTCCACAACACGCTCGAAAGCGACTTGATGCTTGCGCTCTATGAGCACGATGCCGAGACCATAGTTGGTGAGAAGAGAAGAAGGTGGGATCCTGACTCGCCATACGCCCTTTATCGTCATCTCAGAAAAACAAGACATGTCAATAGACCACAGAGAGACATTCATCCAATAGGGCCTGAGAATGTCCCACAGCTTACCGGAATCTCCATCAACTTGTTCTCGAAAGAAGTGCTTAATGAACCATACCACAACATCGCTGCCAGATTGCAGCTTGCACAGCTCACGAATGTAAAGCCTCAGCAGACCAAGGTCAAGGTCAACTACCAGCAGTGGAAACTCAGAAGAGGTAAGAGATGTGGTGCTAAGGTCGAAATCAGCGGACAGGACATGTCTCAGTTCATGACCACCTTGACTGAGTTGGTGTTGCCAAGAATCAGAGACTTTTCAGGCATCAAGGAGTCCAGCGGTGACAACAATGGTAATATCTCTATCGGTTTGCGTCCAGAAGATGTGAAGTTCTTCCCTGAGATCGAGCACTTCCAGGACTTGTACCCCAAGCTTTTCGGTTTCCACATTACGTTCAAGACCACCGCAAGAACGGATGAGGCCGCAAAGACTTTACTCAGTTCGCTCGGTTTCCCATTCCGCAAATAGATTTGTAAATAGCAATAGGTTAAAATGTGAAGAGCATCAAGTAGTAGCATCGCGAGAACGCGAATCGCATATATGGGGAAACATCTAAAGGTCCACCAGTGAAGACCATGTCGATGATCTCAGTGGTACACGACTATTCTATTCTATATTCGAACAGGATTCTTCAGAAAGACAAGAGATGGGCCGACGGAAGGCTACGATATTACGAATTCAACAATAAGATGGAGGTATACTCCGAGGAGCAGTTCCTACTAGCTACTGATTTCTACCCATCGAACAAGAAGCTGCCTATTCAAAGTGGAGCTTTCGAGGAGGGATCTGAATTCAAACTCCCCAGTGGAAAATTCTTGATCTCAGTGCAAGAGTACTTGGGTTGTTCGGAACGAGACGTGTCAAAGGTGTTCAAGAAGGCAGATCGAACTCCCGATACGACAAATTCGACTGTTGTAAAAGCCGAGCCATTCATAAAACTCGAAGACTCGTCACAAATGTCAGAGATTCCACTCCCCGAACACCTTTCGTTTCTCAAGACAGAGCCCAAAGAGTCCATCACACCAACACCAAAACCCAGGCGAATCGGCCTAACGAGAAAGAGAGGAACCACCAAGAAACAAAGTGACCTCAGTCTGTTCACTCGAGGCCCATCTGTGGAAGAAAAATTAAACAAGTATCTTGAAGGAAGACTGGCCAAAGTTACACGGATTCCACCTCGAAGTGCTAATTTGTATACCCGTCTTAACCAGGAAATATCCATGGACGTGGAGGACCTCGACAGAAGCATCAAAGTCCCCCACACGGGGCTAACTCAAAGGAGAGAGGAAGATTAGCACAAATTAAGGCAACCCAGACCGCAGGCGGAATTGGTTGAGATACTTTGGGAAGCTGTGGGGTATTTCGATAATAATAAAGTCCAGAATCTTCTTGCTGGTGGCAATAAGGAAAAAAAGAAGGCATTTTGCGTTTGTGCCTCCTGTCACGTCAATTTGGAACAAAGAATTGCTAATTTCGACACATTGATACAATAGATAACGGCCGAACTAAGACGGGGAATGACCGAAATCTGATTGTTACTGTGGACCGCATCGATGCGGCAAAAGTAAAGTGAAACTCAATCTACGTAATGTTGCTACTAATTCAGGGACACCCCTCAGGGCGAGAGCTTATCATGAAACAAACTTTACCCCAATTTTGTTTCACTTTCGTGTTGCCGGTCTGCATTAGGAAAATTGACCGATAACAGGACCACGTGGAGTGCCACAGAGGTAGTTATTCCTGCCACATTTACTGCCATGGCGCAAATTGAATATTGATTGCTTGAGAGCCTGAGATCCGGGGACAGGAGCCCACGGCGTCTGATAAGGCACGGAGGCAAAAAGAAGAAGAGAAAAGATCATTTGAACGCGGTTGCACCGGTAACTATTAGCATCTTGACGTGCGAGGTTGCGAATGTTCACTGGCGCTAATCATCCGCAACATGCTGATCCTTCTTAGCCGTAACACCTTGATTACGAATATTAGGCGGTTGGCAGAGTTCTTTGAGCTACTTTCTACAGTTACACGTTGCTGCATGGAGATATAGTAGAGCACAACCACAGCGCAACAATGAAACTAATGAGATCACGGAAGGTCTACCAAGCAGGAAGAGAGCGTCACGAAGTCTGGGGTAGGCAACGTGGTGTGTTGACGAAGATGGAATGACGGCTCCACCTGCTCTCGTGAAAGGTAGTTTTCTTGTGGCGTTTGCATTATGCTGGGAAAACGTGGGCACTTATATATTGCAACACGTGCGGTGGGGCGGTGTGTGTTGCAGCACCAGCGCTTTTTTTGTCGCTTTATCGCTGCAAAAGAGTGCCAAAGAGGGCCCCGTTTGCACACGCCCAGCGTAACTCTAGTCTCTATGCACAGACAACATGCATAGAAGCCTTTTGCGGAACCGGAGCACCCTCTGAGTGGGATCGGTGGTGTTGTTGACGCCGCCAAGCTCCGTATAAGTTTGACGCCTGCCCCACATTTCTTGCAGAAACCTTTAATTTTGTCGTTTTTGTTTACTTGCAAATTCTTAGGAGCTGTGAAAACTACAAGTATCTCAGCTTTTGCCCAGTCATCTTGCTTTTGAAGTCAAACCGTCAGGCCCCTTTTCACGAAACCTGACTTCTACAAATTCTTGAGGTTGCCTCAACAGGCACAGGTTTGAATAAATCCGGCGACTCGCTTCATTATAAATCGCACGCTGCGTGCACAACGGGTACTACTAGGCTGCCTTTCTTTTTTTCTTGGTATCAGTGTGCACCATCACCAGTTTTTTCACAACGTAACAAACCTTAACGGTTCAGCCTGACCTGCCGTCGACCACAAAAAGCGAATACGTCCCTCCATTCATCTGCCTTTGTCCTCGCAAATATTCCAACTTGATGACTTCGATATAGCGGCTCAAATTACACCGACTCGACCAATGTCCACTACAACATCGACAAGGACAACGCCCTCCTTCGACCCAACAGGCTTGTCTCCTCGAATACGGCCCTCTCCTCGGGCTCACGTACCTCGAGATGGCTATTCTCGACAAGGGTCCCGGGCTGGTTCCGTCACTGGGAGTCCCGATGGCCAATACCCAAGGAAACGCAATCCAGCGCTGCCGAAAACGTTCACCAGAGATATCGACCCGTTCCTAGCTCAATATCTCAAGCCTTCTGTTAATGATAGACACGTGCTGTACTTCAAAAACTTGGAGAAACACACCAAAGTTCGTGGCTATGACTTTTACAGTCAATACTTTAACAAATCCACCATCCCGGAAAGTCCGAAGCAGATTCAGAATCTCCGGGGTATTATCAAAGAGCGTAATCGCGTGGTTTCACCTTTATGTCGTCAAGTACCATCACCCTACCAAGAATCACTGAGTGACGATGAGGATGAAGATACTGTACGGGGTCAACGCCGGAGGATATCTGGCGGCGAACTGGCATCGCCTGGACCTACGACCAAAAAACCACACGCGCAGGTGTTTACTACCCGCCTACCGCCCGATTTCATGAAATGTTCCATCGATGATCTCATAAACCTTATTTATCGCATGCTACAGCTGTTGATCAACCTTAACGACAAAAGCGTGCCTCTAGTGGTTTCCAATCCAGGCAGTGCGGACAGTAGTGAACTTTCTCCCGAAGAGAAGAAGAAGCTACTTACGAGATTCCACTCGAGAACACCGCCGGCGATCTCGATCCAAACATACCTTGCCAGATTGACCAAGTTCAACAACTTCACGCAAGCTACACTCCTCACAACAATCTACTACATTGACCTCTTGTCACACAACTACCAGCCATACTTCACGCTCAATTCCTGGACTGTGCATCGGTTCTTGCTTGTGGCAACGATGCTCGCGCAGAAACTGCTCGAGGATTTTTTTTATACGAACGACCATTACGCAAAAGTTGGGGGTGTGGCGCTTACGGAACTTAACTGCCTAGAGCTAGATTTCTTAACACGGGTCAATTGGAAATTGGTGCCGGCGAAACACTTGGATAATAACACAACATCGATCCGGTATAGCAAGCAGGTGCTCGATCTCTACTATGAGCAACTCATCAGTCTCATGGGGAGCAATTTATCCGAGTGCAATAATGTCGTTTACACGCTAGCTGTGGCGGAGCATATATAGGGTAATTCTACGGAATTAGGACTCATGAGGAACATGAGAGGTTTTGGGTACTTCACAATACACAACAAAAGAACATTACTAATGCGTAGTAAGCGAGATTTCCTTCACCTACGGGGGCTAGACTGTTTTGGTCGCATTTTAGTCAGTAGATGTAACGGAATTTCTCTATACGTCAAGGCATGCAGATGAGACAATTTTTCACTTGGACCACCAGCCTTGCCTATTATCCCATGCTTCGATATTGAGGTCACTGAATTTTTTTTATTTTTTACAGTTCACTTTAAATTAGCTCATCGGCGCCCAGAAACGGCTTTCTGATTCCACACCACGCCTCTTTTGGAATGCCCAGCCGCGACTCGCTTAACCGTTTGTGACAGCCGCAACCGAATAAATCTCACAGGCATTGAGAATCTGACGTACTTCCCGAAGAAACCGGTCTATTGTGAATATGACGCTCTCGGAACAATACATTTTTGCCGAAGCACTCGAAATTCCAGGCCCTCCTATTTAAAGTTAGTCACTAATGCACATCGTTAAGCCGCAGCTGCACCGCTGCACAAGCCCGCATCTGTGGTCCTTGCCATCTTTCCATCTTATAAATACTGCTGATTCCGTCCACCACCATTAGAGTTTTCATGTCGGATATCAAGCTCTACGGTCCGGTCCTGGGAAGCGCAGCTTTTAGCCTGGCATCCAGGTCTACCTCTCCAGATGAGATTGGTACTTATCAACCCGATGAGGGTACGGAAGTTCCGAACGATGAGACGGCTTCTAGAGAGGAGGCCTCCAGGGTGGACACTTTGCTGAGGCAAGTCTCCCGGCTTTCTTTCTACGAACCCGATTTAACAGTGAATCCCGAAAACTTTGATTTACGCAAGCTTCTTTACACTTACATGAAGCAAAGCGAGATGTCTGGCGTGAAGCTCAGAGACATGGGCGTCTCGTTTGAGAACATGACCGTCAGTGGTATAGATCAGCTGTACGCCTTCTTACCGACGGTTACCGACGTTGTTCAGCTTCCGCTTACCATCTACCGTGCTCTCCGTTCATTGTCCGTCAAACCGCAGAGAGACATCTTGCGTGAGATGAACGGCTACGCCAGAAGCGGTGAGATGGTGCTTGTGTTAGGAAGACCAGGCTCTGGATGCTCCACCTTCCTCAAGGCCTTGTCGGGAACGGATGTCAAGATGTACACTGGCATTTCCGGCGACATTGAGTACGATGGGTTGCCCAGAGAGAGCATGCTTAAGCATTTCAAGCAGGACTTGATCTACTGTCCTGAATTGGACATTCATCTTCCTCACCTTACCGTTGAACAGACATTGGACTTTGCCATCAAGTGTAAGATGCCCGCCAAGCGTGCCAATGACATGTCGAAGCAGGAGTACGTTGTGTTCATGAGAGAGATGCTTGCTACCGTTTACGGTTTGCGTCACACATACAAGACCAAGGTCGGTAACGATTTCATCCGTGGTGTCTCCGGTGGTGAGAGAAAGAGAGTCTCTATCGCTGAGGCTTTGGCTTGTCAGGGTACCGTCTACTGTTGGGATAACGCTACCCGTGGTTTGGATGCATCCACAGCTCTTGAGTACGCTCAGGCCATCCGTGTTTCGACTGACATAACTAGATCCACTGCATTTGTGACTATCTACCAAGCTTCGGAGAATATCTATGAGACCTTTGACAAAGTGACCGTGTTATACAAGGGCCGTCAGGTCTACTTCGGTCCAACTCTGACTGCTAAAGCCTACTTCGAGAAGATGGGCTTCGAATGTGCTCCTAGACAATCGACGGCTGAGTTTTTGACGGCCATCACGGACCCTCATGGTCGTAGACCAAGAAAGGGATACGAGAACAAAGTTCCACGCAATGCGGATGATTTTGAGGCATACTGGTTGGCGTCTGAGGAATTCAAGGCGCTCAAGCAGGAGATCCAGGACTACAAGGCTGAGAAGAATCCTGATGAGACAAAGCGTCGTTTGATCGATTCGATCAAACAGGAGAAACAGTCTGGTCAAAGAGTTGGATCTCATTATACCGTTAACTTCTTTGAACAATACAGTTTGAACACTAGAAGAGCATTCCAGAATATCATGGGTGACAAGGCATACACGGTGACACAAATTATTGCTGCAATTCTGCAAAGTTTGATTGTCGGTTCCTTGTACTACAACACACCCGATGACGTTACTGGTGCATTTTCTAGAGGTGGTGTGGTCTTCTTCTCGGTTTTGTATTTGTCTTTGATGGGACTTGCAGAAGTGTCTAACTCTTTTAATCAGAGGCCCATCATGTTGAAGCACCACAACTACTCCTTATATCATCCAGCAGCATGTTCGGTCGCTGATGCCATTACTGCCATTCCGATCACCACTTTGATCAGTATTGTCTTTACCCTTATCCTTTACTTCCTCGCTAATCTTAAGAGGGACGCCGGTGCTTATTTTACTTTCTTGTTGATTTCCACCTTGGTTTCGTTGTGCATGAATGGTCTTTTCAAGGCTGTGTCGGCTTGGAACAAGACAATCTCAGCTGCTAACTCGTTTGCAGGTGTCTTGATTTTGGCCGCTTTGATGTACTCCTCTTTCATGATTCAAAGACAATCCATGAGAGTTTACTTCAAGTGGATCTCATACATCAACCCCGTCCTCTACGGTTTTGAAGCTATGATTACCACGGAGTTCCACGGAAGAGAGATGCCCTGTGTATCAAACTACCTTGTTCCAAGCGGAGAAGGTTATGATCCTGCTGATGCATCTTGTGCCTTTGCAGGTGCAGCCCCTGGTGATACGATCGTGAGCGGCGATAGTTATGTTGAGCAAGCCTTCACATACAGTTTCAGCCATGTTTGGAGAAACTTCGGTATCTTGATTGGTTTCTATGTCTTCTTCTTAGTGGTTGCCGCCATTGGTTTCGAAGTGATTCGCCCAGTCTCTGGTGGAGTTGATAGATTGTTTTTCTTGCGTGGAAAGAAGCCCAGCCATATCCTCACAGCCGATGAAAAGGCTAATGTCGATGTGGAGGAGGGTCCTGCAATGGATGCTGATTTGGAGAAAGTGAAGCGCCAAAGTACATCCAGTGATGATAACTCTGCCTTGGCTGACTTGAAGTCGAAAGATCTTTTCTGTTGGAAGCAAGTCGACTATGTCATTCCCTATGACGGCGGTGAAAGGAAACTTTTGGACAGTGTTTCCGGATTCTGCGTACCAGGTAAGTTAACTGCATTGATGGGTGAGTCTGGTGCCGGAAAAACCACTTTGTTGAACGTCTTGGCTCAAAGAATTGATATGGGTGTTATCACGGGCGATATTTTGGTTAATGGCAAGCCGCTTGATGGCTCTTTCAGTCGTCGTACTGGTTACGTTCAACAACAGGACATTCATTTATCTGAGGCAACCGTGAGAGAAGCACTTAGATTCTCTGCGCAAACCAGAAGGGCAAACGATGTTTCCGACGAAGAGAATTGGGTGCGGTTGATTTCGACGTGATTGTATGTGACGAAGGTCACAGGCTCAAAAATAACAGCAGCAAGGTTATGAAACTATTGGACGGTCTTGGTGTGGAAATGCGGTTGGTGCTCACGGGAACTCCGATCCAGAATGACTTGAATGAGTTCTACACAATCGCCAACTTTATAAATCCTGGCATTTTGGGGTCTCTGGCAGACTTCCAGAAGCGCTTTGCCAGGCCCATTCTACGAGCTCGTGATGTCAACTGCCTGAGCAGGGATATTATCAAGGAAGGACGGAAAGTGTCCAACGAGTTGATTGAAATCACAAAGAGCTTTACGCTCCGAAGAACACAGAACGTCATCAGCTCGTTTTTGACGAGAAAAACCGATGTTTTGCTTTTCTGTCCGCCTACCAAGCTCCAAAAGTCTCTCTTCAAGCTTGTGCTCGGTTCGTCCAACTTCAACAAAATCATCAATTCTGACCCCAGAGATGTTCTTGCGTTGATTATGGTGTACAGAAAGATTTGCAATTCTCCGTCTTTGCTAGCGAAGGATTCCTTCTTTAGTACACTTCTAGGCACCGAGGCCCGGAAACAGCTTGACCCAGCATCCCTCACGACACGAACTACAGGCAGCAAGATTAATGTGCTTGTTCCCCTCCTTCTTGAGTTCAAGAAACTCGACGAAAAGACCGTTCTTGTTTCAAACTTCACCCAGACTTTGGACTTCCTCGCGACAGTTCTTCTGAAACTCAATATTCAGTTCGTCCGGCTCGACGGCTCGAGTGCTAGCAATACTCGTGATAAGCTTGTCAGTGATTTTCATAAAGCGGAAGGATTTACAGTCTTTCTCCTACTGGCTAAAGCTGGTGGTGTTGGTTTGAATCTTGTCGGTGCATCTAGACTAGTACTTTTCGATAACGATTGGAACCCTTCAGTGGATCTTCAAGCAATGGCCAGAATCCACAGAGACGGACAAAAGAAGCCGGTGTACATCTACAGACTTTTCACCACGGGCTGTATTGATGAGAAGATTTTCCAGAGACAACTCATGAAGGGTACGCTCAGTGACATGTTTCTCGATGACAAGTCTGAATCGTCGCTGAATATCTTCGACTTTGAAGATCTCAAGGACCTATTCAATGTTGCCGATACCAACTGCAACACCCATGACTTGATTGAATGTCCATGTTCAGGCGAAGGCGAAAGTCTTGAATCGTCCCAAAAGCAAGCTACACAAGACGACACTGACGAGGACGACGACTTGCCGTCTCTGGGCTGGATGAGCGCTCTGGATCTACACAAAATGGCTCCAGATAACAATGCAAAAAAGCAGTCCATCAGGTTGGCATTATCCCACTACAAGCACTTTGACCCTACGGAGTGTGACTCTAGCGTGGATGTTCTGGACGAGGTTGTCAACAAGTTGCTACAGAAACTCAAAGAGGAGCGTCTATTAACGTACGTCTTCACACACGTCACTCAAGGATACTTATAGATTAATTACAGAAGCATCTTCATTCTTGCCTCCGCGGCTCTGGCCCGTTGTTCCCTCATGAGGCGTGTCTTTTGCTGCTCCGTCAACTCACTGGTTTCAGAAGGACGGTTCTGAACCTTGCCACCAAGAGTGCCACCAGAGGAAAATGTAGGTTTCTTCTGCTCCATTTCAGTCTTTTTCGCCAACTCCTCCTCTATTAAACGACGGTTCTCTGCCTCCTGCTGTTTCTTTTGCTGCTCTTCCTCCTTCGCCACTTCCTCCCTGGTTCTTGGAGGTCCCACTTTAGCAGCATTCCAATCCGTAAACTCCTCCCCAAGTGTGTTTCTTGCAATTTGGAAAGTCTTCTTTGCCGTAGATGTGGAACTCATCTGAGCAGCAGTCTTTCCTATGGCATTGAGAATGGTGGGGTCTGCTTTTAGGTTCACCAACAACACCTGGATCATGTGGTGGAGACCCTGTGATGCAGCATAATGAAGTGGTGTGGGAGCATGTGCATGCTGGTTACCGGGTGTGAATTGGTAATTAGCATCCAACCCGTTCTTCTTCAAGTAGTTGATCAACATCGGTGCCTTCAGCTTTTTGAGCAAGTTGATAATTTCCTTTGTGTGCTTGTCAGATTCAGAAAGCTCTGGTGCTGGAGACGGTGTCTTCTGCACCTTGGAGATATCAGTCTTCTTCTCTGTAACCTTCTTGGCTTTCGGAAGATCCACCACTTGCATGTGAGCGAGCTGGACCCAGGCCCGTTTCAATTCAGAAAGAGTGGCTCTCTTGGTGGTGAATGGGAAATTTCTGATTCGTTTATCGTCAGCCGCCAATGGGGCGCCCTCGTAGCCCACCAAAGCACGTCTGTTAGCCACCGCATTGGCTCTTATAAATACAAAGTCGGCATTTTGCAAATACGACTTCCACAGATTAAGAAGCTCCCTGACTTCTTGTTGAAGCGCCTGCTCGTTGTACCTTCTAATAGAAGAACCTGCCGAATTGGCTTTTCCTCTGGAATTATCCGAAGCGCTCTGAGAACCACCCTGTTTTCTTCTCGTGGTGTACCTGTGGAACGTCTTCGACTGAAGCACATTCACCTGCTGCTCCTGCTTCGGGATCTTGTGGTTGGGCGCTAGACCCTTGATGTTCTTGGGGGTATGGGAAACAACGGCACCTGCAAAATGGCCTCCTCCAATCATGAGAAGCACAGAAGTGCCCAGCCGCTTGGGCTCCGACGAAATCTGACTCACCTCCTCCAACACGTTTCCGGTATCTAGCGACGCCTTCGAAAAGAGTGCCTTGTACAATCCAAAAGCCTTACCTTGGTCTACCAAGGAGGACTGAAATAGAATGTATGGCGAATTCGTATTCATGTGACTCACGCTCTGCTCTTCGTCCTCGTTCTTCGTGGATAGCTGCTCAAAAATCGTATTAAGCTTGTTGTCCTCTTCGTCCTCTGTTTCACTCTCCTCTGATCCAGATATGCTCTCCACCGATTGGGTCTCTATAAGTTTATCAAATTCATCCTCTGTGAGCGGTGGAAGCGAATTGACCTGTCTCTTTAGGTTAAGACGATGGAGATCTGATTTATAGTAGTCTTTGGACTTTTCGGGCTCGGTTTTGGGATCGACTATCTGGTTTTCGATAGGACTCTTTGTTTCAACTGGAGCTTCATTGACAGCCACAACAGCAGCAGATTCGTCAAAATGAAGAAGACTTAGACTGTTTTTGACAGCTTCGTCCAAGGAAAATATATACAAGTCGTCTTTTGCCACAGAAGTCATCCTTGCTGTGAAGAAGTAGTAGTACTGTGATAGTGGCGCGTGTGCACACCCTTTTAAATGGTTGCAAAGTCTATGATACACTATTTAGCGGTGAGTCTTTTTTTTTCTGATGAGTCATTCAGACAGACCCGAAACGGTGGCACTCCTTGAGGAAATGCTCGATTTTCTCTGGCTTCATGAAGGGGTGAGTGCCGTGACCAAAGTTGACAATGTAGTTCTGTTTGCCACCGCCGAAGCCTTTGATCATTTGCTCCACTTTTTTCGAAATGACCTCGTCGGATCCGTAGATAATGCCGGGGTCGAGGTTTCCCTGCAAGGTGATTCTTCTGCCGTTCACCACCTTCACAGCATCCTCGGGCTTGTAGAGCCAGTCCAACGAAACAGTGTCGTAACCAGACTCACACAACTCGTCCAAGGCGTACCAGGCGCCCTTGGCGAAAACAGTAAGTGGGATTTTCTCCTTAACACCAAGCTCTGCTAATCTGCCTGGCAACTTGGCAGCAATCTGGCGCAAGTATGGCAAACAGAATTCGTCAAACTCGTGGGGTCCAAGCTCACCAGCCCAGGACTCAAACACCTGCAACATCTGGGCACCAGCCACGACCTGCTGGGCCAAAAACTCAATACAAGCGTCGGTGGTGGCCTGGAGCAAGGTGTGTGATTCCTTGGTGTACTCGTAGATCCACTGCTTGGCAAAACGGAACATCTTAGAGCCCTGGCCTTCGGTCATGTACACCAAAAGGGTCCATGGAGCACCACAGAAACCCAAAAGGGGCACTCTGCCCTTCAACTTTGTTCTGGTGAGTGTGATAGCCTTGTAGGCCCAGTCCAAGGATTTCAACACATCGGGCTTCAAGTTGATTCTGTTGATGTCCTCACGGGATCTCAAAGGGTCAGCGAAAACAGGACCCTTGCCTTCGATCATGTTGATCTCAAAGCCCATGGCCTGTGGGATCACCAAGATATCTGAAAAGATAATGGCAGCGTCAATGAGACCGTCAAAGTGGTCGACGGGCTGAATGGTGATTTCGGAGGCAATCTCGGCATCTCTACACGTTTCGAAAAAATCTCTGCCGCCTTTGACCTCGTGGTATTCAGGAAGATAACGACCTGCTTGTCTCTGGGGTTAGTAAGGCTGATATACGAGGAGGTTGAAATGGTCACATACCATGATCCAGATGGGAGGTCTTTCGACCTTCTCGCCCTTGGCGGCTCTCAAAATCAAGTCGTTTTTCAATGGTTCAAAAGAAGGCATTTTGGTGTTGGAGAATCTGGAGGGATCCAGACGGACTCGGGAAATGGGTGGTGATGGTGCACGGGTGTCATGGGGTCCAGCCAGTGGACATGGTGATTTTGGGCCAGGGGTCTGGCATTTTGGAAATTGAAAATGGGAAGGGATCAAGGAGAAAAGGATTTCAAAATTGACCCCTTTGTTGGATGGTGAGAGTGAGTCGTGGAAGCAATCGAGGCTGTCTCAGCAGCATAGCAAGCAAATAATTAGAACTCTTGATTATATCAAAATTCTTTTTGTTTTTATTGAATCTTAGCTTCTCTCGATTGAGTCAAGTGAAATTTCGAAGCCATTCTAATCGGTGTGTAGGTGCAGAGGCTGACAGCTTTATACGAGGATCTAACTTTCATTTGGCTGCGAAAGCCGAAGCCTTCAACTGCCATACAAAATAGACAAATAGACGTAAGCAATCATTTAGGGTATACTTTAACGCCAACTAAACAATACTGACTATTTAATTTTTCTTTAATTCCCCTCAATTACGGAAATCGCTATAACTTCTTCAATTTTGGGTTTGAGGCCGTTTCCGCGTCGTGTCAGCTTATTCAGAATTCAAAAAAATGTATGAAAATGGCGGTTTTTGCGAAAATCGAGTCTCGTCTATACTGCTGCACTTCTATATGCAGTGCTTTTTCTTCTCCCAAATTAGCCTGCGTGGCGTAATGGTTAGCGCATTTGACTTCTAATCAAAAGATTCCGGGTTCGAGTCCCGGCGTGGGTTCTTGTTTGCGGTTTTAGCTCAGTTGGGAGAGCGTCAGACTGAAGATCTGGAGGTCCTGTGTTCGATCCACAGAAATCGCATACTTTTTTGCAGTTTTCGATACTACTTCTACTGCTTTGTTACAAAATCATCACATTAACTTATTTCCCAAAACTCCGGCCCATTAAATCTCGACATATCTCGTAACCGACACCAAGCCACGCTCTCTGTTGGCCCAGCTGACCCAGTTGGGTGAGTAGTGAAGAAGCTCATCAAAAGCGGGTATTCTCTCCTTCACATCTTCCTTCTTGTCGGCGATGTAGCCGGTTTCACTCCAATAACATTCCACATTGATGCCAAGTTTCTTGACCGTCACCTTGGAAGCATCCACCTCGTTGGTGTCTACCACGTCAGGAACCCACTGGAACGCTAAATGGTACTCCTTGTCCCAGTCAAGCTTGTTCAACTGGATGGTTTGGATGCCAGCATAACTCTTGTACAAGTAGTTGCCGTCGGAATCTCTTGAGAATCCAGCAGGAATGCCGTTAATTAGGTAGGCTGGCGTGGAACTATTCTTGTCTGCGCCTTCCCGATACACGATAGCTGTTCTGACGGGTGAATCCTGTGGCTTGGCATCGAAGATCTTGGTCACCGAGTCTGAAACATTGAAATCGATACGGCAATTTCTGTTTTTAGGTGTGAGAAGACGAATTTCTCCCGTGAGCAAACCGAATGGCGAGCTCGTTTCGGAAGACGAGTTCTTAAGCACATCAATGGTCAAGTAGTCTTGCACATCCTTGACACCTGGTGCGAGAATGGGGTCCCATGTGGAGGGGTATTCGTAGCGGGAAATGCCATTCTCAATGGAGTTCGTCACCACCTTGAGGTCGTTTTGCTTGACAGAAGGCATGTCCTTCAAGATGTTCTCGACGATTGGGTCCTCACGACCAAACACCTTGACGGTATCTCTGACGGGACTGGTATTCAAGTCGAGAGTCTCCAAGAATCTCAACTTGAGGGGGTTGGCCTGGTCGAAAGGATCGGTGAGGTTAAATCTTAAGACTCCATAAGCCAAAGTTCCGGCAAGGAGCAAAACGACAATTCTGTTGACCTTGAAAATGAATGGCAAGAAGGGTGCTGCCCAGAATATAGCGAGTGCCTGGGCAAAGATGTAAAATACAACTTGTCCCTCCAAGTACTCCTGGAACATCTTATCAAAGCTAGCAAGCATGAGCTCACCGTTGCTGTAAATAAGGTAGGAGGAAAGCGGGACAACAATCAAGAACTGGATCAACCAGTCATAACTGAAGGACTTGGTCTCGTGGGCCTCACACCGCTCCGAGAATCCTGAACCCAACGACAAAGAGGAACCCACTGAGACATCATCTTGAGAACCATAGTTTCTCTGATTGCTCTCGTATTCCTGGTCGTGGTGCTCGTTTGAGGTTCCCAAGAGTGGAGCGGACTCCTCCTCAGTACCCTTTGGCTTTGGAGACCTCTTGAAGTTCCATCCAAGCAATCCAATGATAGCAGCCAAGGCTTGAAGGAAGAAAATGAAGCCCACGTGGATCTCTCCGGTGTGATCCGACGAGGAGCGGATTTTGATAGTCGAGTAAAGCAAACCAATCCAAGTGAAAAATGAAATCTCAATTATACTGATGAGCTTTTCGTCGTGGAAGTGGCCCTTGAAAGGTCTCAAGATCGCATTCAACCCATTCAAAAAGCCGTAGTTGAGAAGCAAGAAGAGCGAAAACAACGTGAAAACAAACAGATCTTTCGAGTTGTTCATGAAGAATGGATTGATGGGGACGAGAATCACATCAGTGATGAAGTTCAAAAGAACGGCGGACAAAACGACGGAAATAGGAAGTTTGATCACATTGACAAAATTGACATCCCAGCTCTTCTTGTATCTGAAGATGAAGAACACCAATGGAATGCTCACCAAAGGTGCAATCACCAAGAGAACAATGTTGAGAATAAACACGGTGTTCATGGAGATGAGGATGTAGTTGTTGAAGATCGAGGTGAAGCCTGCTGGTTCCGTTTGGCTCTCCGGGTCGGAGTCCAAGCCAATCAGCTTGAAGGCTACTTCCTTGGTGAAGTCAAGGGCAGTAGACAACATGTGCCACTGCGACAAGATGCTGACGCTGGCCACGCTGTCTCTGGTAGTGTGGTACAAGTTTCTGGGCTTGTGGAAGGCAACATCAAGACCTCTCAAATGGCCCTTTTGGTCGTACACGGTGAAATCTGTGTCGCTGTGCACGAGGCCGTTATTGAAGCCCTGCTGGAAGATGGACGAGGCGTAAGGGTATCTCACGGCGTTGTAGAGAGACAAGACACCGTGGTCAGTACCACGGAAAAGAATTGCCTTACCACCAGCACCAGTACCCTCCAAATTGAGGAAATACTTTGTCTGCTTATACCATGGGTGGAACAAGAAGGCCTCGGCACCGTACAAGCCAAACTCCTCGTTGTTGTTGAAGTTGAAAATGACAGTTCTCTCGGGCTGGTCGGTCTTGTGGGAGGTCAAGTAGTCGAGCACACCCAAGAGAGACGCAATTCCCATACCGTCGTCAGTCACACCGTAGGAAGAAGGCACCGAGTCAAAGTGGGCACTAAGCAAGAGCGCTGGCAACGAAGGGTTGGTACCGTTGATACGTGCAAGCACGTTGTTGCTCTCGTAGTACGTAACAAGCTTGCCCTTGGCCAGTGGAGACAGGTACATGATTCTGTTTTCACCATCCAAGTCATTTTCGTGCTCGGCCCACTCCTTCCGGGCAACCAATTCCTTCACGGTTTTCTCAAGATAGTCGTGGACCTCGTCATTGGCCTTGGACGTGTAGGTGTGTTTCTTTCTGGCGATAACCTGGAGATGGAGCCACAGGGAATCCAATATCTGCTGTTCCTGAGGGTCAGTTGGCAACGAAACCGAGGATTCCAAAGACAAGTCCAAGTTTGTGAGGAACACGGTGGCCACCACAACAAGAAGTGTCAAAAACGTCAATGTCGTTTTTCTGTAGCGAAACAATGACCTAAACAGCCTCACAAACCAGTTTGCTCTGGGCTGTTTTCTGCCATTGCGAGGAACAGGAACCCTCTTGTTTTGGGCCGGGGTCTGGGGTGTCCTGGGGTCGTCACCGCTGTCGTTTCGAGGCAGCGCTACCGAAGAAGCCATGTTTATGGAAGTTGTTTTGGGGATAATTGCTGGTATGCACCTATTTAGGTGAGTGTTGACACCCGTACACCACGGAGACCCACCACCAAGTCCGGCTCTCCGAGTCCCCCCAGCCCAAATTCTCCAATTTTTCCAGGTATTTGGGGAATTGTCAGCTCTGTGATTCCGTCTATACCAAAATCAATCCAATTGAGGGCAAACTCGTCCTTCTACACCGCCACCCAGATGGCTGCGAAAAGCTGCGGAATGCTAGTGTGGGGGATCACGCCGGAGAAAGCTTATTGTGAGCCCACAGAGGCTTTGGTGTTTTCATCTCGTGTTGATAATGAATGTGGCGTGTGCCGTGGGGAGACGAAGGGGTGGTTATTTTTAGTGGTGCCAGATACCTGGGTGTATGCCCTTCTCACGGTTCTGTAGATGTAGATAACAGAAGTTGTAGATATGGTGGATATTGTGAATTTGGTACTGGTGGTTGGTATCTCCGAAAAGAAGGTTTTAGGTCTCCACATAAACATTCCCAGACAATGGCGATCTGCGCCGCCTCGGATTCCGAGATTGGAGCGGTCTACTGGTTAGGATGCAGTGGGAAGATGTCAGTGGGTTTTGCATTAGGTGTTCTGAATTCCGTTGTAGCGTTGTTTAAGGCACAGTTGGTCTTTTAAGATGAGGAAGAGCGTTTATGATGACCAAAATGGTGGTGTGGAGGGTAAATGAACATGGGTCGTACGGCTACATGACAATACCGATATCCACCTCTGTTGGTTGAAGTTACTACCTTCGAATTATGATGACCATACCCAGAGGCACCCATTCTTGAAGACTCCATTAATACATAAGCATTAGAAAATAGTTCTCGCCATCATGGCCAAGAGAGCTACATGTACTGGTTCAACCACTGGACTCAAGACTAGGGTATACTAATCACCTCTCGGTAAATTACCTATTTACATACAAATACTCCTTGTTCGCCATCCATCCTCTTCAAAAATACAAACACCTTATAATCATCCATTTTTTGACCTCCCCTGGTGCACACGCTTCCTGATACACCCCCTCTAAATCCAAACTTTTTGCAACCATTTCGCACAACCATGTTTCTTCCTCTTTTCGTCCTATGGGCCAATTTGGCCCCCGTTCTCTCCGCCATAAGCCCCATTTCCATCCACGGCCGCTACTTCATCGACCTGGTCTCCCAGGAACCCGTATGACCAACAAAAAACCACACTTCTCTTGCCCTACTAACGCCAGTTCTTCATCAAGGGTGTAGACTACCAACCCGGTGGTTCGTCAGCTACCGACCAACACAGCGATCCCCTCTCTGATCCCGATGTGTGTGCCCGTGACATTGCCTTATTCCAGCAGCTCGGCATCAACGTATGAAACACGATTTGTCTCTCTCTTCTCTACTAACACCAGACCATCAGAGTGTACTCTGTGGATCCAGACCTCAACCACGATGTTTGCATGACCCTTCTTGCCCAGGCTGGCATGTACCTTGTTCTAGACGTCAATCTGCCTCAGCAGTTCCGCCACCTTAACAGGTACGAGCCTTGGTCAACGTACAACACGGAGTACTTGAACAATGTGTTCAAGGTGGTGGAGCAGTTTGGCGGGTACAACAACACGCTAGGCTTTTTCGCCGGCAACGAGATCGTCAATGACCGTGTTTCCGCCAGAACCTCGCCCCGTTACGTCAAGGCGGTGGTTCGTGATATCAAGCAGTATATTGATGCCAACTTGGACCGGAAAATCCCCGTGGGCTACTCGGCCGCCGACGACTTGGACTACAGAATATCCATGTCGCTGTACCTCGAGTGTGTGGACGAGACTCCGTACGATTCTGCCGATTTTTACGGCGTCAACTCGTACCAGTGGTGTGGAGAACAGACCTTCTATTCCAGCCGCTACGACAAGTTGGTGGAGGACTACGCAGAGTACACACGGCCTGTTTTCCTCTCGGAGTACGGCTGCAACGAAATCACGCCCCGCAAGTTTTCCGAGGTCCAGGCCATCTACTCCAACGACATGGTGGGTGTTTTCAGCGGAGGACTCGTTTACGAGTTCACGCAGGAGCCCAACAACTATGGACTCGTGGAGGTCTTGTCCAACGGCGACGTGCAGCTTTTGGACGACTTCATTGCGCTCAAGTACCAGTTTGAGCATCTTCCCGAGCCTACTTACGGCGTCATGACTCGGTATCTTTTGGCAAACGAGATGCAGTTGAGGAACAGCAAAAAACAGCAGCAGCTGGCTCAGCCGTTGTGCAAAGGCGAATTCTCCAATTTGGCAGTAGAGGAGGGAATGCCGCTGAATCCTGCTGTGGAGCTTTTGGGTGGCATCGCTGCTCAACGAGGGAAGTACGTCAAGCTCGATGAGTCCCAGTTGCGTTCCTCCAAGAAGGTATATGGACCTTCAGGAAAAGTGTACTTGGCGACACCAACGGTGCAGATTGTGGAGGATACCACTCTGGCGCCAGACTCGGGAAGAAGGAGAATTCCCCTGACTCCAAACCACGGTATGTTGCACATTGGTCTGATTCGCCAAAGAATCGCCATGCTTCTCCGAAAAGGCTTTCATCGAGTCCACTACTAACCAGCAGCGACCCTTGTGCGTCCTTCCATCGTCACCGTCTTGTGCGGTGTGGTATTCCATCTATTCGTCTATGCGGAGGTGTTCTAGCGTCTCCCTTTTCTGGAGAACAAGGCGGTCCAGGCGTGGTCGTAGATGTTCACAGAGCACTTTGGTTCACAGAGCACAGGCGCCAAAATAATGCCCCATTCATGGGGAGCCAACGTGGATATCTTCTTGGTAGCCTCCTCCAATGTGAACCCACACTTGACGCATGTGTGCATCACCTTGGGCCGCTCCTTGATCACTATAGTAAGATTAGGCATCTGCAGCAAGTACCGTAGAAAATACTCAAATGTGTTTTTCGACGGCTCGACCCAGTCGTCCTCGGGCTCCTCAAGCGAGGCCAGCTCGCTATCCTCAACAATGACATCCAAAGGACGGTTCTTGTGCTGGTGGGAGAAGTCATGAAACAAGTCAAAGTTCACAAGCACAATCTCCTTGAGATCGCTGTAGCCGCCCTGGCCAGAGCACACGAGCTTGAAGAAGTTGTTGAACTTGGCGAAATTGAATGTTTTGTTTGCGTTTTCGCTGGTGAAGAACACCTTGGAGCTGATATCAATGACAAGCCGCTGGAGGTGTCCATTGGTTTTGACAAAATCAATGAGAGACAAGTCGGCGCCGGTTTGAATGTCCAAAAGCAGAAGCAGGCGGGTGTTGGTCAAGATGTTGATGCACCGCCGTTTCACCGTCTTTTTGGCGTCACTGTAGATACAAGCATTGGCCACGAGCGAGTCCACCCAGATCTTCTTGTCCCACGAATCGCTCAAGAGCTTGCCCTCGTTGATCACAAATTTGTTCAATTGGAGCTCGTTGATCTGGTCGAACACGTGGGCAAAGATCAGCATCTGGCCGAGCTTGAAGGGGATGGTCCAGCCCGATTGAGCGGTCAAGGTGAGTTTCTCCAATGTCCGGGACGGCGCCTGGCGGCGAAACGTGAATTTCGATGTCAACAGCAGCGTGGACGCCATCATGTATTCCGCCGGGAACTCAAACTGTGGCGATATCTCGCTGAGGGTCACTTCCTTGAGTCCGTAGGCCTCGTTCAAAAGACACTTGAAACTGGTGACCCAGGCGTCGTACTTGGATGTGCTTCTGCTGACGTTTTCCACGCTGTAGGTGCCGGCGATTTTCGTCAGACTGGCCTCCATATCGTTCGTGGGCGGGTTTTTAAAGTGCACTGTTCGTATGTAGTTGATCATGGAGCTCGGTTCATTGAGCCCAAAGCGTCTAGCCAACGAGGCCCTCAGGGACAAATGAGCACCAGCAAACCTCAAAAAGTGGGACGTCAGCTTGAAGAAAACGTCCTGGTAAATGAAGTTCTTGCACACGATCTGGTGGAACTTGTGGCACAGTAACGAAAGAACAAGAAGCGTTTCAAGCGGGAGCTGGCTGAAGATGGCAAGGAGGATTTCGTAGGGAAGCGAATGCAAATGCGATAACGGGTACTTTGGCGATGTCTTGGGACTGGCGACCTTGCGCCGGCCCATAAGCTGGTACTTTTTCATCACTGAAGCATAAAAGAAGAGATGGTGCTTCGAGAGCCACAACTGGTCTGCAGGATTCCGGGGAACGGTGCCCGTGGATGTGTTTTAGAGTTGGGCAACGATTGGGATTTTTGGTTTGAAAGGTAGTGGGTTTTGGTGAATATGTTGTTTTTTGGCGATGGTTGCACAAAAACCGTTGATAACGGTTAGGCGACGGTGCTTGGCATATGCCATTACACTTCCTTTTTCGTCGAGACCCTTTCGCAGCCACGGTGGAGGAGAGTGATTTGAGAGTTTGTGGTTTGGGAAGTTGGAAAGTTGATGAAGAAGAGAATGTAGGGTTTACTGGTGAAGAGGGGGTTTTTAGTTGAAGTGGTGGCATTATCGTAATGTGGAGTGTCGTTGATTGTTTAAAGTGTAGTGGGTCGGTGGGTCTGGCGAGAGTGAAAAATTTGAAAAATTGGTGGTTTCACCACGGCGAGGCTGAATAACGGCGAGATCTGCGTTTAATACGTGCTAATTGTTCCTGTTGCTTTTGCAGCGTATTATTTGACGCAGAAGGTTGGTTGCATGTGGGGGACTTGGAGAAGAGAGGTAGTGTGAAAAATCTGGCAAGGCGGTCGTGAAATAGCCTTTTTGTTAAAGGAAAGCTAAATTGGTTGTGTTGAGTATTTAGTGCTGCCAGGAGTTCTGTGCATCGAAATTTGGACATTCCAGGCGGTATGTGGCTTTTCCATTGATGGCACTGGAACAATACGCCCTACAATGCTACAAAGGAGTGAGATCTTCGAGGCCAGAGGATGAATAGAGTGAGTACTGCAATTCTGTTGGGCGCTTTTTTCCAAAAGTAGCTTATTTGGAGAGATTCATAATGTAAATGGTCAACTTGCCAGTGTTCCTACCATTACCCTTCAATACCTTACAAAGTACCCATCAAAGCTCAACCACCATCTCTCCACAGTCCCCCTATTACTTCAAATTATTTTCGACTACGAAGCAGATGATCCACATGAATAGCCAAGACTTTCATGCTTCTAGACTCGTGGATCTTTTCCACCTCGCTGCACTAGGTTGCAGATTGTAACATCCACCTAGTTTACGAGCACATCAACCAAGGAGTTACATCTACTGAAAAAAGCAATTGTTAAGTTGTCGAAATAAAATAATTACCTATCAATAAAAAGTAGAAGTATCAAGATGACGACAATAAATGTCTGGCCCTCGTTCCATATAGTTGGGTCCGACTGGCTGCGAACGAGCAGAAGCACCACCAAACCATTCCACCACACTCTACAAAAACCCCCGAAATAACCCTTTTCCCCTCAATCCCCCCACAATCAAACACCAAAAAACCAAACATCAAAAAACTCCTTCCCTCCCTGTTCTCTCCGGACCAGCCCTCGATCCCGCGGTACGGGTGCAACATATCAGACCTCTTCTCCAAACCAGCACTCTCCACATTATCATGGCTTACGAGCAGCGTGAGCTCCTAGAGCGGCTCATGGGCAAAGACGCCCTTATCCTGCCGCAGGTTCGTCGCAAGGAGGTGGAAATAACCTCGCCCAAGGTTTGCAAGGCGTTTCTTGTGGGAACATGCCCATACGATCTTTTCGATGGAACCAAGTTGAACATTGGCAAGTGCCCGAATTTGCATTCCGAAAAACACAAGCTCGAGTACGAGTACCGTGTGAAGAAGCTTGGGGAGAAGTTCCCCGAGTTTGAGTTTGAGTACTTCAAGACATTGAAGAAGTGGCTTGCAGAGATTGACTTCACCATCACCACGGCATTGAAAAGACTAGAACACACGCCTGAAGAAAAACAGAAAATCGCCACCGTAACGCGTCAGCTAGACGCTGCAGATGTCAAGATTGGTCTTATGGCGCTGGAAATCACCCATTTGGGCCGTGCTAAGGAAATCACCATGGCTCTCAAACAAACCATAGCTTTGGAGAAGCTCCTACGAGAAAGAGAGTCCTTGGCAGAACAGGCAAGAGTGATTGCAGAAAACGTGGGCCAATCAGCGCAGCAGAAGCTCCAGGTGTGTGAAGTTTGCGGTGCTTACTTGTCCCGACTTGATAACGATAGACGATTGGCAGACCACTTTGTGGGCAAAATCCACTTGGGGTACGAACAGATGCGCACCGAGTACAATGACATGAAAAAGAAGTACGGGTAATACTATTTGCGGGCCTTAGTCGGCCTTTTCGGCTTTTTCGTCCTTCTCAATGTCCAACTTGAGGTTACCCACTTTAGCCTGTGACTTGTAACCGAGAGCGCTTAATCTGTCGGCCAAGATGGGGTGGGAATGGTTGTAGGACGAGAACAACCAGTCGGTGTTCATGGAGCTCAAGTTCTCGGTGGACATGGTGATCAATGAGGTGGCCAACGAGTCCAGGTAGCCCTGGTCCTTGGCATAGCCATCGGCCTGGTACTCGTTCTTTCTCGAGATGAGGTTGTTGAGGAACTGAATGGAGCAGTTCACTGGGGAGCTCACATAGGAGAAGAGAACGAATGCAATGATTGGTGGGGCATTGGCGGCAAAGTTGAAGGACTGGAAGAGCGACTTGTTGGTGAGGAAAGCGGAGAACAAAAGGAATGTGAGGGCAACGGTACCTTGGGACACAGCCAACATCTGGGGCAAGTGGTTCAACTTCCAGTGGCCAATCTCGTGGGCCAAGACAGCAACAACCTGGGGTGTGGTGCTGTGGTCGATCAAGGTGTCGTAAAGCAAGATCTTCTTACTCCATGGCAAACCGACAAACATAGCGTTCGAGTGAGCGGATCTGGTGGAACCGTCCATCACGTACAAGTGGGTGAGCGGGAAGTTGTTTCTCTTTGCCAAGGCCTCGATTTCGGTTCTCAACTCGCCTTCTTCCAAAGGCGTCATCTTGTAGAAAAGAGGAAGAATGAAGGTAGGGAAAATAGTCATGATAATCAACAGCGCAGCCAAGGTCAAGCCCATGGCGTACTTGACGAAGCCAGGGCCGTAGGCGTCGACAATTCTCAAGAACAAGTAGATGAACGGCGTGCTGATGGTCAAGCCGAGCGTCATGGTCTTGAAGAAGTCCTTGACGAAAGTGCTGAGGGTCATCTTGTTGAAGCCCCACTTCTCCTCAAGAACAAATGTCTTGTAGTAGGACAAGGGCAAGTCCTCGAAGGAAGAGAGGATCGTGTTGATAGCGTAGAAAACGATGCTCTGCAGCATGATACTGGTGCCAAAGAAAGCACCAATGAACTTGACACCGCCCAAACGAGCAGAAAGACAACCAGCGAGAGACCAAATGCGAGGCAAGACATCAAACTTCACAACGGCCAACTCCTTCAACAACTCCACGGCATCTGAGACAAAGTTGAACTTGGCCTTTGAACGAGAGTAAGCCTGGGATTTGTGAAACACCTCAGGCGCAATCTCCTTCTCGATCGACACTGGAGGTTTGGTGCGTTGGTACACCTGGTATTGTCTGTAGTTGATGTAGGTTTCAAAGGCGTATTTGCCGACCAAGAGGGAGGTCACGATGGCCTTCCAATTGACATTGGGGTTGTCCAAGAAAGACTGCGGTTAGAATGTGGTGAAAAGGGGGTTAATAGGGTGGACATACTGAGACAGACTCGAACATGGTGTTGTAGATCAGACGTGTTATATCTCGATCGGATAATGTGTGAGGTGCACGGGTGTCGGCACGGCGGCCAATGGGTAAAAGTGCAATGGTAGAATGATGAGGTATGGTAGTGAGGGGATGTCGATAATGTTAAAGATTTCTTGATTTTGATAAGTTTTGTCAAGATTGGGGGAAATAGGATTTTGGGGGTTGACGAAGTTGATTTCAAAAGCTCCCTTCAACCACTGTCACTTTACCCTATTCAGTGAACCATTACCTTAATTCTCTAGACCATTCATTTGAGGCCCTAGGGAGGGCTAAATCACCAGGTGCAACTGGTCAATCGCACCTGACTACCCCAGCATCAGTACCAAAAAGAACCACAATCACCATATATATCTCCCACAAGGGCTCACTGAAATCTCACAAAATCCAAAACCCATAAACCGAAATCCACCTGCCGAGTCGGAAATCCCTTTTCACAGGCGGGCCTTTTTCCTTGGACGTTGTTTGCGTTTATTGTGCTCATTATGGACCTGCGGGTGGCTGCGAAAAAGAGAAGTAACTAAAAGCTGCAAGCCCTGGACAATACAGTCCAAGCCAGGAGCCAACGATCCACCTTTCTTTCCAAATCCCAAAAAAGCTGTTTTTGCCTTCCTCGGATAGCCTCCGTTTGTATGCAAATTCACATCGAAATAGACTTTCTCCCCCCAGTCCACCACACCTCTCCTCATTGTGCCTCGCATTTCCTCCTCAAACGCCGATCGTTGCAAGGCGAGGTGCTCCTACTAAAAAACGGTCCCACCTGAGCTTGCCGAGGCCAAAGTTCACACAAACTCCGGAATCAGGCTATTTTCGTGCGTGGATCAAAAACATCCGTTTTCGTTTGACGAGTTGACGACGTTGGTGCCCTGCGGCGCCAAGATCTCTGGACCAATCCGCTTTTTCGCAGCCATTTTGGCGCAGCCACATGAGGCGCCCTCCAGCAGGGTATCAGGGACTGGATTGACGAAAGGCGATCTAAAAGAAACAAAAAAAAAGGAAGAGAAAAAAGAATCAAAATCACCTTCTTCTTTTGAGCACCCCTGCTTTTCACAAATTTGTCCACGACCTGGCTCACATTTGGATCTACCCGCGATAAGCTTCAGGACTGCCTCACGCCGTACCACACCACATTCTTGCTCATCGCCGGGCCCCCGAACCGAAAAAGGCAGAATCTCCAGAAAAACAGAATTCTATATCATTCTTGATTTCGCTGGTACTTCAAATTTTTCATCAGCTACGCCTTCTTCGTCTCCAGCTCCTTACCTGGCCTCCTGATCTGGTACCTTATTTCTGCAGGCCTCGAGCCCTGAAGGCCCTTCAAGACCCACCAAAACACCCTCAAACAAGTATAAAAACACCGTTGCCGTGAAATTCAAACCCACTTTCGGCGCCATTATCCGCTGCTTTTTCCCAATCTCGCCCCTGCCCTGCCGCCCTACTCCTCCCATTGTCACATTCCGACCTACTACTGCCGCGATTTTCCATCTTCAACCACCACCATGTCTGAGCTGTGGAAGATCAACCGTATTCTAAATGAGCTCATGACGAAGCCGCTGGCCTCCCGAAACAGGCTCGACGCCTCCACCACCTTGCAGTATGCGGCCGCCTTGAAACCAAACATCTTGGCCTCCGAGGACCAGGATAAGGTCAACTCCATTCTGGTGCTAGCCAAACTCTTGCAGTGTACTCCAGGAGCTGGTCCGCTCGACTTGCTGCTGATCTTCGACGAGGATCTCTTTGGAGTGCTTTTGGAGACGGCAAGAAAGACAAACTCCCCTGACTTGTACCGAGCCATTCTCTCCATCTGTCTGACGTCCATAACAGGCTCGATCTACCCATCCCAAGCCAACGAAAGCTCCATTGACGTCCACCTCCCGCTCTACAAGGCGCTTGTGCTGCACTTGGACGCCATCGACATGTTCACCGCCAAATTGTACACGGCAGATGTGAAAACGTTGCTTTACTCGGTCCACTTGGTCACGGGCTTGATCAAGCGGGCTTTGAAGTTCAAGTACGACAAGATCATCACCTTAGCGGGCCGTTTGAAGCACGTCAAGTTCTTTGCCACCGTTTCCAACCTGGCAGACCCGCAGGACCAGATGCTCCAGGAGGCCATTGCCCAGTTGGAGTACTACTACTTCTACTTGAACGAGTACCTTTTGAACACGACGTTTGACCTTTCCATCGAGTCCCACAAGGTCATGATGCGCAACTTGTTCGAGTTCTTGGACGTTTCGCTTAACGAGTTTGGCACTCCAGCGCTGACGGCTGAATACGTTAAAGCCGGTTTCACCGCTGACCCTGAACAGTACATTGCCGACCACTTCTCCATTTTGTTGGCCATGGACCTCAAGATCTTTTTGAAAGACCCCAACATGACCTTCAAAAAGAGGTTTCACGAAGAATTAATCATGAGCGACCACAACAGAACCTTCCCGTTGAACCTCTTTATCAGCGAGTGCACCAAGCTCTGGGTGGGCGTTTTCCACGACAAGAAACGCTACGCCCGCCTTAATGTCCACATTCTCTCCTGGGAGCTCATGATCTACTACTCCATGTTCAACTGCTTGCTTTTGTGGCAGGACACCAAAGCCCAGCTTGAGAACAACGAGGACATGACGGGAATCGTGAAGCTTCTCCTGGCAAACGTCAAGTACTTAGAAGAGAGTCTCGGCCAGGACGTCTCGATCGAGGACGCTTTGGAAGTGTTTTCTCGAAGAACGTCCGAGCAGATTAGACACTACCAGATTCTCGAGATGAAGAAACTCCACAATGCCAAATGGGCTCCGTATTTCCTGGAGTTTGACCGCACGTTGCAGAGTGAGGTCATGGAGTTTGTGTGTGAACAAAGAGTCATGCAGCTTTTGAAGGGCTCGTGGGTTCTTACCGAATCCCACGCTGAAAAGCTTAAAAACAAGTCTGCTGTGGCCGACAACAGCTACTACTTCCTCATGCTCAGTCCGAACAGAAAGGCCATTTTGTTCAAGCGGTTTGCCGAAAAGCCCACTTTGAAACCTTCTTTGGAAGAAATGGAGGCTCTGTACGTGGAGCTCAAAGACATTGCACACTATTCGTCCGTCAGAATTGGTCAGTCGTTGGGTGAAGAAGACAAGGCTAAACACAGCAGGTTGATTTCCGTCAAGGGCTCCATCTGCTACGAAAGACTCACGCTTCTCAACAAAGCCGACAGACCTTTGCTTACCTTTTTCACGGATTCTGAAATGAAAAAAGCCGTGTGGCTTGATGGACTCAAGATGTTGAAGGGATCCTTGGGCTTTAACGAGCTTTCCGCCGAGACTTCGAGCCAATTGGCCTCGCTTAAGGACATTAGAAAAAACACTCAGCTCTTGGTGCTTGAAGGCAAATCTTTTGCCAACGTGGAGTTTGATAATGAAAGCGACGACGACCTCTACGACCTTGCAGAGTTGAATAGAGTCACCGAGGGCTTCCACTATGCCTAGACAATCAATGAGCTTACGTGATCTGGACCAAACAAATAGACATATTTATAGGATGGAGCAGGGAAGTGTAGGAAGGATTTTGATCTCGGATTTGGTCGAGGGGTGGTTATGGGGTTGATGGTGGTGCACGTGCCGAGTCACGTGACATTTTCGAGATGAGATGCCTCTCTATTTTCGACTCCATATCAGCTACTTGATCTACACGAAATGGCCAAAAAGACAAAATCCCAAAAGGCCAACGGCAATGGCGCTGTAAAGGCCAAGCAGCCAAAGGATGACCTCATCATGACGATAGATAGTGACTCAGAAAACGAGGCACCCGTTGAGGAGCCTTCCGATGAGGAGGAGGAAGAGAAGCCCAAGGACGACGAAAACAAGGAGCACGACGACATCAACCCCAATTTCCAATTTTCCCTTGACGGTTTTGAGACGACAAACACCGCGGACGGATGGGATTTCCGTGTGGCGGAGGAGAAGACCGAAAACAAGAGGAAGGACGTGAACTTGGACGATATCTTAAGATCCAAGGGTGGACTTACAGGACTTGTTGGGGGTGAAGAGGCCGAGGAGGAGGTTGAAGAGGAAGATGAGGATGAAGATGAGGAGGTCGAGGAGGACGACGACGAGTTGGCATTGGACGGTTTTGGTATGAATGCACAGAGTGAGGATGAAGAGGAAGAAGAGGAGGAACAAGTTGAAGAGGAAGAGGAGGAGCCTGCTTCGGATGATGAAGATTCCGAAGACGAAGATAAAGACTCCGCCGAGGCGATTGCCAAATTCTACGAAAAAGCAGAAGAGTCCCAGACCCACACCACTTTCCAAACCCTTGATCTTTCTCGTCCCGTGCTCAAAGGTCTTGCCAACTTGGGCTACACAAAACCATCTCCCATCCAATCGGCCTCCATCCCTATTGCCCTCATGGGTAAGGACATTGTGGCTGGTGCCGTGACTGGTTCTGGTAAAACCGCCGCTTACATGATCCCGGTGATCGAGCGTCTTCTCTTCAAGCCTACCAAAGTGGCGTCCACCAGGGTAATTATTTTGACGCCCACCAGAGAATTGGCCATTCAGGTTTGCGACGTGGGTAAGAAAATTGGCCGTTTCATCAACAACTTGTCGCTTGGATTGGCAGTTGGTGGTTTGAATTTGCGTCAGCAGGAGCAGCAGTTGAAAACGAGACCTGACATTGTTGTTGCCACGCCTGGTCGTCTTATTGACCATATCCGTAACTCTGCGTCCTTTTCCTTGGACGCCTTGGAGATTTTGATTATGGACGAGGCCGATAGAATGTTGGAGGAGGGTTTCCAGGCTGAATTGACGGAAATCTTGACCTTGATCCCCAAGCACCAGAGACAAACCATGTTGTTTTCCGCCACGATGAACACGAAAATCCAGGACTTGATCCAGTTGTCGTTGAACAAGCCCGTGAGAATCATGATCGATCCTCCTAAGGCTGCTGCCACCAAGTTGGTGCAAGAGTTTGTGCGTATCAGAAAGAAGGAGGAGATGAAACCGGCGCTTTTGTTCCATTTGCTTAAACTTTTGGACCCTGCCCAGCAGAACCGTACTGTTGTGTTCGTTTCTCGTAAAGAGACCGCCCACAAGCTCAGAATCATTCTTGGTTTGCTCGGTATGAAGGTTTCCGAATTGCATGGCTCGCTTTCCCAGGAACAGCGTCTTAACAACGTGAGCGATTTCAAGAACTTGACGGTGCCTGTGCTTATCTGTACGGATTTGGCTGCTCGTGGTTTGGATATTCCCAAGATCGAGATGGTGGTCAATTACGACATGCCCAAGACTCACGAGATCTACTTGCACAGAGTCGGAAGAACCGCCAGAGCAGGCAGAGAAGGTCGCTCTATCACATTCGTTGGTGAGGCTACTGCTGACAGAAATATCGTCAAGGCTGCTATCAAGTCGTTGGAGAACGATGGAAAGAAAAACGGCAAGGCTGTCTCCAGAAACGTGGAGTGGGACGAGGTTGAAAAAGTCCAGAAAGTCGTTGAAGAAAAGAAAGACGTGGTGGACGAGGTTTTGGCAGAGGAGAAGCTGCAAAAAGAGCTTTTGACTGCGGAGATGGAGTTGGCCAAAGCAGACAACCTCATGAAGCACGGAAAAGAAATCCAGCTGAGGCCCAAGAGAACGTGGTTTGAGACCGAGGCCGAAAAGAGAAAGCACCAGTCGGAGGCCATGCAGCAGCTCACAAAGAACAAGCACAATCTTAATGCTAAAAAGAGAAAGCAGAAAGAAGGAAAAGAAGACGGCGGTCGGAGCTGGAAAAAGACAAAGACCGTCAGAATGGCCGGCCAGGGCAAGCCCAGAAACAGCGGCAGCGGCAAGAAGAACAAGAAGAAGCACTGATTGGATGGTGGATATTTTGGCTGTCTTGGACAGAATGCATTGTACTTTACTTTGGCCCCGAGGCCCTCGCATTAATAAAATAGATCGGAGTTGGGTGTAGGATGGGTGTAGGAGGGTTTTGATGAGTTGTGGGTTTTGGGATTTGGTGCTAGTGGGGATTTTTCAGTGGTATGTTGATGGAGGATCAGATGGTCCAGGAATGCCACTATACAGCCAATTGGCCGTGGAATTTGTATTGGAAGTCTTTGACTATTTCGATTCTAGCTAAATTTGATGAAATCCAACATATTCTCCTTAAAATGCAATTTATAATCCTTTTTTCGTTACCCTCTACTTCCCCAAGTCTCAATACTCCACGTACATTCACACTTTTCGCAGCCAGGGTCCACCCTCCATCAAAACCACAAACCTACAAAAAAAATAAACAACCCACCAAACCCGTCAATTCTTTTCCCCTCTATCCATCAAAATCCACCACCCAACCATATCAAAATCAAACGGTGCTGGGACCTACTTTCACCGCCTCCACGTGACCAGATCAGACATCAACACCGAGGCGGATGATCCAACCATCTCTACACCTACACCATGTCGTGGTTTTCCGGCTACACGCCGCTTTCAAACAATGAAAACGTGACTCTGCTTAGTACACAGAGCCCGGGCAAAATCCTCATCCAGATCCTCGTTCTCCAATGTTTCTACTACCTCACAGCCCTCATCATCTTTTACCTAGTGGCACTGCTAAACGGCTACGATTTCAGCGTCGACTGGATATTCTCGTGGGAGCTCATTGAGCCCGACAATGCCATGGGGCTTATTTTGTTTGTCATGTGGCTCGTGGACACGTTGCTCTGTGTGTTGTTCGTCACCATCTTGGTGGGTCGTTCCAAGTTGGCGTGGGACTTTGCAGTGACGGTGCATGTGATCAATTTGGGCGTGGTTTTGCTCTATACGGGTAAATTCCCCACCAGCTTGCTCTGGTGGTGTCTCCAGATCTTGTCTGCTGTGATTTTGGTGACGCTTTCGACGTACTCCACGCGATGGAAGGAGCTCAGGACCACCTTTTTTGACAATATGTTGGACCAGCAGGAAACGGGGCAGGTCAGGCACGAGGACATTCCCATGAAGGATTTGTCCCGTCCCCAGTCGTGAGAAGTCAATTGGCGATTGAAGTGGTGAGTTATGGCAAATTGAAGAGCTCAAGGTGCCTTGTCCCACATAATCATAGGCAAAATCTGCGCCGTCAAAAGGATAGGTGATATTGGAGATTCGAGCGTCATAGTCGACAAGATGGCAGTGCCGCCTAACTGACCCCAAAGGAGACGTAGTCTACAGAAAATTCTTGGATTGAACAAATACAGTTTGGGGCTTCCTTTCTCGACAGGCACAGTTCAATCTCCTCCTGCTCCACCGAGTGTCCCTGAATCGGCCCTATTCACGCCTTGGTCCGTCTTATTCACGCTTTTAATCCGTCAGACTTACAGTCCTCGGCCTACTGCCAACCACCACACTCTTGGCAATGCTGACACTTTCACTGGTGCCTTTGCTGCTCCCTAAAAATAGGGTTTTGTTCCTACACTGACGGCACTCAACAATGGGCTCGATGATGCCGTATGGTAGCCAGCATTATCACAAGCAGCCGTTTGAGTCACCGGTCTAGCAGCATGGCGATACTGCTCAATGAGGCAAGTGAACCGTACCATCACCAGCCACAAGGTCGGTCTCTAGATGGTCCGATCTCAGGGTGCGTGGGTGAAAATGACACAAAATGACACAAAATGCCACCGCCCCACAGTGGTCACACTACGATGTCAGAGGCAACAAACCGACAATGTTGTTTACAATTATCGAAAAAACTCCCTCCAAACCCCTAATCGAAGCTTAAGCCGATCCCGACTTGACACGATCTCATGCTGCGTGGTCGCACCTACCCCCCGTTTGCAGCCATCATTATCAACACCGGCCGAGGCTCTCCTCATTCCATTCTGGCACTTCACATGGCGGCGGAGAAGGATAATCCTTTGACTTCATCAGCCAGGCTACTTTTTGAAACAGTGTGTCTCGGAGAATACGCCCCCTCCTCGGTGAACATGATGGCTGAGGCCGGTCCGCCACGAGCACTGAGATACCCCACTGCGCGGCGGAACCCGTTTTCAGTAATGCTTGGGCCGCCATACATAAGCACCCTGTTAGAGTCTATTGTTACTGCTCCTCGGCTTGATATAGTGGTCCATGGTATCACATGGAGGCCAGCACGGACTTTCGCGGGGGCTCCCCGCGCTCGGTGATTACAATATAAGAAGCCGATAGTTTCTCCTGATTTTCAAATTGCCACCCCCCACCAAACATGACTGAAGAATCGCTTGCTGAGGAGGGCTTTTACGGCTCCGAATTGTTTGACTTTATGAAACTGATTGTGGATGACGACCCCGAGTTGAAGAAGAAGTCCATTGCCAAGGTGAACTCCGTGTGTGTGATCACCTTGAAGAACCCCAAGGGCGACACCAAGCTGTGGTTGATGGACTTTAAGAAAGAAGGTACTGTCAAGAAGCTTGACGGCAAGCCACCAAAGAGCGACATTCACTTGACCTTGAAGGATAAGGATTTCGTGAAATTGATCAATAACGAGGCCAACCCTCAGAGAATGTACATGGGCGGTCGTTTGAAGATCAAGGGCAATTTGATGAAGGCTGCATCCATCGAGCCATTCTTGCGTGAGGTTGACCCTCGTACCAAGCAAGAAAAGGCTAAGTTATAAATTCATGTATTATGAGTGACACGAATCTGTAGTGCAGTGAGGAGGTGAGGAGTTTCTCGCTGGGCGAGCCAGCCACCCCCAACAAAAAAAAAAAAAAACACATGAGATACATAAAAATATAATAATAATTTATTTCATTTCGTAATGCATATATTAAGGCCATAAATCTATTCCATGGTCAACCAGTTACCGGTGGCAAGGGTGGTGGTCAATTGAGAAACCTGGCGTGGTGGGTAACGCTCAGGCTCGGGGTAGTGGGACTCAAGCTTGTCAAACTCCATCAAGAATCTGGAGATCACATATGAAGCTTCAGTAATGGCAAACTGCTGGCCCAAGCAGATTCTAGGCCCACCGTTGAAAGGAAGGTACGCCCAGCCGGGCTTCAAGTTACGGTCGGCCCATCTCTCGGGTCTGAAGACGTGCGAGTCCTTGCCATAGTACTTTTCGTTTCTGTGGGTGCAGCAAATCAAGTAGCCGATACAAGTGCCCTTTTCAATAAACACGGGCTTGTCGCCGTTGGGGCCTCCGCCTCTTGGCAACGTGGTGTTCTTGTTGGCAAATCTGTAGTTGATGGGCACGGCTGGGTACAATCTGAGCACCTCGTTGATCACGTACTTCAAGTAGGTACACTTTTTGAGCGTCTCAAAAGTGATATCCTCGACATTGACATTCTCGCCCAGACCAAACTTCTCACGAATCTCCATCTTCAACTTGTTGTAGATGTCAGGGTTTCTGGCCAACTCAAAGAAAGTGAAGGTCATCAAGGCGGCGGTGGTGTCTCTGCCGGCAATCATGATGTTCAACAATTGGTCACGCAACACAGCAGGATCTCTAGTCTCCTTGACAAGCTCGTACAAGAAAATGTATCCGTCTGAAACCTTCTCGAGCTCGGCCTCGCTCATGCTAAGAGCACGCTTGACGTAGTAGTCGGCAAAGTTGTGGACAATTCTGGTATTCCTCTTGAAGTCCATTGGGTTGTGGAACATGTACCATTTCTGCATCCAGGCTCTGGTGGACATGATCTCCTGGGCACGGTTGAAGGCCTCGTAGAATTGGAACTGGCCCTCAAACTCCTCGTCACGGTACTCGCCAATAGAGTCATCCAAAAGACCGTAAACAGACTCACCAAACAAGAATTCGGTGGAAGTGTCAACGGTAAAACGGTAAAAGTACTCCTGCAAGTCGAATTTCTGGCCAGCATGCTTTCTGATGTGTCTGAACAAGTGCTGAACGTGCTTCTCCAAGGCCTGAGTGTGCGACACCTTCTCTCTGGAGAAGTTTGGTCTCAAAAGCGCTCTCGAGTGTTTCCATCCCAGGTAGTCCAAAGTAAATACACCATCACCCAAAACAGGTTTAAAGTGGGAGTGTCTCAAGGCCAAGGCAAAGTCGTTAAACTGGGTTGCCAAGACGGCTCTCAAGTTGTCTGGATCGGTGGTTACAAAAAGGGTGTCACCGCCAATTCTCACCCTGAAGTTCTCGTTATCTCCGTTCCAAATGGTCCACAACCAACCCACCAAATTGCCGTCTCTTTTACGGGCAAACATCTCAAGTGCGGGTCTAGAATTGAACCAGCCGGATTCGGGGATCCAGGGGGCCACATCGGCGCCATACTTCTTTCTCAAGTAGAAAAGCTTTGAGGTTCTGTAAAACCAATAGGCAAAGATCACCAGGAAAATGACGCCAACGTAGCCAAGCACGCCGTACTGGGCGACCTGGGCATTGTGTTTCTGAACCGAGTCTGTAATATCGTGAACGAAACCCATGGTGATTAAGAAAACAGATCAGACAGAGGGGGGGATAAAGCAGAGCCTTTATTAAGTTTTTAGAGCTGGCATGTGAATTGCAGGCTTGGGGTAGGTCGAGGGGTGGGAGGCGACATTTGATAATGGGGCGCTGATACAGCGTGGTGCATGAGTGCAGGGAGGTGCAGGGATGAGTGAGGGGATCGCTGACGGAGTTGGTCCTGTGTGCAGTACTGCAGTCTCGGAGCGGCACCAAAGCGTCGATTTCGTTAGAGTCCGAACGTTCTGTGTGCAGTCGCGCAGGTTGAGTGGCTAATCTGGCGTTTTGAGCAAAACGTTGGTGGGTGAGTCTTCACATGCCACGGACTTAGGACCAAATATCCCGGTTCTGGAAAAACCTTAATGTGGTAGAAGGAGAAGATACAACGGAATTGGCTAAAATTCATGTGAATGTGGTTTTGTGTATTTGCCAGGAGCCAACGAATGGTATGCTAAAAATATTCAATTTTCGATGCAATTGATGCCCTGCCATGGAATGCTCATATTCAATCCACTGTCTAGACCCAGACGTCAAGTGCCATTCACCTGTCGCTTAGCGGCCTTAGTACCGTTAAAGTCCGCGCAGTCCATTGTTTCTGCACGGGCCTGTGAATTGCTCATACTTAAGAGGCCTTCGTTATATATAGTTGCAATTAGCACAAAGAGGTGGATGGCTGGTTTGTATGATTGTGTAGAGGAGGCACCATATCGGAGACCGTGACGGCCGAGCCTTGAGCCGCCTGAGCCTCATACGGCGCTATTGTTAGAAACATGAAATTATGTGTGGTGGCGATTCAGTCTGTATTGGCGCTTCTGTATGATAGTGAGGAACAGAATGTATTAGCGACGCGACGTCGCCATTGTGGACGAGAGATATTCACATGGAGGTTTGGAAAAGACGTTGGGCGGTGGTTGCTGGGGCTGAAGATCGGCCTGATATGGGATGTTCCGAGTTAGGCAGGTGGGGTGGCCGCTATGTTGGTTGGATCTAGGCGAGATAATATCGCAAGTAACGGTGAGATATAGACAATTGGCGCTGGTTTTTGATTAGACTTTTTCCGATACTTCCATTATAATTTTTTCTTTGTCATTTCTGTAATTTTTCTAATGGCATAGCCGTTACGGTATAGTCATTGCCATGGTGACGCCCCCATTTGTTTCAGTTCATTGCTCCCCATTTGCAAATGCACCTGAAAAATAACCAACGTCTAGATGTCGCTGGCGAAGCCGGACGGTGTGTCCGAATGACGAAACGGGAAGCATCGGAACAGACGCTTGTGACGAATCCATTTTGATTGTTGGGCAAACGCTCCTTTGTCTGGTTGGCTCGCTTATTCCGTCCGTTTTTGTTTTTGTGGTTGCTACGGTGGTTTGCCATCGCTGTGAAAATGGTCGATCAAAAGGGACATCTGGGTTTCTGCTGTGAATTGTATATTGGTGGGATCCGCCAGGGCCTGTTGATCGGGCGATCCAGAAACCACGTTGATCACAATAGCCGTTGCCAGGGCAGAGTTGACGAGGCCAATTGAAAAAATGAATTGTGGAAAGAAAGAAAAAAAAAAAGGAAAAAAGAAGAAGGCATCGTTTGAAGGTTCTGGTGTTAGAGATGGCTGGTTGTGTTGATGGTAGGTGGACTACGGGAATGAGGGGGTATTTAGGGTTACAACGAACTGGCCAATCAGGAGCAGGAATGCCGTAAACAGCCCGCCGTCACGGCCACAAGCAGCCCACAGATAGCCCAGAAACATACATTTTGAGGAGAACTGGTGGTAGCTTCTATCGTTTAGATATGGCAGTCAAAGCGATTCCAGTTACATCCACACAAAAGCCCACGCCCATAACGCCAACCAACGCCGACAACGCCTACCTACACTTGCCCTAGAAACTCAAAATAATCGTTTTAACAGCCCGGGTTGTTCTTGGACCACTTAAACTTTGACTACCGCAATGCATCAACGAACGTTCTGTGCACCGTGCTATCCAGCTTTGTGCCCCTGCTTAAACCTTGTGCCCCTGCTTTCTACCCATCCTACGCCATCTGAGACATTCCGGTGGACGCCGAATCGGCGCCATATCCACCAAATGCTGCCTCAGGAGAGAATAGCTCAGCCGATGTGAATAAGCTTTTACGGGGAAGGCCTACAAAAAACATCTCATCCAAATTTCTGAAAACCAAAAACAAAACCAAAATCTGTTTTTCCACCCCATTCGGGGTGCCACCACGAAATCTCAAATGCCACCAGATCCACTAACCTGGGTGTCTATCTCGTATATATCTCGCTCACTATTGTCCAGGGCTATGCTGCTGCACCTCACTCCACGGCAGGCATTGTTTGGCGCACCTGGCGCGGCTAGCCCTGGCGGAAAACCCCCTATAAATAAAGCCGTGAAGCGAGAGCTTATATTTAGTTTTGACGTCCGGCGGGAGGTATTTATATTTCTGGTTTTTTTACAAAAAAACACCCCCAAAACAACCCCTTTTAACAGGCCCCTTGCCGTTGGGGCGCAGCTTCTCCCCTGCATCCACAGACGTCAAAGATCGCTTCTATATAGGCCCGGCAGACCCACTACATCAACTAAACACTTGCCGGTCTTTCCAGTAAGATGGGTTTTTCTTCCAAAGCGACCCTGGTGGTCCTGCTGCTCGCGGGAAAGTTCCGTCTGCCCACAAGGCGCTTTCTACTACTCATCGGCGTGATAGTGTGGATCAACGCCATCAACTTCTTTGTCTTCCACCACAGGCACCAGGCCTTGAACTACTTGACCAACAAGTTCAACCAGTTGAACCCGCTCAACAACTACGAGGGCCACGCGATTCCCAAAAAGCTCGTGGACAGCATCACCGTGAAATACTGGCTCAACGAGGCCAAGATCGTGTCGGATCCTCGCCGCATAGAGATCCACTCGCTGAACTACGACGATATGCTTTCGGTGCATCCCTTAGAGGAGCTTTTGCAGTTGTCGTATGGCGACCGCTGTGACGCGTTTTTCAAGAACTTGTACGTGACCTCCGAGTCCAAGTGGGTCATGGAGGCTCCCGAGAGATTCCGCCTCGACATGGAGTACGAGATGTCGTGGGACGACTACAAAAAGAAGTACGAGGAGAGTTTCCGGGAGAAAATCGCCCAGGCGCAGGGCAAGAAGCCCGAGGAGGTCGATCCCAAGAACATCCACGACGCCATCGCCAAGATCTACGATGGGCTCAAGGACAAGGCTAAAAAGGACGAAAAGGATATGCTTGAGCAGGTGGCGTTTGGCCGTATTTTCAACAAGTGCTATGTGACGAGAGACGACCCGAAGCAGAGGCAGAAGTTGAACAGATTTGCGTCGAGACAGGCCCGGCTGGTTGGCGGTTTTTCCGGCGGCCGTTTTGTGGAATCCGATGCAGAGAAAGAGCTTTCTCCTGAGAAGTTCCCCAGCTGTGCCGACTTGGAGCAGAGAATGTACCCGTGGCTCTCGTACCAATTTCCCGTTTACGAACGGTACTCAGGGCAGGTGATGAAGACACCGCCGGAAATCAACAAGGATCACAGTAAAAGAAGCAACGAGCCTCTTCGATCCAAGCTCACGGGAAACACGCCGTGCTGGTTGAGCCACTACAAGAATAAGCTCCACGGGAAGGGCATTGCCATTCCGTTCGATACCTACCGTATGGACGAGATGGTTGCTCTTATACGGCTTCTCAGGGCTCACGGAAACAAGCTCCCCATTCAAATTGTGTCATACGGGCAGATGGAGGAGCACCAGAAACAGGCCTTGAGCGATGCCGCCCGTGAACCGTATGTGGATCTTCCGCCCAGCTACGTGAAAGTGGCAGAACACCTCGGTAACATCTTGGAATCTGAGGACAGGGGCCTTCGATCTCAGGATTTGTGGTTTGTGGATGCACTGACGCTTTTCGATCCGGAGGTCAGGCAGGACTGGTCAGACTACCCGATTTCGATTTTGACGGCTTTCGCCAGTTCCTTTGAGGAGGTGGTGCTTATGGACCCCACGATCGTGCCGCTCAAGAACCCCGACTACTTCTTCAACCTCAAGGAGTACAAGCAGAAAGGCGCCTATTTCTACAGAGCCAAGCCCATGCACAAGCGGACAGAGAAGAACACGGATTTTTTCAAGAGAATGACGCCGTCTTTGGTCGACACGGTCATGTTCAATATCCCCGTTTTGACCGACCAGACGCTCTCGCTTCCGTTCTTTGAAGGTCTTCAGGAAATGCAAGACGCTGCCGTTGCAGTCATTGACAAAAAACGCCATTTCAACGCCATGGGCTCACTTCTCCAGCTCGGTGCTTTTTGGCCAGCTGACTACCGTGGAAGCGTTGCCCAGGAGCTCTGGCTCGGCTTCATCGTTGCTGGTGACGAGGATTTCCACTTCAACAAGTACTTCCCCGCTGCTCTAGGTGATGCAGACCCGTTTGAAGAAATAGCTCCCCAGGTCTGCAGCACACACACGGGCCACTTGGATCCTGTGACCTCCAACGAGCTTGTTTGGATGACAGGCGGCTACGCTGTTTGTCCCGTGAGAGATCCCGATGTCAGTGAGGATTTTGGAAGAGCGTTTATTTGGCACACTTTCGAAGGCCCAGACGAGATGGTGGACTACTACAAGAGCCGATTCAACCTCAAAGTTGCCATTGTGCCGCCGTACGAGAGCATCGACAGTTTTGAACTCAACAACAACGACGGAAATCCCGTCAGTCCCTGGCAATGGGGCATTGGGTGTCTGGGGAAGGTTCTCTGTGCCAATGGCGAGATAGGCGGCTCGACGGATCACGAACCCAACGTGCAGAAAGGACAGTTTATCGAGTTTGAGCCGCTCGAGAGGAATTTGCATGCCTTCTACGGCGATATCTACATGGGGTATCTGGGAACCAAGAACTAGGACCTAGGCGAGACGATTAACCGATAACAGACAAAAAAGATGCTGAGTCATCCAGCAAGCCAATGAGCAGCACGGCTTGTGTTATTGTTGATGCAGAGAAACCCGGATTACCGCTGCCATACAGCTAAGCGGCACGAAGCGCAAAACTGAAAAAAGAGCGATAACGGCTTTCTCGGCTTTGACACACAGGGTTCAGATAAGCTGTGGCGGCGCTGCAGAGTTTCTGACGACAACGGCTCGAATTGTGGATATTGACGTGAATCGGCAATGTCTACGCACGTACATAAGCATGAACTATACTATAGAAGGGCCACAGTAGTGAGACATGTGAACGTGGTGTAGTGGTTATGGATGGATAGGGGGGTGTTGTGGTTATGTGGGGATGTGGAGGGATGTAGGAGGAGTGGTGGTATCGGGAATCTGTTGATAATCGGTTTCCTGATTGTCCATGGGGTGGTAGTAGGACTTCATGGGTAACTGGAGTTCCGGCTATATCGCCATATTTCGACGGAATTATGATTTCTAAGCTATGTTGAAATTGCAACCTTGCGGAATCATTGGTTTTGCGACTTCATTAGTTTTGTGGAGCTTTCTTCCCCGGGTTTTGCGTTATCTTCAGAATCTACCTTGGTGATACTCACTGAGCTACACCAGGGAACCCGAACCCGAAACCGACCGAAAATTTCGAACCCAGCTGATTCATATCATCTTTCCATGGCACCTCTTCAAATTAAAACCTCATTTTTTTCAATCCACCATGCTCTCCCCTTCCATCTTCTCACCACCCTCGGTTTTGCAGCCATTCTCAAACCTCATTCCACAAACCACTCCAACCACACTCCAACCACACCCCAACCCACCACTTCACCCACCACTTCACCAACTCTACCAAAACCTCTCAACCTCTACAAATTGCATGTACCGCCCGAACCTGGCCCCCAGCGGGATGTACTCGTTACCTCCAATTCCCTACAGTCATGGAAACCCTTCTTACAGAGGATGCCCTTCACCAGGCCACACCTTTTCGGCGTGGGAACTCAGCGAATACGGACCGTACCACCACCTCAGCGACGCCCGCCACCCCTCTCTTTTCAACCCGTTTTATGGCACAAAACGCTACAAGCCTGGAGATGTGTGGGAGGTTACAGAAGATGATCCTCGGTTTCATCCATACCCTGGCTGGCCCAACCCGTGGGAGGCTCACTACGGCAGTTTGAATGGCAATTTAAACGGCAGCGGAAGCTTCAATGGCAGCTTTGGCGGCAACGGCGGATTTGTAGCGATCTCTCCAAACCTACCACCTCCTGGTTCTGGGCTCAGGTCTGGATGGAACGGCGAGTTCGGGGTGGACATCCATGGAAACCGGGGATTCAAGGAAACAGGCTCCAACGGGAAAGAATGGCTCAATCTCGGTGTACCCAGCGAGGACCATGACTTGTTCAACGAGGAGCCGGAGCCAGTCGTAGAGCGCTACACCAATGGGGTCAGAGACGAACCTACAAGAACCCACAAAAGACGAACCCGACGCCGAAAACGGCCTTCTCCGCCGCCTCCACTAATTGAACCTCCTCCAAATCAACAAATACCACCACCTCCGCCTCCACCTCCTCCTCCACTTCTGAAAACCAGATCAGCTGACGCTGTGTTAGAAACGGCCGCCACGTTCTCCCCCACGGCAGCGGACCTCAACCTCCACGACAGGCACTTCTTTCCCAAAACCTACACAGACCACCGTTCGCAGGCAGTTCTTGCCGGAAAACCACCCAATTGGATTGACGCCGTGATTGCAGAAAGCAACCATTGTCTGGAGCCGTGTGGGAGCCACATGAGCGGAGATTCGCCTACGTACGGGGAATTGGCTACAATGGTGGAGCGGCTTCTGGAGAGTGGCTCAGAAATTAGAGAGATCAGTCCTGCCGAATGGTGACCCTGGTTGCGAATAGCGTACTTGATACCACATTCAACTGCCTGGGTCCACAAAGCGGACCACGTCAGGTACCAGAAATTAGCTCTTGATACATCTACCCACCACCCAAATAGCCGCCCACACATGGCCAAGAATATGATAGGGTGGAGCTGCCTCGATCTGTGTGTGGCTCTGCGGAGCCGATAGCGCTTTTATCGCCGGAGTCCACACTAGTGCCAGCGGCTCGGGTGGCTTCAGGGGCTTTTGCGTGGCTTGCGGGAGAGCGAAGACGAAAATACGGGATTGTGTTTTTTGGGTGCGTAGCAGGGTGTAGTTGGGGAAGCTAGGGACGACCGCATAGGCGAGAATAATATCGGCACGTCAAAGCTGTCAAACTGGCCGGGTGCATGCTTGGCACATTTAGGCTCCTTGTATCTTGGCGATAAGGTATCGCCACAAACTGCCGACGCGTCAGTTCCACCAGGGCCCTGGCACTGCACTTGCAAATTCCGTCCTGGAGCCTGTTTACTTTTCAAGTGCATTCTTGCGCTCCACAGTCGCTTTAGACCCAACGCATGCGCAAAATCACCACCACAGCTGACGATATCCACCATGAAACATAAATAGGCCCCGTTTCCTCTCAATTCTCTTCATCCACTCAATCATGCTCCCCTTCCTCACGATCTTCTCTCTCGCTTTGGCCTTCACCAACGCCTTGGTGGTGCCCAACCAGAAACGCTCTGGTGCTCCACTCAAGCTCGACTTCACCGTGCAAAAGTCCTTCTCCAACGCCACCTCCACCGGCGAAATCGCCTCCAGAGCACACAGTCTCGTTTCCCACTTGGCCGTCAACAAGAGAGAGGAGACCGCTTCTCTTACCAACGACAGAGATGTCTCCTACTTGCTTGACCTCAAGCTCGGCTCCAACCACCAGCCTGTCACTGTGATCTTGGACACGGGTTCTTCTGACCTTTGGGTGTACGGTACTTCCGATGCTGGCGCCCAGGGTGGTACTTACGATGTCACTTCTTCGTCCTACAACAAGAAGACCGGTGAGGAGTTTTTCATTTCCTACTTGGACGGTTCCTACGCTAAAGGTGACTACTACACTGACGGATTCGCTCTCGAGGACGGAAACACCCTTTTGAAGGATCTCCAGTTTGCCGTGGTGTCCTCCGGTGAGACCAACTCCCAGGGTATCTTGGGTGTTGCTGACAAGAACCAGGAGGCCACCGACACCAAGTACGACAACTTGCCATGGGCTTTGCAGAAGGAGGGTGTTACTCCCAAGGCCTCCTACTCGTTGTACCTTGGTTCCGAGGCCGAGGGCAAGGGTTCCATCATTTTCGGCGGTATCGATACCGAGAAGTACGAGGGTGAGTTGACCAAGTACCCCGTGGCTGGATCCAGAGGTTTGGCTCTCAATGTGGAAAGCGCCGATATCGGCGGCAAGACCATCCAGTTGGACAAGGAGATTCTTTTGGATTCCGGTACCTCCTTGAACTTGTGGCCCCAGGAGCTCATTGACGCTGTGGGCAAAGAGCTCAACGGTAACTACCTCCAGGGCTTCTACTTTGTGGACTGTGACCAGCCCACCGACAAGCACTTGACTTTCGACTTTGGCCAGAACAAGATCGACGTTTCGTACCAGGACCTTGTGTGGAAGTCGCAGGGCTACTGTCTTTTGGGAGTCCAGCCTGGCGACGACACGCTTATTTTCGGTGATGTCTTCTTGAGATCCGCCTACGTCTACTACGATCTTTCTCTGCACGAGATTTCGATTGCCCAGGCCAAGTACTCCGATGCTTCCAACATCATCGCCGCCTAGATGGGGGTGTAATAAAATTCAGTTCTTCTTTATCCAGGGTAGGCAATAGAGCACCAATCGTAGCTTAACAGTGGCATAGTAGGTGGAAATTGTATGTGGATGATCCAATCAGATAAGATGTACGCTTTTTGCTGCTTCTTCTCTTTATGACTTTGGAGTGCCGCTGGAGGTTTTAAAGTGGATTGTGCTCCTGGTCTGTAAACCCCCAAATTTCAGTAGGATCTCCATTACACCCCTGTGGTCAGCAGCAGACCACGAGATGAGCTGGTTTTGAACACAAAACGCCAAGTCCTCCAATGACAGAATAGAGAAGTAAGCCTCGGTCCTGACGCATGAAGTCTACATGTCACTACTACATACCGCTGAATGGCCCATCCAATGATTTCACCAAAAGCCAAGAAACCCTGTTGTCTTGACCTAAATTAGCCCAATTCATGGCCAATCGTAGGGTGATGGTTATTAAGGAATGGTGAATTCTGGTTTCAAGTCGTATCTTTTGAATGCGTGAATCCTTACAATTCTTCTGACCATCTTCATCCACTTAGATCCAGCTTGCACCATAATGCCTACACCTCCAATCAACAATCAAATTCAAACAAATTAGTCTATAAAGTGTAGCGGCGCTCACCAGAACTTCACAGCCTGGTAGCCTTTTCTCAACATCTTGAAAATAGGGTCGTTGTCGTTGGTGAAAACCATCTTGGTGCCCTTCTTCTCGCCCTTCTGGTGGCCGTTTTCCTCGTCCTCGGCATCCTCCAAAGACTGGGCGTCACTCAAGTAGTGGTCTCTCAAGAAAAGACCGAAACACAAAAGTGGCACACAGAGACAGAGACCAACAATACAAAGCTTCTTCTGAACCTCGGCGTAAGCCAAAACAAGAGCAACCCTGGGCGTAGAGCCCCAGGCGTGGTCTTCCATAAAGTCGTATGGAGCATCGTAGGCAGCCTCAGCCAAAGCGGAGTCCTGACCCAACTTCTCCATCTGCTTCTTGATAGTAGGGTACATGGTCTGGGTCCAGATGGCACCAGAAACACATCTTCCGAAAGAACCACCGATCTGGTAAATAGCATTAAACATGGCAGTCACAGAAGCCATGTACTCGTGGTTGGTACAAGCCTGAGCAGAAACAACGACAAGTCTGTTGAAGAAACCCTGGCCGAAACCAAGCAAACACATACCGACAGCCACACCGTCACGGAAGTACTTACCACGAATACCGTCGTTGTCACCTCTGAAGTGGACGAAAAGTCCCATGGCAATGTACCACACCATGACACCGAACAAGATGAAAGGCTTGGTTCTTCTGACCTTGGCCAACACGAAACCAATCACAGGCAAGGTCAAAGCACACACAAAGTGGAGAAGCAATGGTGTTCTGGTAGCAACCACCCTGCTGGCGTTCATACCCACATACAACACAGGGTAGGCGTAAGCGTTAGGCATGTTGGAAACAAAAGTGTAAAGAACACCCATTGCAAGAGCAGCCCAGATACCTCTGTCTCTCAACAAGGGGAACGGAATCAAGGGGTTGGTGGCGAGCTTCATTTCCCAAATGACGAAGCAAGGAATAAGGCAGAAACCGATAACCAAGGGCACAATGGTGGAGGCCTGGTGCCACTTGGTTCTAACACCACCAGCCAACGTCAAAGGCACCAAAAGAAGACCAAGCATCAAGATGATGATGATACAGCCGATAAAGTCCACCTTCAAGGCTGCCTCTCTGGTCCAGTAGAAGATACTAGCAAAACCCATTTTGGTGTACACCCAGAGCTTGTTGCTGCCATTGTCCAATTCCTGCTGGTAACGAGCCAACTTCTGGTTCAAGGTGACCGCAGAAGCCTTCTCCTCAGCACAAAGAGCCTTCCACTCCTCGGTCTTTCTGGCCTTGAGTCTCATGTGGAGAGAACAGCCCAAGTAAGGAATACACACCAAGGGGAAGGTGAAGGCCCACAAGGCCACACCAAACTGCCAGTCATGTCTCTCCAACAAGGAGTCCACAATTTCACCCGATGCCCAGGTGTTGATGATAGCTGGAAGGTTCAAAATGGCAATAGCCAAAAGTCTGTATTTCAAACTGGAGGCATCCGACAAGTTGATCTGCCACAAGAATCTGCCACCAGAAGAACCAATGGAGTACAACACCATACCGCCAGAGTAACGCTGGATATCGTGGGCCTGGGACATAATGACAAGACCGACGATTCTGAAAACCAAGGAAATGCAGAACAACTCAAGACGACCAAAGATATCCGACAATCTGGCATAAGCAGGCAACGAGGCAGCGGCAATGACTCTCTTGATGATACCCACGGTGGTCATCAACGAGTGCTGCTTGTACGAGTTGGTAGCGTAACCCACGAAAACGTTCGTAGCAGTACCCTCCATGGTTTGCACGAACATGGCAATGAAAATGGCAAAAAAGTAGATACCCTTGAGCGTCCAGGTATCGTACTGCTTGACCAAGATCTCGGACTTTCTCACACCAAAGGACTTTTCGATGATCTTGGAGTCCGTGGTGGCCTTGGTCTCCACCGAAGTGGTTCTCAGGAGCTTGGAGTTTTCAGAACTGTTCAAGTCCTTCTCCACATTGACATTCGAGGAACTGGCCCCAGAGCTGGGGGTTTTGTGCATCTTCTCCGCCATGATGATTGATGGGGTAGAAATGGAGCCAAAACCGGTGTCTTTAAATATTGCAAAATTATCTCCGGAGCTCAAACGCTCTGGTGAGTTTATTCCGTCTCGGGATATCCATTCTGCCAATGGGGCTGCTCAGAAATAGTCTTGTCTCCTTCATACGTGAGCTTTAGCGAACCAGCTTGAGCGTTTGCATTGTTAGGCCTTGGTCAGACGGCTTAGGTCCAATCAATGATGCATGGTAAGACACACAAAACCGGAGGTTTGGGGGACCCTTCAAGGAGCGGCTTGCATTGCAGGAGGAGTTTCGCCGAGAAATTAATCCGAGAATTGGCGTTGACAGGGTGTGAGGCGTGAGGGGGGCCACTTTTGTGGGAGATTTTGGTATGGAAAAATTTGTCATCCTTAGAGGAAGCCATATTGAAATTTTCTGTCTGGCCGGGCCAGTGCCCATCCTGTGGCTCCAAATCTGAGCGCTAGATCGAAATATGTCTTTATGCATGGTTATACCCGCCGTGCGTCATGTCTGGTTTTTTTGGCAGAGTTGCTGAAAGTTAAGAAAAAGACTCCTCGAGGCCCTTGGCAGGCGAATTTGCAACGGTTATACCAAGACCCGTAGGTTGGTAAAAACAGTTTGGGAGCTTTTGGGTGGTTTTAGCTCACCACCATAAATCATCACCATATTTCACCACCACCACAGAAAGCATAGCAAGTATCTACCCTCCACGCCAGGCGCTTTGTGTAACTGATCTTGCTTGCAAATTTTATCAGATGCATCTCTGCGCCAAATATGCACAGCTTGACACGGTGCCTTGACGTGAAATGCTGCTGGAGCTTGTCAAGCCTTCTTGTCATGCCAAGTCCCATTGGTTCCCGAGCCAGCCTAGAAAAGTCACCACACGAAAAAGCCGTTTATTGGCTCTTCCCGCGGAAACTTACGTTCCAGTACATGACGGCCTGGCGCCACTTGGCTGTCAATTCTGCGAGAGCCTCCACGCTGACTCAAGGGGCCAAGACTCGACCATGCAACCGGACATAGGCGCCAACAATGAGCAGAACGGCTTGTGGTGCCGGTTTCGGCGTCGCTTCCGCGTCGAACTTTTTCTACAATGGGACTTTTTTTTACAATGGTTTCTTCGATGCTCATGTTTTCGTATTTACCCTAGTGGTTGTGGGGGGAGGTTTATAAAAGCAAAACGGCAATTCCAGCGGCCAAGCTGCCGGCGCCAAAGACCACAGACCCTGCTGCGTTGTCGAAGGATGAGGCGGAGGACGAGGGGGCCGACGAGGATCCCGAATTGGCAGCAGAGGCAGAACCTGATCCAGAGGCAGCAGATCCAGAGGCAGCAGATGAGGAACCGGAGGATCTCGAGTTAGAAGCGCTGCCCAGCGATGCCGAGCCGGAAGCGGAACCGGAAGCGGAACCAGAAGCGGATCTAGTGTTGGAGCCACTGGAGGTTGAAGAACCTGAAGTCGCAGAAGAGGTGATTCTGGCGGATCCAGAGGCAGAAGCCGAACCCGAACCGGACGAAGCCGAGTCCGTGGCAACAGCAGCACCAGCAACACCGTCGGACCCGTCCATCTCCGAGTTCATCTCATCGATACCGCTGGGTTGGGCGCCCTGACCCATCCAAGTAAAAAAGGTCTTGGTGTGCGTGTGGTTAGGCTTCTCGATGGTCATGTGTGTGGTTGTGAGATGCTGGGCCTTTTCTCCGTAGAGCGTCTTGGTGTACGTGTTGTGTGGGTACGAAAAGATGTAGGTCTTGGACGAGCCTGTGGTGATGTCGTCGTCCGAGTCGGAGTCGGTGTCACTGTCACTGGAATCAGTGTCACTGTCAGTGTCGTAGTCGACGTCGGTGGGTGCAGAGCCCGGGCCCATCCACGTGAAGAAGGTCTTGGTGAGCGTGTGGTGGGGACGTTCGATGGTCATGTGGGTGGTGGTGAGATGTTCAGCCTTGGAGCCATGGAGAGTCACGGTGTAGGTGTTGTGGTCTCTGGAGAAGATGAAGGTGTTGGTGGACTCGGCGGCGGCGGCGGAGACGATGGAGGCTAAGGCGACGTTGGAAAGCTGCATTTTTGATGTGTTGGTGGATGGGAAAAGTGGGACTTTCGGGGTGCTTATATATGTTTCCGATGGCCTGGGGAGGCTTTTTTCGCAGCCAAAAACGAAAAGCCATGCAGCGCCGTTCGCATCGAGAATTCCGTGGCACCCATTGTGGCCATGCCATAATTGAACTAAGGCATTCCATTGAAAGAAGCATTGAAAAAAATAATTAAGTGGTTAAGAATTGTCTTTCGACTTCAATTCCAATCCCTCGCCATCCGTTGAACCCTCCCTCACCATCCTTTCAACCCTTCTTCGGAAGTCTTTCCCTGCGAAGAAGGTTTTTTTCATGCACCTCCAGGCAGAAGGTGCTAAAATTAGCCCACACTAAAACACGCAACACGGCTCGTTCCGGCCCCTCTGCCGATCTTTTCAGCCTGGACCCTCTTTGCAGCCATTTCTAGCGGGCTATTCTTAGAAGCCGTTGCACGTCATCCCAACACGGCGGTAGTTGCGATGCCGTTTTCGTCGAATCGGGCCTGGCCAAGAATCCAATTCCGTTCCTTCTCGGTGCTAGCGTGACTGATGAGGCTGTTGCTTGAAAAACTATTGGCTTAGCCCTAGGCGAAGGGCAGCCTCGTCCACTATATTTAGAATTCTGGGGTAGTGGAGTAGCACGGCTGTGGCGAGGTTTTGATGCAGAGGGCGCCGGATCGGGTGTTAATTGGTGAAGAAGGTTAGGAACCTCGGAATAGGGCGGTGGAGTGCCGGGGTGGGGCATTTGACTATAATGGACAAGGGTGAAGAATTGGCAATTGGGAGATTTGAAAATCGATTTAGTGACTTTGGACATGGCGACGCCGTAATTGAACTTATATTCTTTCCAAAACATCAATCCATTTCTTTAATCCTTCTTTCTACCCTCCCAAACCATCTGCAGAGGTGGTGAGCACTTCCGAAAAATCCCGCCACATTGCAAATCAAGATCTACAACTCACCTTGGCCTGTGTTGGTGTGACTCGGCAAGATGCACAATCGGTGCCGAGGAACCCAATAGCCTAAAATTAGCCCCCGGTTTGCCGTTTGGTTTTGGTGTTTGTTGAGATTGACAATGGTGGAGGCATTGGTGGGTGGAATGTATGGAGCAGTTGAAGAGGCTGGGTTTGGTGAGTCTGGATCGTGACCGATGAGTGGAATATAGCAAAATAGCTTCGGTCACGGTTTACACTGCCTACATGGGTGGACTGGTCAGGTGGAGGTGGGAAGCAAGGAATTGAGGGAATCGAGGAGTCTACTGTTGGAGCAATGGTCCAGATGCATCCCGACAAGTCTCATGGGCTAGAGCCTATTTTTGAGATGTGGTGGGACCAAAAGCAAGTAGGTGTTTAATTTGTGTTAGTCCAGCTTTTTCATTTTCTTCGTCTCCTTAGTCTTGTAAATGGCTTGAAATCGTATATGGTACTCTGGCTGCAATGCATAGTCTCAAATTTGCGACTAAGGGTCTCGACCAATGAGATGAGCTTTTTGTATGTTCCAGTGGATCCAACTTTATCGCTCTTATGTCTATTTCCCTGATTACCAGCTCCATTCTGCAAAGTCTTCTCTCGAGATCGTGGATCTCTTCGGTTGACGATCGTTCGGTTAAGCCACCTTAGACAAGCTTTCGGTTTCCGATGACAAAGCTAGTGATCACCAGATGCCAAGCCCTTCCATGTAGCAGGAAGTCTTTATCTTGACCTATATTTCTCTACATGAGTCTTTATTATCCAACTTCGACTGTCAAGCTGTTGCTTTTGTTGCTCCTACTCGAGGCTAATTCCGGTCCATGTAGAAACCACCTTATTGAGGGTACACAAAATCAAGAGCCACACATCTGACCACAGCGTCGAATGAATGAAAAAAACTAAAGACGCTTTCTAACAAGGATATCCTTTGTCTCTTGTCATTCCCATCTCCTGACGAGATTGTGCTCTAGTCTGCTAGTTAAAACGCTCATGAGAGCATCTGGGGCATCAAAGTTTTGAGTACACTAAACTCACCAAAACTGGCCAGTTTCCTGATGCAATTGAGGGATCTTCAACAACATCTTCCTCGCCTGGTAGTTTAAACGGTTGAACTGCTGAAACATCATGAATGCAAGCTGTTTGGGACCAATAAGTTCCGAATCTTTTGGACCCAAAGGTTCCTGAAGATTCACTTCTTCGACCAAATAGGCATACAATTCTGGAAGCTTCAGGCTTGACAAGGTCTCCTGAACATCACCTTCCTCACCGGGGTAAACGATCCTCAGAGAGATACAAATGGACAAGCGAACAACCAATGTGCACTGCCTTGGGGCCGGTAAACGATTTTTCAGCTTTCGAAAACCATTTCTAGTGCAATATAGGAGAATATTGAAGAATATGGGAGAGAGGAAAATTACTTGACTTTGCTTACGAATATTACCCAAACCGTCGGTGGTATACCTGAAGCTGCTGGTCCCTTCCCCACAAGCGGGATTTTACGGGAATATCAGTTAATCCAATTGAGAGCAAATATCAAAGTGGCATGATTTCCATAACCGAACCTTATTGTGCCCTTTCAAGCGAATCAATAAGATCTTCTCCATCGCATTATACATCAATAGCCTCCACAACCAAAATCATCACCTCAATGACACCCACCACAAGGACCATTGCACCACAAAGATGCCTCTTCAAACTACCCGACTTCTCTCCATGTCGCCTAAAATAAGCCCCTTATCTGACAAAGACGTACCTTATTGTTTCCACCAAACCCACAGCTCAACCCTCCAAAAACCACCTGATTCTCCAGCCCGACCACGGAGACCATCCCCACAATCCCGCTTTTTTCCCTATCTCTAAAACAAAGAAACCTAAAAATCAAGTGCTCCCCTGAAACCAATCAATTACGTCAGAGTCAGCCGCGTATACTTGCCTCTTCACTGCACACCCATGTGTACTCTGCCATTTTCCAGCAAAACCATTGGCTACTTAAACTTCCAGACGCCAAGCAGACCTGGGAAATTACGAACCCACACAATCCACATTAAGCGAGGCACATCGTCGGAACCTGATTTTGTGTAAGCTTTCCGAAATTGCGCCTTCTCGACTGTGGAGGGGTACTATATAAATATGGAGATTCGGTGTGCTGCGATTCTCCATGGTTAATGCTACTTTTGAGCTTTCCTTGTGGAAGGTGCTTGCTGCTATTGTTGTTCTATACAATGTGGCATCGTACGTCAGCTACCGGATCCGTCTTTGGAGGCTGAAGGCCTCAGAAACGGTGTACCTTGACGATGGGCTTTTTGGGTTCAGAAGAACCAAGGATATCTTGAGAAGACAGAAGACAGGGGAGATTCCACCGCTTTTCTATGAAATGTTCAACGAGGTCAAGCGGGACACCCTTACCTTCAAAACCACCGGCACCATCAGATACTGTACCCGTGATCCAGAGAACATCAAGGCGATTTTGGCCACGCAGTTCAACGATTTCTCTGTGGGCCAGCGGCTCACCCAATTGGGCATTTTCTTGGGCGATGGAATCTTCACTTTGGATGGAAACGGCTGGAAACACTCTAGAGCCATGCTTAGACCCCAATTTGCCAGGGAGCAGGTCTCCCATGTGAAGATGCTAGAGCCTCACGTCAGGCAGGTGATCCGGAGGGTGAAAGGCGCCCAAGGCTCCAAATTCGATATCCAGCCATTGTTTTTCAAGTTGACCGTGGACTCGGGAACGGAATTCTTGTTTGGCGAGTCGTGCAGATCGCTCCGAGACGACGAGGTGGATATTTCGACCTTGGGAGGGCCAAAAGAGGCTGGTAATTTTGCTCATGCCTTTACCACGGCGCAGTCGTACCTTGTGAAGCGAGTAAATTTCCAAAAACTCTACTTTTTGGTCAACAACCAGGAGTTCAGAGACTGCAACAAGACCGTGAGCCGTTTCTGTGAATTCTACATCAACAGGGCGTTGCAGTACGAGCCAGAGGAGCTTGAGAAACTTGCAAACGGGAAATACGTGTTCTTGTTCGAATTGGTCAAACAAACAAGAAACCCCAAGGTCTTGCGGGACCAATGCCTCAACATTCTAGTTGCAGCAAGAGACACCACGGCAGGGCTCATGTCGTTCTTGTTTTTCGAGCTTGCCAGGAACCCAAGAATATTCCAAAAGCTCCGTGCAGAGATCGTCGAAGCCTTTGGCGAAGGGGAATCTGCCGATCTCAGCAAAATGACATTTGAGTCGCTCAAGCGGCTCGAGTACCTCAAGTGGGTGCTCAACGAAACACTCCGTTTGTACCCCTCTGTGCCCCAGAATTCTAGAACGGCGGTTAGAGATACCACGTTGCCAAGAGGAGGAGGACCCGACGGGAATGAGCCTGTGTTTATGCCCAAGGGGGATGTGGTGCTTTATTCGATTTTTTCAACACAAAGAAACGAGGCTCTTTACGGCAAGGATGTGCTTGAGTTCCGTCCAGAGAGATGGGCCGAGCCTGAGCTCAAGAAGATAGGCTGGGGGTTCCTTCCTTTCAATGGAGGCCCGCGTATCTGCCTAGGTCAACAATTTGCTCTTACCGAAGCCTCCTACGTCACCGCCCGCCTTCTACAAGAATTCTCCAAAATCGAGTCTTTTGATCCACCGGGCGATCCTAAAACAAGTGCCCAATTGACCATGGCGCTCCACCACGGTGCCAACATCGCCTTGTACTAAACGGGCTTTGATTTGCACGGAAACGGCCAACGAGGGGTAAACAAGCCCCTTCTCGAGAGAAATCCGAACGCATAGCTAAATTTTGAAAAAGCAAGGTTTGATGCTTCTTTATGTGGGTGGTTGCGAACCAGCCAATCTTATCTCTAGCGCCGTGCGCAGGACCATTGTGGTGATGTGACAGCAGGAGAAATGGAAAAAGGAAAAAAACAGACGTAGGGCTCAGGCTTTGTATTGAAATCACCGTATATTCATCTTTTTGCATCTTCCATTCAAAGCCCCCATTCCCTTTTTTCCATTATACCCCAGGAATCGGATTTACCATCGTCCTGCACGAGTCCGAGATAACCTCCACACAAGCCCCCTTAATCCACACCACCTCCAACCAGCTTTTCCTTCTTTTCTATATAAACCCACTGAATCCCACCAAAATCATAGAAACTTAAAAAGCCTTGAATATCCAAAATGCAATTCAGGCTTACCCCGCTCGTGCTTGCCAATTTGGCTGCCGCCATGGTGCTTCCTTCGCTTAACGGTTTTGACGTTGAATCCGTCTTCGGTCAGAACGCCATCACCGAAAAATCCAAGGTGGCCAAACCATTCGAAAAAACCCGTAACTCGCCAGCTCCTTTGGTCACTGGCTCAAATGTGGCTCCAAACAGGTACATTGTGGTGTTCAACGACGATGTTGCTGAGGGCGACTTTGCCACCCAGAAATCGTGGATTACCTCGCTTGTGCAATCCGCCATGGGCATCGAAGAAGGTGAAACCCTTGCCTCGTTCCAGCTTCCTTCCTTCCTGGGCTTGCTGGGCGCTTTCAACGAAGACGTCTTGAAGAAGATCCAGGATAGCCCCCACGTCAAGTATGTGGAGGAGGACGGCGTGATCGACCTCTACGGCACCAAGGTCCAGGAGGACGCCACCTGGGGTATCTCCAGACTCTCGTCGCGTAAAAACGACCAGGTGTTGGACACCTACACCTACGATCCTTCTGGTGGCGAAGGCGTCACTGCTTATGTCGTGGACACCGGCGTCAAGGTTTCCGAGGCCGACTTCGAGGGACGCGCTGTGTATGGTGAGGCAGTGGCCTTCCCTCACTTGCAGGTGGATCTTCATGGCCACGGCTCCCACGTGGCGGGCACAATTGGCTCCAAGACCTGGGGTGTTGCCAAGCTGGTGGACATTGTCGCTGTGGGCGTGATGGGCCCATTGGGAACCGGTTTGACCTCCGACATCATCAAGGGTCTTGAGTTCGTGGTGCTGGACCACCAGAAGAAGATCAAGGAGAAGAAGAAGGGCTTCAAGGGCTCCACCGTGAACATGTCCATTGGCGGTGGTATCAGTGACGCCTTGGACGCTGCAACCAACGCTGCTGTCAACTCGGGCATCCATGTGGTGGTTGCTGCCGGCAATGACGATGCTGACGCCTGCGAGTACTCTCCTGCCAGAGCCAGCGGCCCAATCACCGTTGGTGCTGTCGACAAGTCCGACAACAAGGCTTCGTTCTCCAACTACGGTAAGTGCGTGGACATCCACGCTCCTGGTGTTGACATTGAGTCCGTTGGTCTTGTCATCAACCCTGCGGTCATGTCTGGTACTTCCATGGCCTCTCCACACGTTGCCGGTTTGGCCTCGTACTTGTTGTCCTTGCAGCCAGGTTTGGGCTCCGAGTTTAACAGCAACCTCATCAAGCCTGATGACTTCAAGAAGAAGCTTATCAAGTACGGCACCCAGGATGTCATTCACGGTCTCAGCGGTGACACCGTGAACGTTCTTGCCTACAACGGTGGAGACAAGCCAACCGAGATTTGGAACTAAGTCCCCGCGAGTACGATTGCCTTCTACGTGTCTTCATAGGATCATCTTTAATGTTCAGTATACGACTTCAAAAACAAACAGTTACGAGAGGAACCCCATGGTCATGATTCCACCAAGAAAACCCCCCATCATTGCCAAACCCGGATCTCTTTGCCGAGGGGGTCGGCTCGGCGGTCGGCAATAATGGCAGGATCTATGGTCGTGGTAGTAGTTACCGGGCCAGTGGTGAGGGCATGTATATGGTCCATTGTAGGGTTGATGAAACGGGGTTTCATAAGTAGGTTGTGTTGTCGGACGCGGCGTTGTGTAAGCTGGAGGAGGTTCTTGTGGAGGCTGGACATTAACAGGTTCATGAGTTCTTGTATATTCTGTGTTTGTGGTGTTCTTTGGAGCTGTCGTTTGGTTTGTCGTTTGATTTGTCGTTTGGTTGGTCGTTTGATTTGATGTTTCGTTTGATGTTTGGTTTGTAGTTTGGGTTGTTCTTCTGCCCTTGGATTTCCGCTCATAGTATGTGGTCAAACAAAAAGCCACAACGATAATCCCTCCTATGAGTACAGCACCCAAGATAAATGGAAGAGGGTTCATCTTTCAATGAAAGGCTGTAGTGGGCAGACGGTTGATCAAAGCATTCTCTTTTTTTTATGTTTTTGTCACAAATGCCGTGACTCGATTGCCTTGCGTCCCAGTGCATAATAGGACAGTGGATGATCCTGATCAAATTGAATTATCCAGTTTATTTTCTAGAATGACCAATTGAAGAGATGCAAGTTGACTCTCGGGTATTGAAATGATTTTAAAAAGACGGTCTTGAAGCTTTAATATATGGATTCTATAGCTACAAAGGTATTTACTGGTGGGAGGATTGCATGTCTTGGTTCTTTATAAGAACGGGGGCCTGCTTCAAGAGGTCGATGAAAGTTGAGTAGTAGAAAGGCAATGTTTCAGAGGCAACAATTTGCAAAATTTATTTCTTGAAATCCTCATTGAACGGATTTCCAAAAACTCTTCCATAGATGGAAAGAAGCCTTCCTGGTCGAATGGAGCACATTACAAGCCCCTGTCATTTACGGATACGGAGCTTGACAAAACTTTTCACAAGGAAGTTACCCCATAAACAGACAATGAATGTGCAAGGGTTGCAAAAGCCCCATCAAGCTGGACCACATAAGCCTGGACAAGATAAGCCTTGAAGCATTTTGCAGCCAGCCATTGTTAGCTTCTCCTACATGTACTCCTCGAATCGTTTCTGTTCAAGTACGGCGTTTTCATGGAACACCGATGGAAGGCCTTTTATTCAGGGCTTCATTGTCCAGGTTGTTGTGACAGGTTCGAGGGTTGAGGAACAATAGGTGCACGTTTTCGGGGTATCTTCACCACTCCTAGCTTGGGCACATTCCCGATTTGTCGTCAACGGAGATATTTTTGGACTAGGCCAGGTGTTTTTTGATATTCGGTGTATGAAGTGACCAAATGGGGCCGTCAAAAATATTCTTGCCCTTCTTGTTTCAGAATATCGCTCGGGTGTTTCATAGTGCACAGTAAGGCTCCAGCACCATTACCAGACGGCCAGCCAAGCAGGTGTCGAAACCGATATAATTTAATAAGAGGCCCTATTGAAACTCTGTGAAACACAAAACAACCCTTTTTGTTTCAAAATGTCGAGATGATCGAAACGTCCACTATGGTGTTGGAATCCGGGGTCGCATTCGACTCACTATGGTGAGACGCATCTTGCTAGGTTCGCGCAGATCAGGGGTTGACATCCTCAACTCCCTAAGTTAAATCAAGGTTTCAACGGATTCTTGCTAAATTTATAGCCCTAGTTGATCCTCAGGTATCCTCCGAATTCGGAAATGCACCAGCCAACGACAAGACTACACGAGGGTTATGAGGCTTGAAAACCTCGCGTAGCCTCTGACGTCAGTGGTTAGTTAACTAGGAGGCCGTCTAGGGATCCTGTTCTCAAGTACCTAACAAATAAGTCTTTAAACTATATGGTTTTGTTGGGACGAACTCGTTCTTATTGACGTCCTCTTAGTTTAATTGATGAAAAAGAAAAAAAAAAAAATAGGGATCCTGGTGTCGAGTACCTAACAAGACGCATTTGGTGTCAGTACTAACAAGACGCATCTGTCAGGACGACAGCGCATTATACGTAAAATGCAGCTAACTCCATAAAAACCCTTTCTACGAGGAATAAATGCACATTTAAATACTCGAATCCAAAGTTTACGGGCTTTGCCTCGGGGTTCTTTTCCATAGTTGGGAAATAACCATATCCGGAATACAGCTATTGTGGAGCTTTTCAAGCTTTCCCTAGCGCGGCTAAAACCGGCCTCGGGACTCCTGACGCATAAGTGCGATAAGACTCATTTTAAACCTTGTCCAAGCATATAAAAGGCCAGCATTTCCGCACTAAATCCATAAATTCATGTTTCCTTTCGACTGGATATGGCTGTTGTTGGCTGAGGAGGCCCCGGTAACGGAGAAACCCCCTGCCCCGACAATGATGCATTTCCCTGCCTTCGTGCATTACCCTGCCCCGGTAATGGAGAAACCCCCTGCCCCCATAACGGAGAAAACCCCTGAGAAACAACAGAATCAAAGGAATGGAAGATACTATCGAAGAAAGGGTAGCAAGGGCAGACCTAGAAGGAACAACAATGGTGATAAAGATTTGAATTTCGATGCTATGACGCGTCTGCAAGACTACGAGACAAGACTCAAGAACAACCAAACCCAGGATGCCTTGATCAGTAAAGCTTACGCTATGAAGACCAAGGTCAGCCAGAAGAACGCCTTGGCTGATTTCATGGACACCATGTCCAACCCAAATTTGACATTCATTGCCATAGACTTTGAAGGATACGAGCAATCGCCGGGGATAGTGACGGAAATTGGTATTGCGGTGTACAAACCTAGTACACTGAGAGGCATGATGATGCCTTTCATCGAGCTGAAGCATATCATCGTCTCAGAACACATGAATTTGAAGAATGGGAGATATGTACCCGACCACCAGGAAAACTTCAACGGTGACGTTAGCTTGGTGATGAATTATCTTCATGCTGTGGCTGCTATTGAGAAGGTTATACACCAACATAGCGAATCTTTAGATGTTCCAGGAAGCGGAGTGTGCCTCGTTGGCCACGGGCTTGACAACGATTTGGAGTGGCTAGATCGAATGGGCGTGCGTATCAAGCCAGCTATGACAATTGACACACAGAAGGTTCTTGGATGGACTCACGGAAAGAAGGGATTGAGTTTGAGGAACTCTCTTGATCTCGTCCGCCAACCGTATGCATTTCTTCATAATGCTGGAAACGACGCATACTACACCATGGTACTCTGCCTCTGCTTGGCAGACCCTTTCTACCGACAGGCGTGCGGCATGGACGAAAAAGAAACCAAAACCTGGTTTCGGCTGAGACCCCTGACAAAGGGCGATTCATATACTGTGGCCAAAAGGATGTTTTCCAACGACATATTGGGAATGCCCCTTCGTGCTCAAGATGCCCGACAAGGGAATCAAGGAGGAGCTTGAATGGCCTGTGTTCTTCAATCAGGCGGTTATGGTAAGCCAGGGACGAGTATGACAAAAGGACTTTTATGAATAATGAAGTTAGGAACGCTAATACACTTAGGCATCAGAGTGATGTACCTGACCATCAGACAACTACTGGAGGTCCCGCTACAATGCTGCTGTTTTTTTTTTTTTTTATTACTTTTATACACTTTACTTTAGCTTCACTCGGCGACTGGACTATCAGTCCACCTTCTCAAGGCAGACGTCAAAATCAGAGTCACTCAAATCTGCATCCCAATGGCGGACCATGTCGAATATGGACGATTGCTCCGAACTATCCAGTTCGTAAACCTCGTCAGGATGCAGATTCTGTGGCTTCACCGTAGGCTTTACAGTCTCGGTGGGGAAGTTCTTCGGAAGCTTGAAAATGACTCCAAGGTACGAAGTCACCTTCTCGGTTTGTCTCTTCCAGGGCACAAAGCCCTTTGGAAAGAACTCCGAAGTCAGGCGCTCCAGGGGAAGATTGGAGGCCCTTGTTTCATCATTGGTTTCAGAAACCACAGAGGGCTTTGAATCAACGATGTTCTGAAAGAAGCTGAAGTCCTGGGGAAGGAAGGACTCGTTGATCTTTTCGTTGAAGACACTCTGACAGTGGAAAAAGTCCCTTGGCAAAAAGGTGGGAGTGTCTTCGTCGTTTGTGGCATCCTTCCAAAAGTAGAAGTCGTTTGGAAGAAACACCTCGTTACACTTGGGAGTGGAAGTCCAGAGCTGGAAGAATTTGCAGAAGTCCTCGGGGAAGTAGACCTCCTGAGTCTTCACGGGCTCTGGTTCTGGTTCCGATTCTCCACTGGAGTACAACTCAAACTGCTCTTCACGCAAGCAGAATTCGTAGTCAGACAAATCACCGTCGAGTGATTCGAGACTCTCAGCAATGGTCTGAAAGCTGAATAAGTCGGTGACGAAAAATTGTCCGTCGTCCACGAGGAAGACCTTCTTTGACTTGGTGGTCTTCTTCAGTGGGTCAAGAGACATGAGCTCCTCCAGAATTAGTTGGAATTCGAAAAAGTCCTCGATGTCAAAAGACTCCTCAGACTTTTCGGATAAGGCGTCCTGCCAGAAGAAGAATTCCTTGGGGAGGTAGGAAGCTTCCTCTTCCTTGAGGCACTTTCTGAAGTGGTGAAAGTCGCCTGGGTAGTAGGTCTTTTCAGTCTGAGACAAAGACGACCAGGTCTTGAAAACGGGGAAGTCCAAGGGCAAGAGTGTTGCAGCCTGGACACTGTTAGAAACCTCGAGCTTAGGGGAAATAGCTGGAGTTATGGTACCCTTTGGTTCTGGAGTTTCCTGAACTGGGTTGACTGGTTCAGGCAAGTGCTGAACAGGAATGACCTCGGGCTCAGGAGTTTCCTTCACCTCTGGACATTCTTCCTTCTTTTGGGCCATGTAGAGCTCAAGGTAAGAAGTTTGACCTGGGTTGAGTGGTACTAAACCCTCAAAAATAAGCTGGAAAGTGAAGAAGTGGGATGGGTAATAGGAGTCGCCCTCGTTGGAGAGCAACACCTTCTTCGAATCCTTCTTTTCCTTAGTAGACTCAACAGGCTTAACCTGAGCTGGGGTGGACTTGGAGACGTCTTCCTTGGAAGGCTCCTTCTTGTCCTCCTTGGGGTTCTTAGTAGAACGCTTTCTCTGAGAACGCTTTCTCTTCTTGTCCTTCAATTTTTTTTCCCTAATGTGGGCGTCACTTTCCTTGAGGCTGCCTCTGTCAGTGGACGTCTTCTTAGGGAAGCTCTTCTTCTTAGATGCTTTGGTGATAGTGCTGGCGGTAGAAACGGTGGGCATTTTTGATCGATAAGTGGTGGATAAGGAAAAAGAATTCAGGGAGAAAGGGCCTTGCTTTATAGTCCAAAGGCCTGCTCTACGAAATAATATTCTACTGTCCTGGTGGTCACAAACCTGGGTTTGGTCATTGATGGCTATTCGAGAGAGGAAGGTTGTAGCAAAATGGTCACAACAGCAGGTCTCAAAATGGTAACTATAGATACTACGCAAAAAGTGGTCAGTCTTTTGGGTGGATTTTCACAAAAAATCGTCCATCTAGAGTAGGTCCAATACTCACTCACGCACCTCTGTGAAAAGAAACCAAAGCGCTTGAATCGCCATAGTTAAGGTTAAATAATATGAGAGGGCTCCAGATAATATTTTACGGTGCTATTCGCCCAATTTGGGGGTTCTGGAGATTCCCACCTGTTTTGGGCTTAATTGCAATTTTTTGTCTCACATTTTGCGTAAGGTACGGTAGTGTGGTTTTTGGTGATAGCAAGGTACCAAAAGCTTTGCCATGATGATACCCGTCTGCAGTGCTGGAGATGTACTGATAAAGGAGAATCGGAAGAAAATATGTATCTCCTGGTCTCTATTATTTGAAATCATGGTTGGTTACTTGATTATCAGTTGTCGTTGATACATGTAAGGTGCGCTTTCACAAGTACCACAAGTTCGTCCTCTAACACTCTACAGAATTAGAAGCTCATCCCAAAACTCAACTCCTCATTACATGCTGTTTTGCTTCACAATCCATGCCTTGTTGCTCATGTCCATCTTGAAACTCAATGGCTAGCGGAATACTCATGGTAAAGAAATCGCCTTCTTTCAAGCCCCCACAAAACCTCCAAACGACCGTTCAATATACCCCCAGAAATGGGCTATTTTGGCGATGACGTTTCTAGCACGGCTAATCTTCTATGCCAATTCGGTGACTTTTCCGAGAACAATGGGGCCTTAGCGACAACTGCACTGAAGTTCTTCTTGACTACACGATGTCCACAAGCTCACCAACCTAGCATAGATTATCGCTTCCATCGCCGAACAAAACCTAAGAAAAACAACTCCATCACTTCATGACTCTAAACTGATAAGCCCTCTGACGAATTGAGCTGAAATGCCACATCCTTGTCGAACTTCCTCCACACAATACTTGGCACAGAACCAAGCATTTTGCAACAAACAGCTTAGGCAAAACTTTCAAGCCAATCATAACATCTTGCGTCCCCGATCTCGTACATCTTCGATGACCCCGTATATAAAGCCTTTCACTTTGACCTCCATCGCTTCTCTACAATACCATGCGTTACAATCTCACTGAATGGCATGTGGAGCTCACTGAATTCGACTTTTGGCCATGCGGAGACCAGAACATGGAAGCCATCTATTACGACAGGACTGTTCTTGAATCTGTACATTATTGTGGCAGCCGTGATGCTATCTATAGGGAACGAAAGAAGAGCTCCGGTGCTAGACCGAATATCAGTCGGTTCCACCTTTTCTTTATATTGATGCTTATTTCCAGTTTTGCGATGAGCTGATAAGGGGAGATGAAGGTTGGACTATGTCAGGACGTCAATGATGGTAAATTTGTTGATTTTCGTGCAATTGAGGGTCTTACAGCTTTGGGGTGCATTGAACGCATACCCCAACAGCCGCTTTTGAGCTATTTTGAGCTCCTTAATTAGTCTAGCTACGACTTATAGCTATAATTTATTTTTTTGCTGAGAGAATAGTGAGTATTGTAGGTCGTTGAGACGCATTTGGGTCAATGTCATCAAAGTGGTACATTTAGTCACAAACGAGCTTTGAAAAACATATTAGCACAAATAAACAACGTCATTCTATCCATCCACTGCTTTTCTGATTATTTGAAGACAAATCTGAATTTTGGTGGTTCTATCAAATTCTGTGTTCACAGGAGATACACACTTTCGCACAGTAAATGCATAACCCAACCCTGCCTTTCCTAAAAACCGTAAACATCAGCCAAACCAAAAAAAAAAAACAAAAATAACAAAAATCACAAAAATCCCAAATCTCCAAAATTCCTTCTACAAATCCAAAAGCTAAAGTGAATGTAGGTGTATTAAGCGAATGTAAAGGGGTATCTAAGAACGGCTGCAAACAGCCCAAGCAAAGTCCAAAAGGAACGAAAGGTCATAAGAAAGAACAAGTATTTCCCAAATATCAAAGATTAATTAGCAAAGAGCTTAAAGAAGAGCCAAGAGGCCAAGAGGGAAAGCCAAACCGAGGCTCAAGAACGGAGAAGCAGCTCCACCCTCGTAGGTGCTGATTCTCGAGGCAGCTGGAGCAGAAGAAGCACCACCCTCCTTGGTCTCCACAGGCGAAGTCACCACAGAAGGCTTACCAGAAGGCTTTCCAGCAGTAGAAGGCTCGCCAGCCACAGAAGAAGTGTGCTTGTGGCCCCAAACGTCCACCTGGACAATCTCGGTCTTGGTGACGGTTCTGGTCTTGCCGTTCTCCACCGTCTCGTGCTCAGACACATGGGTGCTGGCGGGAGGACAGTAGGTGGTGTACTCGGTGACCACGCCGTGGATGGTGGTTTTGACTATGGCACCGGTGACCTTGGACTTGGAGCCAGCCTCGTCCGAGGTGTCACAGACATATACGGTTTTGGTGTGGACCTTGCCGGCGTCGTCGGTGTCACAAACGGTGGTGATGTACTCGGTAGGGTCGAATTGGGAAGTAGTGGTGATCAAGTTTCCATCAGCATCGGTGGTTTCCTTGACCACACCGGAGTTGGTGACGGGGTTTCCGTCGGAGTCTGTGGTGGTCCAGGAAGTCGTGTGTTCGTTTTCGTCAGGCAACAAGGAGGTGGAGGTCTGCCAGTCGCCGTTGGAGTCTGTGGAGACGCCGATGATGCCCGATTGGGTAGTTGGGTTTCCGTCGGCATCGGTGGTTTCGAACGTGGTGGTTTTTCCGTCGTCGTCGCCGGGGAAGAGGGACGTGGAGGTGATTGGGTTGCCGTCGGCGTCGGTGCTGGTCTTGATCACGCCGGATTCGGTTGTGGGGTTACCGTCAGAATCGGTAGTTTCAAAGGTGGTGGTCACACCGTCCTGGTTATCGTCGTCACCTGGGAAGAGAGAGGTGGACGAGGTAGGGTTTCCATCAGAATCGGTGCCGGTGGAGACCACACCAGACTCGGTGGTTGGGTTACCGTCTGAGTCGGTAGTCTCGAAAGTAGTGGTGATGCCGTCGTCTCCGTCGTTGTCGTCACCAGGGAAGAGGGAGGTTGAAGATGTTGGATCACCGTTGGAATCGGTACCAGTGGAGACAACGCCGGATTCGGTGGTAGGGTTGCCGTCGGAGTCGGTAGTCTCGAAGGTTGTAGTAATACCATCGTCAGCTCCATCGTCGCCGTCTCCAGGGAACAAGGAAGTGGAGGAGGTAGGGTCGCCATTGGAGTCAGTTCCAGTGCTCACCACGCCAGACTCCGTGGTTGGGTTTCCGTCAGAATCGGTCGTTTCGAAGGTAGTAGTGATTCCATCATCTCCGTCGTCTCCATCGCCTGGGAAGAGGGAAGTAGAGGAAGTAGGGTCACCGTTTGAGTCTGTACCGGTAGAAACGACGCCAGACTCAGTCGTAGGATTTCCATCGGAATCAGTGGTTTCAAAAGTGGTGGTAATTCCATCGTCTCCATCATCACCATCACCAGGGAACAAAGAGGTCGATGAGGTAGGGTCGCCATTCGAATCAGTACCAGTACTCACCACACCAGACTCAGTGGTTGGGTTACCGTCCGAGTCAGTAGTCTCAAAAGTAGTGGTAATCTCGTCATCGTCGTTGTCAGCAGAAGAAGTAGCCTCATCGTCTGGAGTGGTAGTAGACGACTCAGGCTCAGTAGAAGCTGGCTCAGTGGCAGAAGAAGCAGCACTGGTATCGGTGGGCTCCTCTGGAGGATCAGCACACAAACACTTGTCTGGAGGAGTGTCGCCGGCTGGAACAGCGCCAGTGTAGGAGATGTAAGAGCCTCCGCTTCCACCGGAGCTGGTTCTGAAGTCACTAAGGTCGTAGCCCTCGCCGATCTTGATGTTAATCTTGAAAAGCTCGAAAATACCAATGAGCGACAAGGTGTCGTCGGAGTAGGACCAGTCGGAGAAACCGAGGTTGGTTCTGATCTTGTTGCCGTTACCGAAACCACCGACGGTGTAGGTTCTCTGGGCCTCGTTGTTGGAGTCCAAGGCGACCAAAACCAGCGAGTTGGAGGCGTCGAGGTAGAAGATCTGGTTTTCGTTGGTGGTGTAGCCGAAAGTGGCAAGCGTCATCACGGCACCGTCACCAACATTAACACATCCTTCACCTTCGATGCTGACCGACTGGGACCAGTTGATGTTCTCAAGACAGATGGTACCTTCGTTTTTCACTTCACCCGAGTTGGCGGTGATGGTCACCGTGGATGGAGCACCCTGCTCCTGGATCAAGTGGATTCTTCCCGTGTTCTCCCATTCACCAGTGCTGAAGAGGTTACCACTGGTGAGCGAGATGGGGGAGAAAAGGTTGGAGTTCTTCAACTGCAACCAGATGTTGCCGCTGTTGATGAAGTCTCTGGAGGCGTCCAAGTTGTAGTAGGTACCAAGAAGCGAGTTGGTGCCGTTGAAGATAATGTCACCGGAATTGTCAAGACTTCCCGAAGAAAGCACCACACTGGCGGTAAGACCGTCAGAGGACTCGACGAAGAATTGACCCTTGTTGTTGATGTCACCGCCAATTCTGGTGGAAGAGGAACTGGTGACAAGGAAGTACACATCGGGCTCGATGAAAAGACCATCTCTGATGTAGTTGACACCACCGTCACCACTGGTGGTGGTATCGGTATTGACTTGTAACGCAGAGGTCGTAGAGGCACAGAGGGCCACTGCGGCCCAGCTGATGCTGTTTGTGAATCTCATGATTTGTCCTTGACTTCCTGTGAATCCAGGGCAGAATCTCTTTGCTTTATAGCTCTCTGAAGGGCCCCAAGGACATGCCCAGGGTCCGCCCAAAGGAGATATGGCAATACCCCAATCGGAAGCCTGTTTGTTTTTTTGGCGAGCTGGCCCTCTGGACAAAGAGATGGTGAAACAAGGCGAGCTGGTTTTTGCAGCTAATCTTTCACTGTACTGCAGGGTCCTCGAGCCTGCTGTCGATATGCATGGAATGCTTCAACTCATGCGCGACCAACATGTCACTTGAAGTGCACGTAACGCCGAACCGTCGGCCATTATACCCAGAAAGTCACTCATTGTCGTTTTTGATTATTTGTGCTTTGAATTGTTAGGGCGAGACCGCGTCTCGGGCGGGCCGAACTAGGAACCGACTGGTCCAGTGGTACCCTTGACGTTCATGGTTGGTCACATTTGGCGATTGTTTGTGGGTTTCTGCCATTAATTAAACAGCCATTAATTAAACTTTTACAGGGGAAGCTCAATTGATGGCTACTGGTGTGCTGGCTACGGCATCGCGTGTTTCTGTTCTCGTATTCATTCTCGTATTCACATTCCCTGGCATTTAGGCCAGAATCGAGCCTGGGAATGCTCCAAAACCGGACCAATAACGCCAAATGGAGGTGGACGTGAATTCTGCTCGAATTAATCTCCATAAGAGTAATTTCTCTACAAATGTAGCTGCGGCGGCAAAATATGCAAGAAGAAGCGAAATTCACGCAGATCTAAAGTCGAGGCGCCCTGATCTTCAATGGTTTTTTGACAAAGCGCACAATGGGTGTCTGTACATAAAAAGTGCCATAGAGGGGCTTTGGCCATCTAATTGTTTAGAGCGTAAAATGGTTTGCGCTTCATTCTACTACTCACCCTTGTTTACCAAACAAGAATGCCTTTCCACTATAGGGCTTGACCATCAGCCAGCAGAAACCCACGTTTTAGCACATTCCAAGCCACGGTCACCACGAACCCTTTTAACAAAAATTCTACCGTAGCACAATAAACCAGCAGCATTGAAGCTCGAGAAAAGGGGGGCTCCAGCTCTCAAGCCATATTTCTGAATCAACGCAACCTTCATTGCGACAAATGATGCATACGTCTCGGAATTTCGAACAAGTTTCCTCGAAGTCACAAAATGCAAATATCCTCAAACACAAAGTATCGTTCGGTGTCTCAAAGCCAGTGCAACCTTCGACACATAAAAAGAGTAGACCAAAGCTTTTCGATGATTCTCTTGACTCACCATTAGAGCATACCTCAGGTACCCCAGACTCAATCACGGACCAAAGCATTCTCGAGATCCGTGTTGCTTCTTTGTTCATGTTGTCAGCTTTGCGCTGCAAACCAGATATGCTGGTGACATGCAAGTATTGCCGCACATGTACGACTAAAGATGAGACATTACTGGGGTCGAGAAGTGGTCTAGCGCACGAAAATTAGATTGTGCATGGGTGGAGAGAAATCGAAAAAAGTAGTTGCACAAAAATACCCAGTTTGTTGGTGTCTTCCATGACTGTGGTATGTTAACTACTTCCACTAAGGCAGTTTCCACCATTAATTGTGCCATTAACGCCGAAAAGAATAGCTGAAGATCTTCACCACTTGTTAGAACTGCTTCGCCTCTTGGCTCGAGGCGGGATCGCCTAGGCGTCTTTATTTGAATTCCGTGGGTTCTAATTGTTGGCACGGTCTTTTATTTACCATACACGTAGTCGGTTGCATTGTTGGAATTACGTAAGCGCCAGTTTTGTGTTTCGGACTTGCTTAAAAGGTTTCGATTATCATGAATAATATTCGCGATTAGGAAACATCGACAAGAATACGCTGGCGGTTTATTTGGTTCCGGAAGAACACCTGCCGAAACTGTAGTTTGCAGAGATTGATCTACACTCAATTCCGTGTGTGATCAGAGGATCAGATTCCTAAAGCATGTAGAAATACCGTTGTAGTACTGATTAGTCGCCGGGTCGGTTGAAACGGATGTTTTTGAGCCGGGAAGAGAACCTCCTTTCATTGTCGACGCAACTCTGCTGGTTGAGATTCTAGTTTTTATGTTTTGGGCGAACCGATACATCATTTTTGGCGAACCGAAATAACATTTTTGACTGTGGCTCCCAGCTGTGGCAGAAAGTATTAGCTGGACATTCAGATTGGAGCATTGTCCCAGGGGATTAATCAGGAATGGTGTTGGGAATCTATAGGTTTTCCACAGAGTTGTTGTATCGCTATCAGGTAATTAAGAGGTGTTTATTTGTTTTTATGTTTTACTTGAATTCTTGACTTAAGAGTAATTTCAATTGATTTGTGAATAACAGTCGGGTGCTTTTGACAAATCCAATAACTCCTCTCTTACAATGCTTTTCAAATTACACATTCATTTCATAACTAATGGTGAATACCCATAGCCCTGCGCTTCTCTATCAAAGCCCAGTACAGGGCACCTGTTCTCACTCTCCAGTACTTTCCAGTGGCCATCATAACCAAGAAAGTGGCAAGACAGAACAAGCAAATAAACGCAGCGGCAATAAAGGTATTCTGCAAACCCTGGTTTTGCACCCAGGGCGTAATACCATAACTAACTGCAAAACTCATGATGTTTCTAATTACGACAACGGCAGCAATAGCCTCGCCAGAAACCTCATGGTAGCAGTCTACAACATAAGTAACAGCATTGACACAGCCAAGGATACACAAGCCAGCAGTGACTCCAAAGCCGATAATGACTCCAAACCAGTGGATGCCATGATAGGCGCCCACACCCCATAAAATAAGCGAGGCGGGACCCAAGATCATGTAAAGAATTAAAGCCCAAAGACGGTCCTCTGCCTCAGAAACACCACCTCTTTTTCTGGCGATTTTCACCTTCAACCAGTCGACGACCCAGCCGGCGTAAAAGTACAAAAGAACGGTGAAAACACACGGAGAGGCATATGCCAATCCACACATGGCACTGGAAAAATTGTAAGGTGGGGCACTGAGCACCATGGCCTCCGTAGCATTGAGAACAGTATACCAGATAAGCGTCGAGCCATAAAGGAAGCCCGACCAGAGAACAATGGGATAGCGGAACATGTAGGCGGTCGTTTTGATGAATTCCCACATCAAGAATTTTTTGGTGATTCCCAGGGTGAGAGAGAGCTTTTGCACAAAACTCTTTGGTGGAGCATAATCTGGAAGGTCATCTACAGAAACCAACTCGGCCTGGTTCCCAAGATTTGTCACAGCCTGCAATGCCTCTCCACCGTCACTCAGAGATTGGGATTGGGATCTGACGGTGACCACGTGGTTCACTTTCTCCCATTCACCCCTTGAAGTGATCACTGCCAAAGTATCACCAGAATCGTCCTTGGCCACTCTGAGTTTTCTTTCGTAGGTGGTCTCCTCCATGAAGAAGAAGAGAAACACAAAACTGACACTGGCGTAAATAACCGACCAGAAAATGACCCATTTCCAGCCGCCCACATCGGTATCTCTCAGGTTCTGGTTGATAAATCCAGCCACCAAAGGTGCCATGTAGTTCGAGGCATATAGAGAAACAGCGTAGATGCCCATGTAGGTGGCTCTTTCGTGCTCGAAATAGAGCTCTGAAATGGAGAGTTCAGGCAAGGCCTCGATTGGAGAAGTGAAAAGTCCAGCTAGGATTTTGGAAGCTATCCATTCACCGTTGGAGGTGATCCAGGGCTGCCACAAATTGAAAAACCCTCCTCCCAAACACGAAATAAGATAAACCGGCCTTTTGCCGATTTGCAACGCCAAGGGCTGGAAAAAGATGTTTCCAAGACCCAAGAACAAAAAAGCATACCCAGTGCCAGCATTGAGGTCTGCCAAACTAATGCCTGTGCCTTTGGAGATCTGAGGCAAGACAGAATAAATACATGTTCCGGGAACACCAGCAGCAAAGGTGTACACGACAATACAGAACATGTGGAGCCGCTTTCTATTGGGGGACCAGTTCAACGGGTCATTGGGGTCGTCGGACGGCGTTGGAATAAGAATAACGCCTTCTTTTTCTTCTTTTTTCTCGTCAACCAAGTACCCGGTGCCCGGCACCACAGAGTAGTCAATCATGGTATAGAGCTCAGAAAGAAGTGTGGTCCATAATGTGTATTTATACCACGAGGACCTCGAGAGATAACGGTATCTTATCTGGGTGCACCGGAAGAAGCACGTATTTCGGCTGCTCGAAGAAACCCCTTTACATCAACACATGATGCACTTTGAGAGCATATGTTAACCGTTTTTGGGGGCTTAAAGCAGAACCGTGTTCCTCGGTGCCCATCTTGACGCACCGGGTAAATCCAATAAACAGACCAAGCCACCAGGGCAAAAAATCAACAAAATCGACCAAATCGACCCAGCAAACGTTTTTCCAAAGTGACACTTCTGTGCATGGGTTATCGCCTTCTTTGCCTAATCCGGTCTATCCTGCCGCTGATATCGATCCATCGATACCAAACCGCCTTATCGCACTTTAAGCCGCCATGCAGCAAAATCGGCTATCTCAAAGCTGGGGATCCGTAATGAGACAGGATTGCCTGAGATGTAATTGGACGCCTCGATTCTACGTAAATGGGAGCAAAGGTACTAGATTCTTTCTGGATTTACGAATTACGAGGTTCAGCTAGCCGGCCGTTTGTCCTAAACGACGTTGCAGAAAGCATGGTTTTCCTCCCTTTTCGTGACATCGTCCTTATCGCCATTGTATTTTTTGATAACGATGGTTTCCTCGCCAGCGCCCTCGGGATGGTACCACTCTAGGTACTCGAGCTTTTCGTTGTACTTGAAGTCTCCAGAAGTGGCATAGATGTCGTTGTAAGACAAACCGGGAAAATGCCACTTGGGAACGAAAATGACCGTGGGAGCTTCCGATAAGCCTGTTTGGCCCGTGACGTCAATGGTGAGCGAATACTTGGATGTCTGGATGTCGAATTCAACAGCTTTTGGTGTGCCTTTATGGGTTACCAAGAAAGGTCTGAAAACAGCACTAGGAGCACGAACGCCGTCATTTGACGGGTAGCAGTTCGTCATGCGTTCCTTAAAATCGCCCTTACCGAGGCTCTTTCCTTGATCTTCAGGCGACCAAAAAGCGAAATCCTCGTTGTTCCAGTGGTCACCGTATTCGTGGCTATTGATGGCACAATATGACCAGTAAGTGTGGTGCAAGCCCAGCTGCTCTAGACCATTGGCAATCGTGTCCAAAGCGCTGGTTTGTAAAGTGTATTTGTAGTCCCCATAAGCCTTTTTCTTGTTCATATCGAAGGGAATCCCCGTTTCCGTCATGATGGCTGGAATGTTGCCTAGTCTCTCCTTGCCATCTTCAACTATGAATTCAAGCTGTTTTGCAATGCAATTCCTGATGGCCTTTTCACCCACCACAACGCCCAAGGCTGGGTGGGCATACTGGCCTCGGCTTATACCCAAGGAATCAGCATTGAAGTGCTCATTCCAGTTTTTCAACATGAGCGTCATGACGTCGTACCAGTGTGGAGCATAGACGGTTTTCTCGTCGATAACGCCTCTTTTGTCGTTGCTGAGATCAGGCGGAGGACAGAACATGGGGGGCTGGATGAGCATAAGGAAGTCCTTGTTGAGATCCCTGACCAGCTGTTTGTTGGAAAGGTAGAAGTCAATAAAGAAGTTTGCGAGAGCGAACTCCACATCGACCTTTTTTGGCGGGGGTTTGTTGCCGAGATAGGAGGAGATTTTGGAAGGATCGCTAAAGTAAAAAGGCTGAAGCAAGCGGCACTGAGTTTCCACGAAATTGAGTCTTTCCTCTAAGGAGAGCCTGTAAACATCTTTCAAATCCACAGACCTTGACCACTCCCAGATCTTCAAGGCAGAGAAAATGCACTCACCAGGGGTCCATCCTGAACGTTTCCAGCCGTAGTGAGAGTCATACCTTGCACTCTCTTCAGCACTAAGCCAGACTGTTTTGCCTTTAGGATCAACAACTTCGCTTCCCTGTTTGACAGGGCCAGAGAGGGTGACAATGTACTTTTCCACCTCGACAGGAAGACCCATTCCGAGGATCACACTCTGGAAAAAAGTAGGGGTGGTACCTAATCGAATGGTCTGGTCTTTGGGAATCAGACCCAAGTCTGGGGTACCAAGAAGGCCCATGTGAGGCTCGTTTATGGACTCAAAACCCAAGAGGGTTCCGTCTTCCACCAATTCTGGAAGTGCATCAACTACCCTTTTCGACAAGTAGGTCAAGGCATCCTGGTGGTGACCCTGGAGGTAGGTCTGGATATCAACACCGTTAATTTGGAGATGCGGAAAGTACGTTTTGCCAGCGAAAAACATGGTGAACATGGTCTGGTTGGCCAATCTGTGGTAATTGGTGGTCCAGAACATCCTGGGGTAGCATTCTGAGTCAGTGGGATTAGTGAACCTGGCGTCATTATGGCAGATAGCGGCTTCGGTGGCTGAAAAATTCGTAGGTTGAAGACCGGCAGCGTAGAAAGTCCATAAAGGTGCACCAGAGCCTCCAGAATACCGGGACCAGACGTCCTGGTGGCTCTCCAAAAAGACATAGATGCCTCCGACTTTGTGGACGATTTTCAACATCTCAATTGTGTAATCCACAAAGTCCTCGTCGTACTTCCCAGGACCCTCGTGCTCAATGGCCTCCCAAGTAAGCACGTAACGAACGGTGTTGTAGCCCCAGCTCTTTATCCTTCTCCAGTGCTCTTCAGCCTCGTCTAACGGGAATGGCCTACCCACAAAGCTCACCTTATCTCCTTCGAAAAAGACATTACTAGCATCCAGCGAGTTTCCACCGTAAGAGGGCAGAAAGGGCTCCGCAGGAAGCTTCATGCTGTTATCGACATTGATGCCCTTGAGCGTTCTTTTCCGTCCCAGCGAGTCCACAAAGTGTCCATCGACGATTTTCAACTTTTCACATGGCAAGATCGAAGAGGTTGGGTTTTCGACAGCAGGAATGGGTTTGCTAGCATCAAATCTATCCCTAAAAGGCTTAACGCCGGTTTGCGAAAAGTCAGGGCCTGGGGCATAGAAGCTAAGTGTTTTTTGTAAGATATCCTGAGAGCTCATGATACGTGATTTAGGAGAGTGTGACCTGCCATGCTATATAGTGAGGCAGATGCTACGCAATAATTCCGATGGTATCAGCACACCAGTTTGACTAAAAAATCTGTAGTAGGATGTGCGGAACGATCACGGAAGTGCACAGTCCAAGATAGGCTGCATCTCGGAATCCGGGGTGCGCTTAAAGATCGAGGTGTCGGCTAATTGGGAATAAAGCCGCCTTGGCAGAGGTGCAGCAGCATGACATGGAAATTAAAGAAATACCGCGCCAACCAGCATTGTAATTGGAAAGAGGAGCAAGGGCTTCTGGCAAAAACAAGGGGAAATTCAGTTTAGGCTGATTCATGGTATTTCTGTGAATGCGCACATTTCAGCCGTACTTTGCATTTATGCACTGATATCGTAAAAGAGGGATCTGCGCATTAAAATAAGCGAGAACTGCAGCGATCCTTCGCCAGAACAAATGAGGAAAAAAAACTCGGTTTTACAATAGAAGCGGCTTAAACAATCGTAGACGGTAAATTTACGGTTTTTTTGCGCGACGGTTTAGTCTCGAAGGTGGGAGGGGAGCATCGGATGTATACTATCGAGTATCACAACCTTCCCTTGTGCAGATTCCGTAGACTGTCAACTTTGTATGATTTGAGTAACATAACCATGCAGGTATAATTCCAAAAGGGCTAAGTCATATATAAAGCTTCTAAATCACTTCAGCTTTTTTGAGAGCTACGGATCAAGGAGATAGCGTATTTCTGAATCCTTCTTTCGCGCAGGGTGACCTTTCAAAAAAGTAATTATGCGTGCAAAAGCTCATTGCAGTTTGAGAAGGAACAATAAAGATATCTTCCCCCCACCTCTGTAAAGGCTTCCATGCGCCCAACAGCCCAGATTAAGCACCGCAAGCTTACGATGAGGCTCAAGTCATTCCACATCCCCGCCACATTTCTCCGCGTTGGGTTCCTTACGGAAATAACTCCGAAAGTGTCAACCATAGAATGAGGTGCTCCAGTGCTTGCCGAGACATTTAGCCGTTTGTGGTGATACTGGCGCTTCTTTGAACACATCTTTTACGTGTGCCAAGCGCTAGCGGCCTGATCTTGAAAGTGATAAAAGATGATGCCTTTGCGGCTATTTCGACCCACTTCGCCATGTTTAAACTAAGACCAACACCCATAGAGGATATCGTGGGTAAAGAAATTGCCAAGGTGCTTCCGGACCATGGAAAGCCTTGGTACAGAGTCAAACACTTACTTTTGCTCAATACGCTTTTGATTATACCGCTTCTCTCAGCTGCAACAACCGGTTTTGATGGGTCCTTGATGAATGGGCTCCAGTCTATGGAAGAGTGGAGAGAAGAGTTTAATCATCCTCGAGGAACGATGTTGGGATTCATCAATGCCGCCATGAGTATTGGAGGTGTTGCTGTTCTCCCTTTTGGAGGTTATCTCTCAGACAACTTTGGAAGAAGAATCACCTTAGCCATTGGTTTAGCGGGAATCATCGTTGCAACAATTATTCAGTCCACCAGTAATAATCTTGGTCAGCTTATTCCATCAAGGTTTATTGTGGGTATGGCCGGTTTGCTAGCAGCTCAACCAGCTCCGTTGCTTGTGGCTGAATTGTCCTACCCCACTTTCAGAGGAAAAATTACATGTTTGTACTGGGCGTTTTACTACATTGGCGCCGTTTTGGCAGCTTGGCTGTGTTTTGGATGCACTGGTAGAGGGGACTCCTGGGCTTGGCGTATTCCAACCATTCTTCAAGGTGCATTTCCTGCTATTCAGCTTGCTTTATTGTTTTTGGTTCCTGAAAGTCCCAGATGGCTTATATCCAAGGGAAAAGTCGAGAAGGCGAGACAAATATTGGTAAAGTACCATGCTGGTGGCGATGAGCAAAGTGAGCTTGTTGAGGTGGAGATGCTCGAGATTTCTACTGCGTTGGAGATGGAGAAAAATGCCAATCAGACATCCTGGAAAGCCTTTATTGCCACACCGGGTAATAGAAAGCGTACGTTCATTGCCTTCACGTTAGGTATTTTCTCCCAATGGAGTGGTACTCCTGTTGTGTCATACTACTTTACATTGGTGCTCGATACCATTGGTATCACATCGTCATACATGCAAACGTTGATCAACGGATTCTTGCAGGTGTTCAATTTTGTGTTTGCAACCTTGGCGGCCTTGTTGGTTGACTTCTTTGGAAGAAGGTTCTTGTTCTTGTGGTCCGGTATTGGAATGCTTATATCGTATATCATCTGGACAATTTGTTCAGCGATTTTCGAACAGACGCAATCGATCGCAGCAGGAAGAACAGTCGTCGGATTTATCTTCATCTTTTTCTTCCATTACGATATTGCTTACACTCCATTGCTTTTGGGTTACACTACGGAAATCTTTCCCTATTCGATGCGTTCAAAGGGTGTCACTCTTGTCCTTGTCGTTGTGAATGCTTCATTGATTATATCTGCATTCTGTAACTCTATTGCCATGGACAATATCGGCTGGCGCTACTATATCGTCTTTTGCGTTATCCTTGTGTTTGTCGTGCTCAATACCTACTTTTTCTACCCTGAAACAAAGGGATACTCGTTGGAAGAAATTGCAGTATTGTTCGACGGAGAAAAGCCCTCTGACATTGAAACTCTGTTGTCTAAGGATAACGATGGCAAGATGGAAAGTGACGAGATGGATGAGGTGCTGTCGGTTAAACAGAAGATTAATGTTGAGCATTTGGAATCGGTCAGCCGTTCCTCTTGATTATGATGAGCTTTGCCTGGAGCAAGCAAGTGAAATGATTTATAACGAAATATACTTCTTTTATTGGAGAGCATGTAAGACGGTCACAGGAGCATAGCTACACCCAAAAGACTCAACAATGCCTTAAAAATGAGTCAATAATATCAAGCGGTATGATTCAAAAAAGAGGGTTGTTTAGATGTCGCTTCTCTCATAAAGGCACCATTGTGCTCATGTAGCACAACAAATCAGGCCAGCCAGATTCCCCACCTCCTGGCCTTATTCCTGACATAATTCCGATATGCATCTTTCCATCAGTATTAGTAGTTGTTTGTCAGCACAATTGCCGACACAATGAGCTCCTTTGGGTTCTGTTCGTATTTTACGAGATGCACCTTCAACATGCATCTAGAAGTGCAAGGCATATCAAAAGAGACCCTGTCTGCTCAAAAACAACCAACAAAAAATGCAGTTGAAGTCGACGCCTATCGAGGATATTGTAGGCGAGGCTATCGCTCAAGTACTTCCTGACCATGGAAAGCCCTGGTACAGAGTAAAGCACATGCTTTTGCTCAATGTAATCTTACTAGTGCCACTTCTTTCAGCTGCTACTAATGGTTACGATGGCTCCTTGATGAATGGGCTTCAATCCATGGAGGAATGGAGAGAGGAATTTGATTATCCAAGAGGAACAATGTTGGGATTTGTGAATGCTGCTCAAAGCATTGGTGGTGTCATTGTACTTCCATTTGGAGGCTATCTTTCTGACACCCTCGGCAGAAAATGGACACTTACAATTGGGCTCTTGGGTATTGTTGTTGCAACGATCATTCAAGCAACAGGCAATGCGCTAGGACAGCTTATAGCATCTCGGTTTATAGTTGGAATTGCAGGTTTATTGGCAGCTCAACCGGCTCCTTTGCTTATTGCTGAATTGGCGTTTCCTACATTCAGAGGAAAAATAACCTGTTTATACTGGGCCTTTTTCTATGTCGGGGCTATTTTGGCTTCGTGGTCCTGCTATGGTTGCACAGGTAGAGGTGACTCCTGGGCTTGGCGTATACCCACTGTGCTTCAAGGAGCGTTTCCTATTATACAGCTTTCCTTTTTATACTTTGTTCCCGAGAGCCCAAGATGGCTTGTTTCAAAAGGAAGAGTTGAGGAAGCGGAAAAGATTTTGGTCAAGCATCATGCCGGTGGGGATTACGAAAGTCCACTAGTTAAGACAGAACTTCTCGAGATCTCGACTGCATTGGAGATGGAAAAGACAGCCAACCAAAGCACATGGAAGGCACTTATTTCGACCCCAGGTAACCGTAAGCGTACGTTTATTGCGATAACTATGGGAGTGTTTTCCCAGTGGAGTGGAACAACTGTGGTGTCTTACTACTTTACTTTGGTTCTTGACACCATTGGAATCACATCCTCTTCGATGCAGACTTTGATCAACGGTTTTTTGCAGATCTTCAATTTTTTCTTCGCCACGGTGGCTGCTTTGATGGTCGATTTCTTTGGAAGAAGATTCTTGCTTTTGTGGTCAGGCATTGGGATGCTCATTTCGTACATTGTGTGGACCATATGTTCCGCCATTTTTGAACAAACAGGATCTGTTGCTGCTGGAAGAACGGTTGTTGGGTTTATCTTCATTTTCTTTTTTCATTACGACATCGCCTATACTCCGTTGGTGTTGGGCTACCCGACAGAGATTTTCCCATTCTCGATGCGTTCGAAAGGTGTCACACTAACAATGGCAATGGCTTCAGCTTCATTGGTGATTACGTCATTCTGCAATTCCATTGCCATGGATAACATTGGCTGGCGGTACTACATTGTATTCTGTGTTATACTTGTTTTTGTCGTGCTTAACACCTACTTCTTTTACCCCGAGACTAAAGGCTACTCTTTGGAGGAGATCGCAGTGTTGTTTGATGGAAAAGAGGCAATTGACATTGAGAAGTTTGATAGTGAAGGAGAGGAAGATGGGGGTCTGATTGACAGAAAGAAAATCCATATCGAGCGCATAGAAAGCGTAAGCCGCAGCTTCTAAGCCTGTAAGTCTCTGATATATACTAGCTAACGCAAAAAGTTACCTGCAAACTCGTAAAAGCTAGGATTTACTAGTACGCTTCTCCTTCTCGAGCAATTGATAAACATCATAATTATGTATCTGATTCCCCAAAGTATAAAGCAGTAAGTGGTCATAACCATGACCGGTCGACCGAATTGTGTCAGGAGGCCAAAGAAAGTCTTGACCAAAAGACCCTGCATCAAATCGCGCATGACAATGCGGGGCAGAAAAGTCCGAGATTGCATTTAGAAAGTTGGGGTTGATTCTTGCTCTTGATATCGGCGGAATCTTGACAAAGCCGACTTGGCAGCGTGGAAATTAGGATATTTCAAGTAAACAGCTTAACTGTACGAGTGTTTTAACCGAGGCTAACGGCTTCTGTGAACCAGATCGATTTGCTCTGTTTCGTTAACTTCGATTTTGAAACAAGCTTTTTACTACACTTCCTGCTTTTCCACACTGATCTCAAAGCTGTGATCGGAATAAGCGAGCACCGTACCATGCGGCTTACCGGGTCGAAAATAGGTCTCGGAAAAAGGTAAAAGAAATTTTGAGAACATAAGTTGCGCGAGTTTGCATTAGTCAAATAAGCGTTTCCGAGAAAAGACGTAAAGGGAAAAATGTAATCCTGCTAATTTTCCGTCGCTTTCCTCATTTGTGTTTATTCCGCTTAACCGTACATGACACTGTACACTTCGTGATGGCTTATAATTATATAGTGATGTCAAGCAGCATTTTGTGGGGTTATTTTATCCAACATATTCCAAATAAACCAAACATTTCTGGCTAAACCTAACCAGGGTCGTCTTCCGGATCACCCAACATCCGAAACCGAGCGTATATTGGCCATTGTTGCAGAAAAACCTCGCACATGAAGCTATTGTTACCCTCGATAATTGTTCTTTGGAAAAAAGTTTGAAAATGGATTCACTCGCGGCGCATTCTGAAATATGTGCAAGGCGTCACATTAAGCCCCGATTGACTAACGGAATCGCTTACCTTAATGTAGCTCCCCTCTACGGCACACCGAATCATGTCAAAGCTGCATTATGTTCGTAACAGGTTCTGATAATACTTTAGGCGACGCCAAGATCTTTTCGTTTCCAATTCCGACGCTAGAGAATTATCTAAATTCTTAGGTCAGATCTTAAAAGAACCAGCAATCCCCGTTTCCAATTAATTATCATGAAGCTACCATTCAAGTTTAAGCCGACACCCATAGAAGATATCGTTGGCGAGGCAATTGCGCAAGTACTCCCAGACCACGGGAAACCGTGGTATAAGGTAAAGCACTTGCTTGCTCTAAATACGCTTTTGATTGTGCCACTTCTCTCCGCCGCGAGTTTTGGCTACGATGGCTCCTTAATGAACGGTCTTCAATCTATGGAGGAGTGGCGACTGGAATTTGGCTATCCTAGAGGAACGATGTTAGGTTTCGTTAATGCTGCTATGAGTATCGGAGGTATCGTGGCTCTTCCGTTTAGCGGCTATCTTTCAGATAATCTAGGAAGAAGATTGACTTTGGCTATTGGCTTGATTGGTATAATTGCAGGCACAATTATCCAAGCTACTAGTATCAACATTGCCCAACTTATTGCTTCTCGCTTTGTTGTCGGTATCGCAGGATTATTCACAACTCAACCGGCTCCATTGCTTGTGGCCGAGTTGTCGTTCCCAACATTTAGAGGTAAAATGACCTGCTTATACTGGGCCTTCTACTTTGTGGGTGCCATAGTTGCATCTTGGCTGTGTTTCGGATGCACTGGAAGAGGTGATGCATGGGCTTGGCGTATCCCAACTATTCTTCAGGCAGCATTTCCAATAGTGCAGCTTACCTTCTTATTTCTCGTTCCTGAAAGTCCAAGATGGCTTGTGTCAAAAGGCAGGGTAAACGAGGCGAGAAAAACATTGGTCAAGTTTCACGCTGGTGGAGAGAATGATAGTCCTCTTGTTGAAACCGAGCTTCTTGAGATATCCAATGCTTTAGAAATGGAGAAAAGCGCTAATCAAACATCCTGGAAGGCATTTGTAGCTACTCCAGGAAACAGAAAGCGTACCTATATTGCAATCACTTTGGGGCTTTCATCGCAATGGTGTGGAACTCCGGTTGTGTCCTTTTATTTGACTTTAGTCTTGAACACCATTGGAATCACATCATCTTACATGCAAACATTGATTAATGGATTTTTACAGGTGTTCAACTTTTTCTTTTCCACATTGGCTGCTCTACTGGTGGACTTTTTCGGAAGAAGATTTTTATTTCTATGGTCAGGCATTGGTATGCTTATTTCCTTCATCATTTGGACAATTTGCTCCGCTATTTTTGAACAGTCAGGTTCCGTGGCTGCTGGAAGAACAGTTGTTGGTTTCATATTTATCTTCTTCTTCCATTATGACATGGCATATACTCCGTTGCTTTTGGGATATCCGACGGAGATTTTTCCATACTCAATGCGTTCAAAAGGTGTCTCGCTTGTTCTAGTTACAACTTTTGTGTCTTTATTTATCTTAGCCTTCTGCAATTCCATTGCCATGGACAATATTGGCTGGAGATACTACATTGTGTTTTGCGTCAACCTTGTCTTTATTGTGCTCAATGCTTACTTCTTCTTTCCAGAAACCAAAGGCTACTCTTTGGAGGAGATTGCGGTTTTGTTTGATGGACTGGAAGTCACAGACTTGGAGGCTCTGATGTCCAAGGAGCATATTGGTATGATTGACGTTGATGAATTAGAGGAGCAACTGACGGATAAACGAAATGTCCTGTTTGAACACTTGGAAAGAACGAGCCGCTCCTCGTGAGCACCAACAGTTACTGTGTATGTCAATTCGATGACTTCGCTGGTTTTTCATCAAGGGTTTTTTTTTGTACCCTTGAATTAAACGAGTGAAGTCACCGAATATTTCCAGGCTCTTTGTGCTGTAAAGGTTTCTCGTCTAGCTATAGAATTTGGAGTGCTGATTAGAAGAAATAGATGCTCGTTGCGATAGTTTAAGGTATCGCTCAAAATCCAATTGTAAAAGGCTTAGTGTTGTGCACCATGCACAGGTGTGGTTTTATTAAGCTCTTCTTTATGAATATAATACTTGAAATACATTCACATAACTGAAGTATCAATGCAGTGGAAGAAATACCCATACAGTTAAAAAAGGCAGTTCTAGGTAAATCCTCGAAGGCACAAAATAAATCAACACTTTGAAGAAGAGGAATTATTGTTACCAATACAAAAGGGAAGTACAGAAAGGTGACGTTCCAATTTCCTTGGATGGAAGAAAGGCACCGAGAGATTAACGCATTCGTCATTGAACTTTTTGGCGTTCAACGCAAGCCGTATTTCTTCATTTAATATGGCCAGAATTCCACATCCAATTGCATTTTCATTAATCCTTTTTGTTACAATGGAGAAGGCAAAAGATTTAGAATCGCAAATCCCCGTGCCAGAAGTGCAAGAAGCTCCAAAAGAGCGCAACGTTATCCATGTCATTTTGGCAAACATCAAGAAAGTCCTTGATATAGTATTTGGAAGAAAACTCACCAAACGTCATGTTCCTCTTTTGATTTATGTGGTTTGGTTTTTTTGCTACAGTACATATATTTTCATGGCTTTCTTTGGGACACACGTCTTCTACATAGAATTGAAGTACAGCTCCTCACTAACGGCGACAATGAAAAGAGATGTAATTGCCATGGAGCGTGTCATGGAGAATTCAACAGAAAGACTCTCCAGCTATCTACCCGATGAGTGGCCTCATGGAACTTACACTGTGGGTTACTCTGAAATTTGCAGGAAAAACAATGACTCCAAGGAGGTATGTTTCAAGGGAAACAAAGTGGAGGAGCTTATACTACAAGACATTGGTATACAAATTGCTGAAAATCAGAGTATGGAAAATGCCACTCAGTTTGGTAAACGTTTCATGACATTGTACCGTGCCTTACAAGATGATTCGGTGAGGGAGTTGGATAGAAGGACTACCTGTAACCATCTAATTTGCAACTACAAGGGCCTAACAACGGAAGATGTCGCACAATTTCCTAACACAAACACGCCAGATTATCTGTATATTAAATTGATATGGGCGAATTTGGTGCTCGCTACATTAGCGTTCATTATGATAATTATTGAATTGCGATTTTATGTCCCTGGTTTGAAGTGGGTGATTTATGTCTGCAGCCTAATTCAGATGTCTATATCATTATTTACAGTTGGGAGTTTTGGTAGTACAGTGGTACTGCTTAAAACGTACTTCACGGTTCAATATTATCCGTTTAACATCACCATTTATTCGTGTCATATTGCTATGGCGTTAATGTTGGCAATATCTTGTGCCATTGGCACTTGTTTAAAGGCTTAAGGAAACAAATTTCTCAAGCCACGAATTGCAACATATGATATAGAAAGATGACACAGGATGTTAGATTACAAGGTTCAGACATCGATTCATCACGATATTTCATATTTCCATAAAGGCTTCAATACTTCTGCACGACTTCGCTCATTTACGCCCATGTTAGGGGATGCAGTTTTAGTTGGAATAAAAGCTAAAGTGGTAACATCAAACTGGCCTCAAATAATCATGCAATATCTTTTTTAATTGTGTAGTAGCATATGCCTTGGGAGCCACAACCTACCCAATCAGAATCACCTGTCGTCCACGGTGACGTATCTACAGTGTTAATTATGAATTAAGGACTTCTGAAGAATTATTAAATTGGAGTTTCCCGCCTACAGTTCCGAGTTCCTTATTGTGCATGTTGGGCTACAAGCTTGAGTGACCTCTTCAGCGTTAGTAAATTTCTCTCCAGAGCTCACAACTTTACTCTTAACTTACATCGAGTATTTTTCCCTACAGCTCATAAACTGACTACTTATTTTAATTGGAGATGAGATATTTAAAAGAACATTTTCAATTTCGCTGGACGGGTGTTTCTACGATCTTGCAAAAATCGCACCTACCAAACAAAATGATCAGGCATATCAGATTTTTTGTAAATCCATGAATTCATAGAAAGAAAAGCGAACGGAATTTTTATTTTTGGAAAGAAATGACTCTTTGGTGCAAACAAAAAAAAAAAAAAAAAAAAAAGACAGTTTCGGAATCTTGTGTGTATAACTCGTTGCATTCGAAAAAGAGGTGTTGAACTACGCGATCAAATGAGACTCAGTTGAGAATCTGAAGCACAAAGAAGCTTAAATTACCTCGAAGGAAGTACTGAGAGTCCACATAGCTCCCGCAATGAAACGGGATTCATCATTTCAAGAATCCTATTGTAGCTTACCACCATGTTAGTCAAGATTGTTTGCGAATGACGTGGAACATGGGGAGACGAAGTCAAAACATGGATGCAATACACGAAGATGCACTTCGTGAATAACGCCCTGGATGAAAATAGTGCATGACTGTTTCCTAGAAATAGATTTCCACTTTCCCTGAATGGAAGAAATCTATCACGATTCCCTGTTAAAAAATACTCTTTACACGATGTCACCATCTCTGCTTGCTTATAAGAGGCCAGTTATACACTTTCAGTTGGGGATTCATTCATCATGTTTGAAGGTACCATGGAGAAAGCAGGAGATTTGGAACAGCAAGCCCTCTTACCAGAGATGGAAGAGTATCAAAAGCAGACTAATGATTTTCCTGTTGTTACTATAACAAAAAAGTTCCTCGAAAAACTCTACGGTATCAAACTCGAGAGGCGTCATATTCCTCACTTGCTTTATCATGTTCTGATATTATGTCTCATTACACACACTTGTATGAGTTTCTTTGGGACACTGGTCGGATACAGAGAATCTAAGTACGACTCCTCACTTACTTTGACAATGAGAAAAGATGTGATCGCCATGGAAAAACTAATGGAGGACACGACGATGAAAATTTCCAACTACTTGCCCGACCAATGGACTAATGGAACATACACGATAGGCTATCATGGAATTTGCAGGCAGAATGAAAACTCCAAAAAGGTATGTTACAGAGGCAGCAAGGTGGAGGATCTTGTACTACAGGATATTGGATTACAAATTGCTGAAAATCAAGGTATGGACGATGCCGATCAGTTTAGCAAAAGGTTCACAACTACGTACCGGGATTTACAGAACAACTTAAAGACCGAGTTGAAAGGGATGTCTGGGTTTATTAGGGATGTCTGGGTTTTTTCTTAGGGATGTCTGGGTTTTTTCTTAGGGATGTCTGGGTTTATTCTTAGGGATGTCTGGGTTTATTTTCTTAGGGATGTCTGGGTTTATTTCTTAGGGATGTCTGGGTTTTTTCTTAGGGATGTCTGGGTTTATTAGGGATGTCTGGGTTTTATTAGGGATGTCTGGGTTTTTTCTTAGGGATGTCTGGGTTTTTTCTTAGGGATGT